AGAAGCAGATGTAAAAGACTAAAGAAATAAATTTTGTTAAAACAGTAATCCTTTTTTGTTTTTCGAAACCAACAGTTGCTGAAGAAACATTTGCTCTCATAAACTCCCATCATATGTCCTCTTCCTGGTTCAAAGTCTGACGCTTTCGGTAGATGCTGGGAAACTGATAGAGACTCTCGTTCATCTCATTCAAAGCCAATAAGGAAATGTTTTCTCAACCAAATTCTAAATCAACTAGTTGTTCTGTTATTATTATTATTACTGTTGATAAGAATATGATAGATAGATCTTTGCTTAGTAGGATCACAGTATGTAGTCATCCTGATTAAAATGACCCTTTATGGATCAATCACTGATGGTAGAGTGTTCTACTGTATTCTACACAGACAGCCTATGACAAACAAAAAACAAAAAAACAATATTTTTCTGTATTTTCAAGCAGATTTATCTCAGCTAGAAGCCTCCCAAATAAACATTTTCTTATTTCCTATAACTGTCTAAAACGCAAAGCAAAAACATTTCATTCTCATTGGCCAATGAATTTGAAACCTTCCAGATAAAGCTTCATTTTATCACTAAATTTCATCGACTTTGAATATAAAAATGTGTACAGTAGGAAAGTAAAACAAACTGAATCCAATTCAAACAATTGCATCTTTCCCTTTACAATCTGACACTAAAGATTGTAGCTGTCTCAAACACAAACATTATCTGCTTTTTAATTTTTAATAAATTAATCGCCTTATTTAACATATAAAATGTTTTCAAAACAGAGTAACTCCTTAATTCAGCAAAACATATTCTCACTCATGAGTTTCACCAGCAGAGGCCGACAAAGAAGTTTGAAAGTTACTGAAAAGTACATCAAAATTATTTCATATTTCAGGAAAGCACATATTTTATTAAATCAACAGTTAATGACTGAGTCAATGCTGAGCTAACATGTTGAAATTTCTGTATTTTTACGTTTAAATGAACTTATAATTACTGAGTTTGGAAGGTTATTGGTGTGTAGTTTAAAAATATGTTTATCAATAAGAAAAATATGCATAGATACATATAAGTGTATTTATTTTATTGGAATATTTATTACTATCATGACTATTAATAATAGTTTTGAAATGTTGCACTACATGATACAACACCAGATGGCGTATTGTGAGGTTAGTTACTTATTACCTACTGTCCCTCCTGCTAAAGTCCTCCAGAAAATGTTGTCTGTTTGAGCATGTGTGCATTTTCAGCTCCAAACCTTTGAGTTTCACAAATAAATCAAAGCATGCCCAGGAAATCATGTAACTTTTACTAAATGAAAGTCAGTTTTTATTACATCATGAATACAAAGACTCTTATGTGTCTGTTTCAGTTTCAAATAAAATTAAAATGCAAATGTCTTTTTGCAATTGTTATTGAAATTAGTTACATTGCTGTCCTGTAACTGGACTGTCACTTTGTATTTGTTCATACTGAATTTTAATTTTATTGATGTGTAGTTCTTGAAACAAATTGATAACCTCCTCCTCTTTTATTGGTTATTTTATTTTTTGTCATTTCTGTTGCTTCTTTCTTTTAAATGAGTTACCAGAGCTACACTAACAAGACAGCATAAATTAGTTACAACTGCTAAAAATCCTCCTTGTTGCTCATTTACATATATGGTAGTTTATGGAAGAAATATGAAAGAAAGTTGATAATTCACGTAATGCTTTGACAATATCATTTTGTGGCTCTTTTATGTGCTTACTACAACGACAGTTGTAGGGACACTGAACTTTGAATTTTTTGCTGCTCTGTTACTGGAAATGAATTTGATTTTACCTTAGATTTACTTCCTCATTTTCATCATGTTAAATGTTTTATCTTTTAGCAACAATAACTTTGAAGCATCTTTGAAGTCATTCACATATGACACTGACATGTTCAGTTCCCATCAAAAGGCATTAAAATATACACTGGATCATACATGTTTGACTTAATTTGTCAAACAAGTATAAAGCTTTCTATAGAAAAAGAACAAACCTATAATAATTTATATTGGTCCCAACAACAGTAGTGCAGCTACCATATTACCCAAATTAAAATAAGGGCTAGGGTTTAATCTCAGGCTTGTAGCTTAATTCTTCAAAATGACTACATTACTATCTTTTACATTTCCTAAAGAAACTGGCTGAAATCACCAATCAGTAAAAATTTCAAGAATAGATTTAATCACTGAAATCATTTTTAGGTAACAGTGATCTATTCACAATCAAACTATTTCATATACATAGAAAAGATAATGAAGGTCTTAAACATCTTTATTTCAACAGTATCAGTAAGAATTTTCTTGCATGAAATGAAACAGGTTTCACAGCTCAATATAGGTGTTTCAAAATATTTAATTCAGATGCTATTTTAGATATTTCAGTCTCTAAATGTCAATACTTTAAATTTATAACCAAATAAGTGCATGTTCCCTCATTTTTAATACTGGTTTTCAAAATGAACTTTGGACATTTAGGCAGAGAAAGGCCATTTTAATCTTATCAGAGCAACACCTGATATAAGGTTATAAATGGCCGGTGTTTATGACACAGTTCCCGCATCTACCAGGAACAACACTATTCGTTTTTGTGGTCTATCACAGTACAATGACTTTGTGTTTTGTGAGGCTCAAATAGAAGTGGAGAATGTTATAGCTGAGACGGTATTGAGACCAGTGCAATCATAAAATACAAGTAAACCAATACAAATGAAATTGAAGACCTTTGTTTTACTGTAAAAATTATTTTTAAGCTGCATTTCCATTAGGACTAAGGGATAAGTTAAGCTGTAGTTGCAGCAATTCGCCATCAAAGGGCGTATTGAACACAGTGAGCACTCCGCACTCGACAAGCCAATTCAACCAAATGGCTGCTGCTCAACGGAGGAGTGTTAATAATAATTAATAAAAAGAGAAACCACACTGATTAATTATAGAAGCCACTTCATATAAATCTTCTCATACAATCCGATGATCAAGAATAAAAATAATAGATACAATAACTTGTAGTTTCAAATAGTATCAAGAGTTTCCATGTCTTCAGAACACAAGGTTAATCGGATTATGTTTAATTCTGGACCAACTATTATCTTATCGAGAAATTTAAATAAATATTAAAGGTAATATGGGAAGACTGATGATCTGAATTTCACCTGAATACTGAAGTTAAATAGAACAATGAGAAGTGTTGTGTTCATAGCAAACATGTGAATCATAATATAGCTGTCAGGACCCTGAGTTTTTAAATTGGGTTTTGTTTATTTCTGTCTTTCTTTGTTTCTCTTTTATTTAGCTCAATTATATTCTGTTTCACTGTAGTTCAGTCCTTCTTGGTTACTAGTTTAATTAGGTTTCTTTAGTTATTATTTGTGTCAGATTTATTTTCTGTTTCCTCAATATTCTCCTTCGCCCACATGCCATCTTTCTCTGTCCGTCTTCTCAGTCTGCCTCCTGCTTCCTACACTCACACCTGCAACCATTTCGCTCATCAGCCCAGATCTTTGGTTTTAGCCGTCAACCTTCCAGTATTTTAGCACTTCATTGTCAGTCATTACTCACCAGTTAATTTTGTCACTCATCCCTTATTTCCCTGAAATCTCTACGTGTCTCCTATTTGACTTTGTTTCAATTTTTCTGTTTCCCAGGACTTTCACATTTTTTAAAGTTTTATTCTTTGTTTTTTCATGAAATGTACAACAGAACTTTCATGTCTCTCACCTGATGCAAATGGGTCCCTTCATTACACACTTCATGACGATAGCATCGTATTGCTCATAAAGAAACAGGAACTGTTCTGCCTGCTGACGTCAGTGATAGCAACCACTGTTAAAACTGGTTGATCATTAAACCAGTGTAAATTTAAGTTTACATTTAAGTTTACATGAGTAAACTTAAAATGTAAATTCTTATCTATAAACAAACCTCAAGGGAAATAAAAAGTTTTCCGCCTCAGCCTGCCTGCTTTCATCAAATTCTGTCCCTTTGATTTTCATACTCGTAATCAAACATTACATACATTTAATCACCATTAAGACTGGGGAGCTTTTCCTCTTACTAGTATGTGAACATTATAGGTGGGAATAGAACAGGGCAAAGGTCTAATGCTGCTCATTTTGATGTGACCATAGTTGGGTCAAGATGAGTGCCTGTCCCTTTTCTTTTTGGAAAGCTTGTGAGCTGATTTCATGTTTTTAGATCATTTAAATACAATTTTCACTGAGAGCCAATCTATTGTTTTGGTGATTCTTTGAAACTAAAATGCATCTTTTTTCTGGTTTAACTTCAAATATCAATTATGTGAAATTGAGGTCCTCAACTGCCAATGTCCTTCAGCTATGGTATCTATAATTTAACACATCTGGATAAGATGGTTAGATAAGTAGAATGACTCTGTTAAACTCAACAGTGTTAATCTATGTTGAGTTAACCGAAAGCTTTTTGACACATCAAAAAGCTTTTTGACACAGGGCCTGTGTCATCAGTGCTTTTGTCTCCATTGACTTATAGAGCCTCTTACACTAATGATATGAAAGAACCATTGAAGAGAAAGTAAAATAAGTAGATTACAAAATATCACAAGAAGTAAAGCAAAAATGTATCAATTGCTTCATTCATTACATGTATAGAAAATAGTGACTGAATAGGTGTGCACATCAAAGGGATAGTGATGACTTGAAGTTTATTTTGTATTGTTTGAATTATTCTTCACTGATCTTGCAAAACCTCAAAAATAACTTCTAATGGACATGAAAATTATTACATGAATTAAATGCATTAAGTCGTGTGAAAGACTTGTAGATATTTGCGTAAACACAAAGTGATGTAAAACATTATTTTCCCCATTAGATTTCCTTTCCTACTGTTTTGTAACTCTTAAATGTCAGAGTCATAAAATATGATACCTTCTGCATTTGGACATATAGTCCAGAGAATGTCACATGTTCAAACCTGGAAGTTCAAGATGTAAAAACACAATACATTGCTTAGAAAAAATATTTATTCTGCTTTTGCTTTTTCGAAACAATTAAATACTTCTGCCCATCAAACAAATATTATTAGACAAAAATAACTTCAGTAAATACAGAAACATGTTTACAAATGATAATTTTATTTGTTAAGAAGAAAAAGCTCCAACTCTATTTGGTCTTGTGTGAAAAAAATAATTGCCTGCCAACAAAATCAGTGGTTGTAACACTCTAGGTGACAACAACTCCTACTAAGCTCTGCATTGAAAACCATTTCTAATAAATTCAGAAAGTGACAAATGACTCAGAATCCTGGCAAAGATTTTTTTCAGCAGCTTGTTGGACTTTGAGACCACTTAAAACCTAAAGATGATCCAGTGGCTTTTTATTAACTGTGTTTACAAGGAATTAGTTAATAGCAAAGTCTGGAGGATTACACTTTTTCATTGTTCCTATTAAAAATAAGCAGTTTAACTTTACATTCCTGTGTCAAACATTTCCTTCTTTTAATTTTAATTATATTGGTCAAGTTCATCTGGTGTGGATATTCAATGAATTTTAAACAGAGTTGAGGTGCAGGCTTCTGGAAGGATTTCAAAGTTCAATCAGTCTTGGTATTCAGAGATCATCTACAACCTATTTTATTTACAGTAGGTCTGTTCCATGCCAGCAATAGAGGATTATATAACTTAAAATTAGTTTGAGAATGTCTAATCAGGAGAAAATATTTTCATAATTTCCTTAAATACCCTTCTCACATAATAATAAAGCAGTAATAAACACACATACACCATGAAACATATTTGGAGAAACAAGATACAATTCCATAAGCATGATTTTAGTGTCCTACATTTTAAATGATTGAAAAATGTGTTTTCTTCTTGTTGATCATGCTTTGGTTCAAAACTCAAGCCCATTAAAGTTTTTCTTTCTACAATTATTTTGGTAATTCAGTGCTTTCATGTTGGTACAGTATAAAACGATATCACAAAGAATACATCACCAAACTTAAGTATGACCACTCATTTGGGTGTATTCATCAAAATAGCTTAACCGCAGTGCTCTATTTACAGATGGTATTTTCTTGCTTAAGCTTCTCAAAATAAAATTTGCACTTCTGCTTCTAGAAAAGTCAAACTATTACAATAACCTGACTGGATAAGTCATGTTTAACATTTACATTCTAAACCTTTCCTGTTCCTAGGGGTGTAATGGCGCACATATTAATATTTAAAGTATTGATTAAAGTCTACTGAAATTGAACCAGACCGGGATATTCTGCCCTCTGCTTTCTGTTGCCAGTAAGAGGTGGAGTTAGTTAATCATTAAACACTACTGTGACAGAATGAAGTAAACTAATGCCAAAATTTGCTAAAGCAAACCAAAGTCAAGTTTCAGACAGCTCTGTCATTGTTGGTTTTTGCTGAAAGAAATGTCAAGTTTTAGCAGGATTGAGTTAAAGCCAGCCTGTTTGGTTTCAGCTGAATGTGGGCAGAGGGAAGGAAGAGTGCTTCAGTTTCTGTTGACCCTGATGTCAGCGTAGGTTGATGCAGGATTGTCTGATTCCCACTGGGGTTGAACATTTTTCTTGTTCTTAAAAAACCTGACATCTGCATAGTTCATCTCCTGCATGGTAAAAAAAAAAGAAAAAAGAAAGATTTTCAAGAAACATCGTACATAAAAATTAATACTGATGAATATATAAACTGTCTGCATTTTCATGGCTGCATAAAATATAATTGCCCAAATTCCTCAAATAAAGTACTGAATAAAATATACTCAAGATGCATCGAGCTGTATTTAGTTTCCTAGGGTTAAAGTCCAACATTGTAACTTTTGGACTGCAGGCGTGGCCCAGCCCCATTCGGCCTGGCCATAGTGGCCATACTTTCACCTCAAAAGTGAGGTGAAGCAGCAATATATCAATAAAATTCCTGCTGAAGCTACCAAGCTATTTTTCCCAAAAACCGAGGACTACTTTCATTTTTCATCGTCCAACTCCTTCGGTATATGGTTGTCAGTGAAGAAGCAGAGGAAAAGAACTACTTCAGCATTAATTTTCAGCTAAATCATTAAAAAAATTCTCATGTGTGAAAGGGGATCAATAAATCCTCTGATTTAGAGTCTTGCCGACTTCTGATTGTTTCATTGAATTGGTTCTTATGAAATCTCTCTCACCTTTTTAGATCATCCTTAATCATGCAACATCAGGTTGGAAATCAATAAAAGGAACAAATTAAATATCAAATGGATATCAATAAATTTTTATCGTAAATTTAGAAAAATGTCACATTAGTTATTAATATATGTTGTTATTAAGCAACTTTGCACATTTCTATTTAAAAGTGTAGATTTTCTAAACTTTCTAATCACAGAAGCACAAACTGATTTTAGTTTGTCTTTCATTGCTGCTTCAGACGGTGACTATTTAACCATATTTTAAAACAATGTTTAGTGTGAAACATTGAAACATAAAATATAGTATAGCGTTAGCTATTTTTTACCTCATTACTGCTTACACCATTATCTCGTCTGTTCCCACCTGTAATTCATAGATAAATTAAAATTAAACAACAAATATTGAATAATCAACATACATGCACAATAGCTACAAACCTACCTGCTGAGATATTTCTATTTGATGTTTTCTCTTGAGGTTTTCTGTTCAGACAAAAAATAAAATAAAAAACAGAATAAGTTATTTCTAAATATTCAACACACTCTATTTTTCTATCCAAATTTTCTATAGTTATTTAGAATCATATATAAAATAATGCAATTGGAGTTATTGCATGAATATTGTTTTACATTTACAATTATATTGAATACATTAATAAGATACAAATGACACTACATACAGTCAAACCCAAAATTATAATTATAGCTAGAAAACAAAAGCAGTGCATTGTCAAGATACATAGACTGTGGCATTTTGTGCACATTTTAAGGCACAATATAAAATATTTTTTTTGCTGGACAATATTAATTACAAAGGGTTGTTGTTTTTGTTTTGTTTTTTCACAACTATTTTCTACTTACTTTTTTTTAAGTATGAAGTACACTCCAACAGCAATTAAAGAAACGCATACTAAACATGCAATTACAATTCCTGCAATGGCTCCAGGGGGTAAGTCGCCTCCTAAAAAGTAATAAAGAAAAAATATGTTCATTGTGCAAAACTGTCAAGTTACAAAATACCTTGACATATTATTTCTATACACAGCTTCATGAATTTTAATTTCAGGGTTAAACCAAAACAATATTCATGTTGACTTAATTTGTATTTTCAAGGCAGCAGGTGGACTTTCATTTTCAAGTTAAACCACCTTCAAATGTTTTACGATGCAAAACATACACAGCTACAATGGCATATTTATCTATTGGTATGGCCTAGTCAAAGTCCAGACACTAAATTGAATTTAGTCTGAGTAAAAGGTGGCCTTACAGGGCATATGAGGGCTGAATACAAATACACGTTTAAAATTTTCATCTGTAAAAGATTTTGAAAGCTGTTTCTCTTCTTTACCAAAATGTGATACGTTTGTTGGTCCATCACATGAAATACAATTAAAGTATTTTAAGTTTGTGAGTGTGACATAGCTTACCTTCTGTAGAGGTATCGTCTATAGAGATAGGTAAAAGTTGAGATGTTTGATATCTTAAGGTTCTACTGTTAAAGGCCCGACAGCTGTAGTTTCCACTCTGATTCTTTTGAACATTGAGGAGTTCAAGCACAGATCCAGAAGCAGACAGACTTGTTCCATTAAAGAACCAATCAAAAGTGGCATCAGGTCTGGACTCAGCTGAACAAGACAAACTGATCTTTGACCCTTCAGTAGGTGTTTCAGTAGGTGGTTCTAAGTTGACTTTCTCTGGACCATCTGTAACAATTAATATTAATTAATTTGCCATATTAAATTCACAACCAGCTTTTTCAGTGTAGTGTTAGTTTAACAGCTTCACTAAGAGAAATAGCACAAAAATTTGAAAAAGAAGCACATAGTTCATTGGATAAGTAATGTTATTGCTGACATGATTAACTGATGATGTTTTGCAAATATGATGGTGTTTTACCTGATCTGACTTTTTAAGACATGTTTCTCATATTTTCTCAAATAGTGAAATAGCAACAAAGGCTGTTAAACTCCAATAAATGTATTAATTTCAAAATATGTTATAGCGTTGGAAAAACTCACAGCTGACAGAGATGTTTACAGGATCACTCTTGGCACTGCTGACAGGATTAGACACATTACAGCTGTATGATCCATGATCATATCTGGTCACATTGATTATAGTCAGCTTGGATCCTCCATCAGTGATATCAGTGATTTGAACTCTGTCACTGGTTGTGACCTCAGAGCTGCTGTTCATCCAGGAGAAGGACAGAGACGATCCAGAGGAGGAGCAGGAGAAACTGACAGACCCACTGAACTCAATCAGGTGGGTAAAGTCTTGAGTTACCTTTATGTTAGAGACTCGCTCTGTGGATGGAAAGCAAAACAAAATCAATCAACACAAGCAACATATAGTAGGAGAGATTCATATTTACTCCTAATAATTTTTATGCACTGCTGAATGTTGAAAGGAGAATAAGTGGGTTAATGAACAGGTTTATCTATTATGAAACTGTGCAACTTTCTAAATTGATACTGACAAAATGTTGGTGGGGTTATACTGGAAAATGTGTTTAAAAACATCTAAATCAATTACATATCATTTGAAAGTACTTTTTCATTTGGATCAAAATATGAAATGCTGAGTTACAGTTAAGCCCAAAATAATTTTATATCACTGGAATATTTAGTTTTCTTGTAATCTTACAGTTAGTAGAAAGTTTGTTCTGAACTAAAGTAATATAAATGGTTTGGAATGGCTCAGTTAGAGTCTTGACATCAAATTTTTCAACCTGAAGGACTTAAATGAACAAAATATGCTAACTTTTATGTCTTATACAAGTTAGTCAACAATTATAAATAGATTAATTGCTGTAATCCAATTAAGAAGGGCTGTTGCTTTTAAAATGTAACTAAATGAACTTGTCTTGCTGATTAACTGTCTAAATAAGTTACTCAAATTATTATGTAGATTTACATTTACATTTTTGTGTAAATGTGTTTATTTCTACAATATTCTGTCTAAACCATCTCAGTGCAAGCCTCCATCAGTTGAATAACTCTTAGGGAGTTCAATTTTCCTATTGGTAGCAGCGGTACACCTTGGCCCAACTTCGTCCCTCAGCCCTGCGTTCAGATATAACACCATCTCACTCTGACACGCAGTAGCCCTGCCAGTAGCTAGTCAGGAGTCGGAATAGTGAGCCAAGCGTGACGCAGCAAACATAGATCAACAATTACTGAGCATTGTACATGTGTGATTTGGTATGGTGTTGAAGGAATGACTAGGTCAGACTAACAGAAGTGTTGAGTAAAGCAGACAGGCTGCTTGCAGCTGAGTTGCAGAGAGTTGTTGCCATAAAAGTCTCCAACAACTCAAAAAAAAAAAAAAAAAAAAGAAATTACTAGAATTTTCACTAGTTGTTGTTGTGTTGAAGTCACAAGAGGGGTCTGAAAAGTTGATAAATAATTTTGGTTAGTGTAACTAAACTCCAAACCCTGTGAAAGAACAAACCCTCACAAAAGAGGCATGACCAATTGTAGGGATAAGAGAAGCTGTGATGAAAGAACCACTGTTGTCAACTTATCTACTTTGTCACTGTATTTATCTATTTTTCAGTACCTTCTAGAGACTTCTTTCAACAACTCGTGATGAATCTACTGGCACTTTTTCTTTGTCGTTGGAAAATTTCATAGCAAAAATTCTCTGCAGCTTGGCTACAGCTTGGCTGTTTGGCTGTCACTCTCCCTTCATCAAAACAAGATTTTGGTGAAAAATTAATGCAACACTGGATGAAAATAAATCTTGCGATGTTGCTGAAGCGTACTGAAAAAATGCCACAGTGAATATGTATAATTATCCAAGGTAAAAGCAATCCAAGAAAATATTGGAGTGTTACTTTTTTGTGATGACTTGTTTTCACCAGATAATGTGTTTTCTACAAGTTGTTAGAAGTATCCCTGTGCCTACAACAAAGGTTAGAGCTAAATCAAATAGCTTTTAGTATTTTATTAGTACCAATGTGTGTTTAAAACTAAATTGCTAAAATGCAATTTAGTTTTATTACACATTTTAGCAATCTGAAGTCAATTTTCTTTTAGTTAAATTTTATCCCATTTAGTCCAATGAATTATGAATATGAAGAGAAGTTAGTTGACAAGCCAGACAGGCTTTTTACATATATGAAGCCAGAAGGACTAACCGGCTCGTCTCCACTCAACCAGCTAAGGTGTACTCTCAATGGTAGGGTAATAACAGAGCAGACCCACCAAGACTGGAGACTGAACAATACTGGAAAGGCATATGAGACCACAGCAACCTCCCTGAGCAAGCTCCGGTAACCATCACTGTGACAGATGTCCAAGACAGAGTCTCAGGTATGAAAAACTGGACAGCACCAGGGCAGACAATCCTAATCCAGAAGGACCCATCAAAGGGTTCAGTCCCACCCAACTACCGACCAATAACCTGCCTCAACAAAAAGCTGGACTCAAGGACAGCACAGAGGTCCTCATCCTGGCTTCCCAGGAACAGGCCCTAAACACCAGAGCAATAGAGGCCCAGATCTACCACACCAAACAAGACCCAAGGTGTAGGTTGTGCAAGGAGGCCCCTGTTTAATCTTGAATTGAGAAAAGCAAGAGAGAGTTTTTCTCTAATATCATTTCTACCTCTATTAACAACTCTCGTGCTCTGTTTTCGATTGTTGACAGATTGACAAATCCACCTTCTTCGGTTAACCGTGAATTTCTCTCCTCTGAGACCTGTGACAAATTTGCTGCATTTTTCATAAATAAAACAGTGAAAATAAGAGAGAACGTAAACTGCTCTGCATCTGCTGTTAGGAAACAACTTACTATGTTTTCCATCAAACAGGACTTACCTATGATGACCCACTTTAACCTGGTCACTAAAAAAGATTTGAGTTACACTTTACATCAAATGAATTCTTCAACCTGTTCCCTTGACATCATACCTACTAGGTTATTTCTAAAGGTGTCAGATGTTTTTACTCGTGATCTTTTATAAATAATTAATGAGTCACTCTCCTCTGGAGTTGTTCCTCGGGCTTTAAAGACGGCAGTAGTTAAACCACTTCTCAAAAAACATAATCTGGACTCATCTATTCTAAGCAATTATCGACCAATATCAAATCTACCTTTTTTGGCTAAAATATTAGAAAAAATTGTTTTCCAACAGATTAATGGCTTTTTAGCTCTGACCAACTGTTTTTATGTCCATCAATCAGGCTTCCGTCAACATCATAGCACAGAAACTTGTGAAAATATTCAATGACCTCCGTCTAAACAATGATAAAATCTCAATATTAGTTCTACTTGACTTGAGCGCTGCATTCGACACAGTTGATCATGATATTCTATTATCTCGATTAGAAAATTGGGTTGGCACTTCCGGGGTGGTACTCAGCTGGCTTAAATCCTACCTGTCCAATAGAACCTTTTGAGTTTCCATGGGCAGCTTTAAATCCAAGGTAAATACAATTACTTATGGAGTTCCCCAAGGGTCCATTCTGGGCCACTTCTTTTTAATATTTGCATGCTCCCATTAATTCAATTTATAAGAAATAATAATATAGAATACCATAACTACACCAACGTTACATTAGTCTTTCACCAGGAGATTACAATCAGGTTCAAGTACTCACTAAATGTATTGAGCAGATTAATGTCTGGATGAGCCACAACTTTCTTCAACTAAATCAAGACAAAACTGAAATATTAGTATTAGGACCAAAAGAGCACAGATTGAAAACAATCACCTACCTTCACTCAATTGGTTTAAAATGCTCTGATAAAGCCAAGAATCTAGGGGTGAACATGGATCCTGGTCTGAATTTCAATTACCACATCAAATCTATTATAAAAACATCATACTATCACCTCAAAAATATTGCTAAAATCAGACGACTCATGTCCGAACAGGATTCTGAGAAACTAGTTCATGCCTTTGTTTTTAGCAGACTTGATTATTGCAATCCCATTTTTACTGGATTACCTAAAAAAACATTAAGACAGCTCCAGCTCCTCCAGAATGCTGCCGCAAGAGTCCTTACTAACACAAAAAAAGATCAGCACATCAGTCCAGTTCTCAGATCTCTGCACTGGCTGCCTGTTGCTCAAAGAATTGACTTTAAAATTTCCTTAATAGTTTATAAAGCACTTCATAATAGAAATCCAAACAAAATTTCCGGTCTTCTGCAACCCTACATACCACTCAGACTGTAAAGATCATCAGACTCAAACCTATTAACTATTTCGAGAATCAGAAGTAAACACTGAGAAGCAGGTTTTAGTTTTTATGCTCCAACACTATGGAATAAACTTCCTGCTCATTGTAAGTCTGGCCCAACCTTTAGTTTATTTAAAACAAGGTTAAAAACCTTCTTATTTGAAGTTGCCTATTCTTAAATTTTTAATTCCCCCACATTGACTATAATTAAAATTTTAATGTTTACTTTGTCTATTTTTTATCTGCTTGTCTTTTTTTTATTTATTTATTTATTTTTCCCATCTAACAGTATGTAGTCCTTATTTTTCTTGTACAAGCACTTTGAATTGTCTTTGGCTGAAAGGTGCTATATAAATAACGTTGTCATGCTCAAGAGAAAAAGAAATACCATCAGTTAATATTTTAATCTCTACAATAAGGGTCCTATTTAAAAAAGTGCCTGTGGCTTCTGCTATAGCATCAAAAACTTGGCTGCAGTAGCTTAACATTACCACTTTTATCTTGCAAAACTTATACTGCTGCATTAAACAGTGTCACCAAATACATAGAGCTTCAAAGCATTGTACGTAAGTAATAAATGAGATGTTCTCATCAACTTAAATTTGCAACATATTGTGCGGCCCCTAGTATCAACAATTACAGTAAGGGGTGAATTTTAGCTCCATGCTTCAAATCTTTCTACAGGATGGGTTGCAGTTTTGACATTTTTGTCCTTTTATGTTATTAAATTAATATGATTATTAATGTAGCCACAAATAATTGTAAAATAATCAAAATAATGTGGCTTTGTAGATGTTCTGGACTATAATAATGTTGAAGGTGTTATAGGGTAGTCTTTTTTCTAACTCATTTTTATAATATATATTTCTTTTTACAAGAACGTTTTTCATACCTACCAAGAACAGAGACAGGTGAAGGTTCAGATGTTCGATATCTCAGAGTTTTGCTGTTAAAGGCCTGACAGCTGTAGTTTCCTCTCTGACTCATCTGGATATTTGTCAGTCTGAGCAATGGACCGCTACTGAGCCGCTCATCTCCATTCAGAAACCACTGATATTCAGCAGAAGGTGATGAGTCAGCAGAGCAGGTGAGATTAATTTCTGACCCATTCTCATAATGTTCCTGTGATGGATACACTTCTATTTGTACATTCTCTGGACCATCTGAGTGTAGAAACAGCAATATGTAAAGAAATTAATTTAACTGAAAAAGTAATGATAAAGAATTCCATATGTTATATGTGCAGAAGCAATTCTTAAAATAATTACAATTATTTTAATAAAAAATATAAATTAAATATAAAAAAAGTTAATTGATAAAAAATTGCATTAAAGAAGCAGAACTTTTCCAATTATATTTATATAAAGATGTTGAGCATATAGATGAACAACTTACAACTAATAGAGATTTGTACTGGATCACTGATGTTAGAACTGACAGGATTGGACACATTGCAGGTGTAGGATCCCTGGTCATTTCGGGTCACATTGACTATAGTCAGAACGGAGTTTTCTTCATTCGTACTGATTTGAATTCTGTCACTGGTTATGACCTGAGAGCTGTCTTTCATCCATAGGAAGGAAAGAGAAGATCCAGAGTAGGAGCAGGACAAACTGACGGAGCTGTTGAACTCAATCAAGTCTGTATTTAGTAGAGAGACGCTGACATTGGTGACTGGTTCTGTTGGAGGAAACAAAAGTTGGTGTTGTCAAATACAAGAGACAACAGTCTCTTCTGTATTTCTCCTCATGTAAAAACACAGTACAAATCCTGCCATGGGAAAAATTATAAAAAAATTCAATAGTATGAATTTACATCTTGTTTATGCTGAATAAAAGCTTACCCCTCAAATAACCTTCATTAATTTCACTTGAATTAACAAGTGCTTCATATAATTTTCTGGATATTTGTAACAATAAATACTACTACATTTACACTGTGTTCCAAGTGATAATTTCTCAGATTTTCTTAAATGGTAAATGCACAGCAGTCATCTGTGAACAAGTCTGTTTGAAAATTAAACTTCAAGAATGACTGGGCCCACTGCAACCACTCCTTGTGAGCTGGTTCGGGGGGCCCAATAGTCGGTTTGTGCGCACAAACTATCACTGCACTTGACCTGCAGGAGCACAACCACCTCTCCAACGCGCATTATACACGCGTCACACAAAACCAGCACAAACCTAAACCATTAAAGCAGCGCACCTTTTTTTCTATTTTACACAAACGATGTTAAATAATACAGACATGGAAGCGAAGCGACCCGTGTAATTCACGGAATGAGAAGGATGTTGATTTCCAGGCTTAGGTGGTGTTCAAAGGAGGAGAAGGTGAAACCACAATGTTTGCTTAATTTTTACTCTTTGGGGAACGTTTCGATGTCGTGGCGTGATGCTCAGGAAGAGCGGCAGATGTCGCCAACTGGACCCGCCAGCTCTCCATTTCCGGAAACAAAAGAAGCTCATAAACCGGCGACCCGCCGAACCGGACACGGTAAAGCTCAACCGGGATCCGAACCGCTGGAAGCCCTACGGGACGTTCAGACTCCCGTTATTCATTTTTAGTTTACAGAAAAAGCGCCAAACCGCCAAATAAACAAAAACAAACTGACCAATACGATTTGGTCACCACAGACTCAGACGTGCACTACGTACAAGATGTTTTGACACATAAGATATTTTTTTTTCTCTCCACAGTTTTGTTAATTGTAAGATAAGAAAAACTTCAGAAGTTATTCTTTCCTTTTTTTTTACTTCATGGAAAATCTTAAGGTAGGCAGAGTGGGTGCTGCCCTCTGATAACATCCTGCGCATAGAGCTGAACTTCAACCATAGAAAAGAGTTTTATGCATAAAGCAATTTAGATTAAACATTTTTTATAATTTACTTTCTTTAAAAATTCTAAATATAAACATATGCTATTACTTCAATGTAAACAATAAATTAAAAAACATTTTTGTCAGTGCTCCCTAATGACAATGGCTATTTTTAGAACTTGCTCCAAGGGCGACTGACAATGTCCCTGCGGGCACCACGTTGCTGCTCTGGAAGGTCCTCCACCTGGAGGATCCAGAGGCACCAGCAACTTCAAATAACTGTTTGCTTTACATTTTAAGAGCTGCTCTCTTAATACAATGAATTTGTCTAGCAGAAACTTCCTCATTATGCCTTTATCTTCACAAACCCATCTTTGTTCTGAATCAGCCACAAATCTCTTCACAGTACAATGATAACGCTTCAGTTTTAGTTAAATATCTAATGTTTTCAAACCTTGTCGTACAGCACTACACTATCTAATGATTTTTGTCAACAGAGAAATACTTTCTCTTTCCCATATTGCTTGAAACCTGTTGCTTCTTAATAATGTGGAACATCCTTCTTAAATAGAATTCCTTTAATTGAGCTCACCAGACAAACTAATCAACCCAGCTCTCTGTGATTCAAAGACACAATATCAAAAATAAATTTAATAGCACAACAAAGAAATGCAATCTTTATTACACTTAAATCCAATTTGCATAATAATTCAGAACCCAGTGTAAATAAATTCTAATCTGTGGCGATATTTAATGTCTACAATTGTAAAAATTTTATTCTGCAACATTTAACTCCAATTTTAAATCAACTTCTATCAAATCTTGTCAGTTTTATTTTATATCCCAAATCAAATAATATCCATCCATCCATTATCTCTGGACCCTTGTCCCGAGTAGGGTCCCTGGTGCTTATCTCCAGCGGGGTACACCCTGGACAGGTCACCAGTCTGTCACAGGGCAATCAAATAATATGACATGTTGGAAACAATAGTACAGCACTGATAAGGAAAAATCTGCCATAAAAGTTAAAGGAATTATTGACTCTGCTTCCTCCCATTAACTCTTTTCGAGGTACTTTTTAGGCACATCAACAGAAAACCATTTTTGGCAAAACTGCTTGATAAATATTAATCTCATTGGTAAGTATGAAAGCATGTAACCGGCTGAAAGCTATGTCAAAGTAATAAGTAATTTTTTTTTCAAATTCAGAATCAAGCTGCCACTGGACCAATGAAAATGGTGTTTCTGTTGGAGTCAACTGATCATGTTTCCCGTTTCTGATAAATCCTCTAGTTCATTTTTATTTTTTTATTTTGGCCAATTTCATTTTAAATGTCTTGAAGGAAATCTGATTTTAAACAATGTAGTGGGCCATTCCTTCTAATTCCTTAATTCTTGTTCCCACAAAATACATTTAAAATAGTTCAAAGCTCAAAATAATAGCCTACAGCTCTCACTTGATGGATGGACAGTGAAAAAAATAAAATAAGCTGCAATGAAAGTTTAGAGACTGAAACATAAGATGAATCTTGGCTTTCAACATTTACTCACCATAAACATTCAGTGTGGTGCGTCCTGGCTTGTGAATTGCTCCATCTTGAATGCTTACTATGTACTGTCCACTGTCATTGAATGTCAGATTCCTGAGTTCCAGAAATCCAGTTGATCTGAAGAGAGTGATCCTGCCTTCATATGCTGCTGTAATTGTGTCTCCAGTTGTCTGTGAGATAATTATGAGTTTAGCTCCTGAGCCAGAATCAAACAGCCACTGGACCAATGAAAATGGTGTTTCTGCTGGATTCATGTTTGTTGTGAAATTCACTGTCCCTCCAACAGAGGCATTCAGAGGACCATCTGGCAACACACCAGATCCATTAGATAAACCTGGAAACAGTTAAAAAATAAACTCAGAATTAAAAATGGTTTAAGAGGTCAAAAAACAAATCTGGATAGGAATGAAAGATTTGCCGACTATAAATTGCTAAAAATATATACCTAAAATCTTAGGTATATATTTTAATCATGTTGAGCTCTGTTTAAGTATAAACAGCTCGTTGTTACACTGTTAAAAACTTGAAAATAGGTTTGAAAACATTTAACTCATACAAATCTCTTACCTATAAAGACCACAACCACGACAAAAAGCCGTTGTAACATTGCTCTGATGTAAATCTAGAGGTGTCAGTGTCAGGACAGCTCAACACTCGAACTGAAACTTAGAAAAGCATTGCAGTGAATAGTAAACACCTAGTGCTGTAAATTATTACAGTAATGGGAGCCGCCTTGAGAATCAACAGCATGTCCTACTGGAGTTAAAAAATTGCTTGACGGCTCCCTCCTGTGGTGAATATGTATTTTTTGTGTGATCTAAACAGAAAAGATTATATAAAAGACTGACTAGCTATTCAAATAGAAACCTACGCTGGGTGAATATGTTTTCATAAATGTAGAACATTATGCTTCATTTTATTGTATAAAATGCAGAGAAAGGAGCAAGAGACCAAAACAAGTACTTGTAAATGATTGATAAGTGTAGGTCAATGCTATTTAGCTGTTTGACTTTCTTATATGTTTGTTGTCAAGTAGTTCCTGCAACTCAAGTATAAAAAGAAAAGAATAAGATGGAAACAGCAAAAATATGTTTCACCATTCTTGGAGCCATGACTCTAAGGATGTGGTGAGTTTTTACATGACGTATAATTTTACTCCACTCTTAAAAACTCTGTGTAGAGAGAGTTTAACAGTGCCTCTTTTACTGAGGGAAGTTATTGAATAACTCTCTTGTGACAATGACTTTTACAAAATACATTTTGCTGACATGCCTAATATCTTTATTATTATTTTAGCACATTTTTTACACAGCAGATAATAAAAAGAAAACTTGCTGGATTTGTATGCCAGCAATTACGTTACAGCTCACAAATTAGAAACATTTGAAACAGACAACAAAACAAAACCAGCTATAGTCTGGAACAGTTTGATGTTTCTTTATTAAAAGTAAATAACTTTTAGTTCTGCTCAAGGTCCAAATCAGGGACAAACAAGGATAACTTTTAATCCATACATAAGTAAGTTTCACAAAATTAGACAACCTACAACATTGACTATGTCTGAGAAGCTATTCTAGTCAAGACTCAGCAGGACAACAAAGAAAGAAAGGAAGTCTGCAATGGATCAGACAGGAGTCATAAATGCTGATTCAAATCATCAGTTACAAATGCTATTTGCTACATAAGACAAAATAAAATGTCTCCCATTAGCCTTAAGTTTTATTGTCCTCCATGGCTCCATATGACAGGCCAAACAGACTCAGTATCTTACATCCCAGCCAGTGTTGTCTTTACAAAGAAGAGACCTTCAGATTATTTATCAGTGTACACTAATGTTTGTCACATAAAAAGTAGCCTCCTTCAGCTTAACATTCTCAAAAACAGATACATTATGCACAAATTGTGTAGTTAAATTGTGAAGAGATTATATTAAATTAACAAATCAGTAAATTAAAACAATCTAAATGCAATAATACTCCTGGGGGCAAATCTAAAACCACACACTGCTTGACTGGTTCTTTGAAATTCTGAAAGCACATTTGTTTGAAAGGGTAACGAAGCCCTCGACACATTTTCCTCCTGAGGAAAATGTGTTGAGGGCTTCGTTACCCTTTGAACAATAGCAAACAAAGGTCTTTACATTTCTGTTGTTTTTTTGTGACAGTGGCAGAGAAATGTTACTTTTTTGTTCTTTTAAACTCAAATTATTGGAGAGAATACATTTGAAATAAATTTTTTTGGGTGTGGTAAAATGATCACAAATTAAAACTTGATATTTCAGGAAAAATTTAACACCAATTCCTTGTATGGAGGGACAATAACATTCACAACAAACTGGAATCCCACAGAAACACAATTTTTATTGGTTAACTGGTTAACTGAATAATTGGTAAACTCAACCTGATTCTTATTAAATTTACATTTTCTTTTTCCATTTTGAAGTAGTAATTAAATATACTGCACCTCTCTGTTTAGATCACACAAAATACATATTCACCACGGGAGGGAGCCGTCAAGCAATTTTTTTAACTCCAGTAGGACATGCTGTTGATTTTCAATGCGGCTCTCATGACTGTAATAATTTACAGCACCAGGTGTTTACTATTCACTGCAGTGCTTTTCTAAGTTTCAGTCTGAGTGTTGAGCTGTCCTGAAACTGACACCTCTAGATTTACATCAGAGCAATGTTACAGCGGCTTTTTGTCATGGTTGTGGTCTTTATAGGTAAGAGATTTGTATGAGTTAAATGTTTTCAAGCCTCTGTCAAGTTTTTTATCACATAACAACCAGCTAAACCTTATTCATGTTGAGCTCTATATGATTAAAATATACCTAAAATTTTAGGTATATATTTTCAGCAATTTATAGTCGGCAAATCTTTCATTCCTATCCAGATTTGTTTTTTGACCTCTTAAACCATTTTTAATTCTGAGTTTATTTTTTAACTGTTTCCAGGTTTATCTAATGGAGCTGGTTTGTTACCAGATGGTCCTCTGAATGCCTCTGTTGGAGGGACAGTGATGTTCACAACAAACTTGGATCCAACAGAAACACCATTTATATCGGTCAACTGGCAGTTTCAGGCTGATGCCTCTGGTTCCTCAGGACTTGAACTCATAATTATCTCACAGACAACTGGAGACACAATTACACCAGCATATGAAGGCAGGATCACTCTCTTCAGATCAACTGGATCTCTGGAACTCAGGAATCTGAAACTCAGTGACAGTGGAGATTACATAGTTATCATTCAAGATGGACCAATTCAAAAGACAGGACGCACCACACTGAATGTTTATGGTGAGTAAATGTTGAAAGCCAAGATTCATCTAACATGTTACAGTTTCTAAGCTTATTTTATTTTTTTCATTGTCCATCCATCAAGTGAGAGCTGTAGGCTATTATTTTGAGCTTTGAAACATTTAAATGTATTTTGTGGGAACAAGAATTAAGGAATTAGAAGGAATGGCCCACTACATTGTTTAAAATCAGATTTCCTTCAAGACATTTAAAATGAAATTGGCCAAAATAAAAAATAAAATAAATTTGAACTCAGGAGTCTTAAATTCAGTTACAGTGGAGTTTACATAGCATTTAAGATGGAATAAATCACAAGCCAGGACGCACCACACTGAATGTTTATGTTGAGTAAATTTTGAAAGCCCATTATGTTTAATTAGACATTTTTGCTTTGTCTAATTAAACGTTAATTTGCTATGTTATCTTTTGACATCTTGTTTCAACCCTGTACGTGTCTATATGACCTCAACTTATAATAGCACATAGGTCTTATGAATAGTTAATAGTAGCACAGAATTATAACTATAAGTTAGTTCCATAATTAATTATTAGCTTCTATATATAAATTATTAGCAGTCCCATTGAAATATTTAGGTGATTCTATCATAATGTATAAAGTCAAATTACAACTGAAAGCACATTTGTTTAAAACTGCCTTCTGCCCTTTGTAACCAGCTGATTTTATGATTTACTAATGTATCTTTTAATTTATTTTATGTATTTTGGATGGTGTGCTTGAGGCACCTTTAAATAAAATGTTTTATTATTAAAGAAACTCTACTTTCTAAACCTATATATTGAAGCATTAAGCTGAGCATGGCCTTTTCACATTGATCAACTTGTGAAAAGCAGTTTTATATCTGTAAAATGATCCTGATGGTTGTTCTCTTTTATAAAATGTCATTTTAAATTAGAATATTTTGTTTCCTCCAACAGAACCAGTCTCCAATGTAAATATCTCCCCACTAAGTTCAGACTTGATTGAGTTCAACAGCTCCGTCAGTCTGTCCTGCTCCTCCTCTGGATTTTCTCTCTCCTTCCTATGGATGAAAGACAGCTCTCAGGTCACAACCAGTGACAGAGTTCAGATTATCACAAATGAAGAAAACTCCAATCTGGCTGTAGTCAATGTGACTCGAAATGACCAGGGATTATACACCTGCTATGTGGCCAATCCTGTCAGTTCTATAATCAGTGATCCAGTAAAAATCTCTGTTAGTTGTAAGTTTATCTACATGCTCAACATCTGTTTAAATGTGTTGCAGCCATTGCATAAATATAATTTTAAAGGTTCTGATTCTTTAATGTAATTTTTTTTTTCAAACTAACTTAGTATTTTATTTAGCCGTCTATCATAATTAATTCAAGATTTTAATTAATTTTTTAGTGACATCACATTTTCTTTGCGTATTGCTGTGTCTACTCTCAGATGGTCCAGACAATGTACAGATAGAAGTGTATCCATCACAGGAACATTATGAGAAAGGATCAGACATTAATCTGATCTGCTCTGCTGACTCATCACCTTCTGCTGAATATCAGTGGTTTCTGAATGGAGACAAGCTGCCCAGTAGTGGTCCATTGCTCAGACTGACAAATATCCAGATGAGTCAGAGTGGAAACTACAGCTGTCAGGCCTTTAACAGCAAAACTCTGAGATATCAAACATCTGAACCTTCACCTGTCTCTGTTCATGGTAGGTATGACAATGTTTTCAAAAGCTCTACCTCTGTTTTACATTAGTAATGTCACTAAGCAAAATCAGTTAAATGCTTTAAAAACTTTCTTGTAGAGATACCTAGTCCTAGTCTTCTGTCATAATTCTTTTCTCTTCAGATTAAATTTATTTTCAGATGTACTTGATTATCATGTAGGACTGATTTGTTTTTGTTTTTTTCCACCCAGAGCGAGTCTCTAATGTAAAGGTAACTCAAGATGTTACCCACTTGATTGAGTTCAGTGGGTCTGTCAGTTTCTCCTGCTCCTCCTCTGGATCGTCTCTGTCCTTCTCCTGGATGAACAGCAGCTCTGAGGTCACAACCAGTGACAGAGTTCAGATCACTGATGGAGGATCCAAGCTGACTATAATCAATGTGACCAGATATGATGATGGATCTTACAGCTGTAATGTGTCTAATCCTGTCAGCAGTGACAGCAGTGATCCTGTACACCTCTCTGTCAGCTGTGAGTTTTTCCAACGCTATGATAACATCCTTTTTAAATTAATACATTTATTGGAGTTTAACAGCCTTTGTTGCTATTTCACTATTTGAGAAAATATGAGAAACATGTTTTTAAAAAGTCAGATCAGGTAAAACACCATCATATTTGCAAAACATCATCAGTTAATCATGTCAGTAATAACATTACTCATCCAATAAACTTTAAATATGTGCTTCTTTTGCTAATTTTTGTACTATTTCTCAAAGTGAAGCAGCTGTTAACTAACACTACACTGAAAAAGCTGTTTTTTGATTAATATTAATTGTTACAGATGGTCCAGAGAAAGTCAACTTAGAATCACCTACTGAAACACCTTCTGAAGGGTCGAACATCCGTTTGTCTTGTTCAGCTGACTCCAGACCTGATGCCACTTTTGATTGGTTCTTTAATGGAACAAGTCTGTCTGCTTCTGGATCTGTGATTGAATTCACCAATGTTCAAAAGAATCAGAGTGGGAACTACAGCTGTCGGGCCTTTAACAGCAGAACCTTAAAATATCAAACATCTCAACTTTTACCTATCTTTATAGCAGGTAAGCTATGTCACACTCACAAACTTTTAAAATACTTTAATTTTATTTCATGTGATGGACCAACAAACATTTCACATTTTGGTAAACAAGAAGAGAAACAGCTTTCAAAATCTTTTACAGATGAAAATCTCAAAAGTGTATTTGTATTCAGAACTTCACATGCCCCTTAGGACCACCTTTTACTCAGACTAAATTTAATGTAGTGTCTGGACTTTGACTTGGCCATACTCATAGGTAAATATATCATTGTAGCTCAAGCTGTATGTTTTGCACTGTAAAACATTTGAAGGTAGTTTGACTTGAAAATAAAAGCCAACACACTATGAACACACCACCTTTAAGAGTTACCATAAATGTTGCTTAACCTTGTCAATGTGTAACAAATAAATTATACTGTTTGCTCATAATTTAATTTCATTTTTCTACTTTATGTTAGATGCTAGTAAACCTGGAGGACTCGTTGGTGGCGCCATTGCTGGAATAGTAATTGCATGTTTATTAGTTGTTGCTGCAGGAGCTGCTGGAGGCTATTTTATCTACAAAAGAAGGTGAGTTTCTTTATGTATCCAACAATACATTTTATATGTTAAGCTTTTTAAACTACATTAGAGCGCAATTCATGCTGAACTATGATTAACAAGTGTTTTCTCAGTTATCCATATTTATCGCAAGTTGCCTCGGTTTTATATAAACTTATATAAATTTTATATAAGTTTATATAAAATTTCTTGAGTTTTAGTTTTACCATCCATAAAATTTTGATGATAAGTATGTTAACCCATTTTAACAATATCTTTTCTCTGAATATGGGGCTTTTCAGAGAAAATGTACAACATTCAGGCACTACAGGTTAGTTTGTTTACACTACATTCAGTGCATGAATCTCAATTACTTCACTTTCCTAGTAACTGATTCCATTGTAAATGTAAATATTTTAGGGAACTTGTATCATTTACAACAAAGCTCCAGGAAATAGCTTAAACTGGCTTATCATTCATACCCGTATTAAGAAAAGCTTCTAAATGTCATGTTTGAAATATTTTTGCTTCCAGAGCAACAACATGAATATGAAAACATGCCAAGAATAAAGAAAAATAAGGAAAAAGGTCATGTTTACGAGAATTTTGCAGCTACACAGAAGAATAAAGAACCAGAACATGTGTATGAGGAAATGTCTCAGATAAAGAAGAAATAAAATCAACAGTTTTTGGTTCTTTAAAGGTGAGATCTGAATTAGGAATCTGCTAAAAAAGAAACAGTTTAAAGTACTTGGATACATTTTAATTACTTAATATTAAAAAAAAATCAACAGTTAAGTATTTTTATAAATCCTTGTGATGGTATGATGTTAATCATTACATTAATATTTTTCCTTGTCACACAATGATCAAAGAAAAAAAACATGAATTATGACACAACAGGAAGAAACCGATATTATTGTGCTGTATTTTTGCCTTTTGGGTTTATTCCTATTTATCTCTTGCTGAAAGTTTCAAAGTCTTAAAACAATGAATCAAATATGTAAAGTTTTATACATTCTTCAAACATTGTTAAAATGTTCATTTGCTACTTCCAAATTGATCTAGAGTAAGAAAATATTTTTATAAACGCTTTATCAATGCAAGTGTTTGATAAGATTTGGTTTCAGCTTTGCTATTCATTTATCGTTCACTGTAATGATGCTAAACCTTGACTTTTCAACCTTTTGAACCTCTGGCATTGACATGACTGTCAACCTCTCAACAGCTATTTAGGTCACATTTAGTTATTTGAAAAGAAGTGCAATACATTGTCTTATCATAATTTGTGAGATGCTGTGTTGCATCTCACAAAACATAAAGATGTTTTGCTAAAAAGAGGAAGTGGTAGAAACAAAAGTAAATGAGAACAACTTATTCAGGGAACATGGCTCAGTGGTAGAGCAGGAGCACCAAACAGGAGCACCTATCGTTTTTCATGAGATGACCTAATTTCAGTTCCAGGTTCAGAGCAATTTGATTCATGTCTCTCTCTCTTTCTTCCTATCAACCTGCTGTTGAACAAAAGCTACTATTGCCAGAAAAAAAAACTTTCCTCTCCTCAACCTTTAGTTTAACTGATTGATTTGAGTACAAACTTCTATTGTTTGCAACTAGTTACAGCTCTGTTCTCTAATAAAGCTGTCAGACACCTCCCTCTAGTGTTCTGCAGGAAATGCAGGCCTTTAACTACATATCTTTTCTTTTTAAAGTTATGATTCATCATCTTGTTATTTTAGACAGTTAAACGGGTCAGACCTCATGTGTCATCACTAATTTAATTCAAAGCCTCAAGATCAAGAAGATTTAAAACAATATGTTTGCTGGTTCTTTGTTGTCATGATGGCCTTCAAGACTGTCCAAGAAATATTTCTGCTTTTATCGTGTTTTTGGAATGAAGTAAAATAATATATTAAAGAAGAAACCTCATAATTATGAATATATATTGCAGAAATCTTAGCCTGTTTTTGTTTTTGTTTCCATTATTCATCATGTACTAAATTACAATTTAAATTAAATCATATACATTGCAAAAAACAAAGTCTTACCAACTTTTTGTGTCTAGTTTCAAGTGCAAAAATCTTAGTACACTTAAAATAAGACAAAAAAAAAAACTAACTCACAAGTAGTTGCTCAGCAAGCAAAAGGAGCTTTCTTGATAAAAAAGTATTTGTTCCACTGGCAGATTATTTCACTTATGTCTTGTAATTACTGAAATAATCTGCCAGTGGAACTTCTATTTTTCATCAATCTTTAAGAATTATTGATTTAAAACATGCTCCTATTCCTGAAAAGTTACTTGTGAGTTAAACTGAAGATCTAAATATCTTATAATGGAGCTAAGGCGTAAATTCAAGCTGGGAGACAGAACACAGCTGATCCTCAACACAGCTGATCTACAAACACAGCTGATCCTCTCCAATGATGTCACACCCTGCTGCGGCCAATCAGGATCGGTGCCCTGGCGCGTCCCAGCCAATCAACGTCAAGCCGGTCCATTCAAGAGTCGAGCCTCCGGGGATCGGCCCGCTCGTCAGCTGTGCTTCGTCTTTGGTCTGCAGAGCACCGTAGATGTCCTTCCCTTCTTTCACCGCTCAGGTCCAGGAATCATCCCTTGGCCGCCGGCTGCACTTCGTTAATCTTCCAGTGGCTCCTCACAGATCCTACTGCCGCACCTAGCCTTCCTTCGGCCTCCATCGGCGGCGTCGAAGCGGGACATCTTCCCTTTTCATGTCGTGGTCACATTCCGTCATCCGCCTGGTTCCCTGCTCCGGTTCACGATCGTTCAATTGCTGCGGCTCTGACGCTGCCCCGCAGTCGTGCGCAGGTTCTCCCCAAGACCTGCTTTGGTTCCTTCTGCTGTTTCTGCTGTTTCGTCATGAACTGGCCCCATTACCTGGACGGTCTCCTCCTGTTCGTCGCCGGGCGTACGCTGCCTCCGGACCACTGCGCTCACTTCCGTGTCTCGGCTCCCAGCCGGCTCTTCAGTCTCATCATACCATAACCTCTCCCGCCCATCGAGGGCGTTGCCAGGTAACGTACCCGCTCCTGTCCAGTTCATCAGCCGTTCGCTCAGCTCTCACAGTGCACCAGCACTTCAATGCATGTTCATGTCGCCCCTGGGCGGGTCAATCTGTACGTCTCAGGGACAACCGAACGCTTAGTGCAGTCAGCGAGCTGGGTTCACCTCATCTCAGCCTAATCGGCTATCAATTCAGCATTTCGTTCCGGCATTCCCCGCCCGTGCCCCGAAGCCCTCGCCTCAATTGCTGGCTTAGATCGCTCCATTCCGCCAGGAGCCCAGTCGCTCCTCGGCACACCCTGCCCCCTAATCCCAGGCCCGCAGGCTGTCTGCCACAGCTTCAGCTTATTTAAACAGGATGTGATTCTTTAAAGTCACGGACGAGTCCGGGTGTTAAGTCTGGTTCGATAAGGGTTTGTTTCTTTGTTGTTTCTTTTATATTTAGGGGTCGTGCTGTCTGAGTATCTCGTTTTGCTCCCGTAATTCTGCCTATTTTTCATTTAAATACGCGTAGTTGGTCGATCTCTTGTGCGGCTCTAGCTGGCCACCAGAGAGCGGCGCTTAAGGCAATACATGTTTTCTAAGGCGTCGGGTACGCATCTGCTATTCTACTTCCCGAATTCAGCGCGAACCGGTTTGTCTTAAACTCAAGTTGCCAACAACCTCTGGCGTTAAGAGCCCACGCTCATCGCTAAACAAGCATTTAGCATAATCGCCTAGTCCGAAAATTAATATAAGTCTCACCAGTATTTCAGTAGTTTTTGTATATTCGTGCAATTCGAATGTATTATGGGAATTTGAGTCTCAAGCTCATGATAACGCAGTTCATGGCTTTCTCATGGTCTCCTGCTACCATCTGCTGGACAAATTTAGAAGTGACGATCATGTCAATCAGGATTTATACCTTTCATTCATTTCCTCTTCTGCATTCCCCGTAGAACTCGCTCAGCCTATGAAAGAAGCCAGGTCTTTGCTGCCTGTCACTACTCACGGCCATTACTCTCCCTGAGCTGATCCATCCTTCTTAGAACCAACGCTCGACTAAATGACACTATATCCCTTCCTGTGTTCAGCACGTAATGGCACAAAATCGGGTTTTGCCCTTCTACTACTTCCTCGTTTACGTCGTCCGGCAATCAGTCACCAAGTCCTGCTCAGTTATGAATCCGTCTCCCTTACTCCTCCAGTTCTCTCAGATACTTTAAGACGTCCAGTTCTCACCTTCATCACTCACCGTCTCGATGATTGTTGATCCAAACTTGTCACGTCCAGTTCTGCCTGTCGGAATTATTTTCTGTGTAGCGCTTCAGCGATCTAGCACATCATCTAGTCTCTCCTCGATCCTTAGTCAAGGTATCTCCGTTACAAAGGGTCTTCTTTCACCAAGCGCCCCCATCATCCGCTTCCTTCCTAGCATCGTTCGAATTTCTTAGTCCGTTCCCAATCCTTCCCTGACCACTTCAACCTCCTCATAAGCTTCCCAAACGAAAGGCACTACTATCTTTCTGCACCCACAGCCGGTTCAGCATAACCATTGTCCAAGTGTTCCTACAGCTTCTATCTATCGCTCGGCCATCGGCCATCCTCAGTCTTCCATTTCATGTCGGACTGAACTTCAGCTGTGCGTGAAGCTCAACGTTCTTATCCGCTACGTGAGTATCTTTCAAATGCCTGGCGATGGTGCACCGACAGTCTTTAACACATTCTTACCTAGTAATCCGGCAGACCAGCGGCCTTCGGCCTTTAGTTAGCGCTGACACATCATTCACAGCTCAAAACGCGGCTCGTGCCCCTCGGAGGGCCCCCGCCAACGACGCGGCTCGCACCCCTCGGAGGGCCCCCTCCAACCCTTCCAGCCCCTCGGAGGGCCCCCTCCAGCCCCTCGGAGGGCCCCCTCCAGCCCCTCGGAGGGCCCCCTCCAGCCCCTCCAGCCCCTCGGAGGGCCCCCTCCAACAACGCGGCTCGCGCCCCTCGGGGCCCCCTCCAACAATGCGGCTCGCGCCCCTCGGAGGGCCCCCGCAACAGCAGCGTGGTATTAATAAAAAAAAAAAAAAAAAAAAATATTTATATACTTTACTACTTAAGTATTTCGAAGTACAGGGCATTTCAGATACTTTAAGACTTTTAACCAAGTAACATTTCAGTCAGTGACTCCGACTCTACAAAAGTCACATTTTGGAGAGGTTCCTATTCTTTCACCAGAGTGTAGTACTTGTACAACATCGCCCCGCAATATTGCTGCGCCTCAATAGTGCAGACAACAGGTCAGCTAGGTCGACCAAGCCCTCTTGCCTAAGCTTCGCCGTACCAACCACCTGCTCGGCGATCCTCAGCCAGGAGCTGTTAATTCTACCTCATACTCTGTCATCATGTCCAACGTCCTCGCCTTCATCACCCACTGTCAACCTTCGTCAGTCAAATCCCCTATATTCTCAGTCGTTCGCAGGAATCAATCTTCACGCAAAACTTTCGCAACCAAGCACAGCACCAGTCTCCTTTCGAACCCAGCCGCGAAACTTCTACTCTTTGACCTCTAAGCATTCCACCAGGTATCCCAACCGCTGAAGCCTATCACTCTCCCTCTACCCATAAAGCTCATCACCGTGCTCCGAGCTTGTACTTTCTCCAACTACGTTAAAGCGCTCCTCTCCTGCGCTCTTCTCCAAGCATCCTATGGTTTCCTCAGGTCGGGCGAGTTCGCCTCAGCTTCTCCAGTCTTCAACCCTCCAATAGATTTATCAATCTCCGATATCAAGTTTTTCCCCAACCATTACACCCTCCTAATCACGCACTCCAAAATTAAAGGTCTTCGTACTTTTTCTATCGCACGCATAGACAGCCATCTTGCCCCTTCCGTGCCACACTCAAATTCGTGTGCAAAAGGCATCAAATCTATCAGGAAGCTAAACCCCAGTTTATAGCTCCCGTAGGCTTCCCCACGACCGCAGAGTCGTTTATCCGCCACCTCCGCCCTATTTTACGAGAAGGCGGCCTTCTCCTGGATCATTATTCAGGACATCCATTTAGAATAGGCGCTGCTACGTCCGCCCCAGCACTAGGCATCCCCATCGCTTCCCTCCTCCAGCTCGGCCGCTGGTCATCTTCGGCTTTCACTTCCTACATCAGACCCAATCTCGCAACAGTGCTCGAAGCCCAACGCTCCATGTCATCAGGTGAGCAGTCAGCACGACTGGCGTTGTAGTTTTGTTTTTGTTTTTTTTTTTTGGGCCATTTTAACAATTAAATATTTAGGCGAACCGGCCAGACCAGAGACCCTCAGCCTGCAGCCCGGCAGCAACCGATCCCCTCTCGGCTCCACTTAGCGCATCGTGCTCATCAGGCCCCGTACACGTCTGTAAGTCCCCGCCAACGACGCGGCTCGCGCCTAGCAAGTCTATCAGACTGCAGGCCCCCGCCAACGACGCGGCTCGCGCCTAACAAGTCTATCAGACTGCAGGCCCCCGCCAACGACGCGGCTCGCGCCTAACAAGTCTATCAGACTGCAGGCCCCCGCCAACGACGCGGCTCGCGCCTATCAAGTCTATCAGACTGTAGGCCCCCGCTTCAGAGCCCGCATACAGTCCGTCGGACTGCAGGCAGGTAGGCCTCGGCCGGCACCCTCTCTTTTGGGGGGTAAGACTAGTGAGCTTCGCCGGACTCAGCATCTTCACCCGGCGATCTACGCTCGCTAGTCTTCCGCCGGTTCGAGCGCCAAAGATTTGTTCATTAAAAATCCTCTAACTGTTTATTTTCTCTGTGTGAGTTGATCCAGATTGAAATGGAGCTAAGGCGTAAATTCAAGCTGGGAGACAGAACACAGCTGATCCTCAACACAGCTGATCTACAAACACAGCTGATCCTCTCCAATGATGTCACACCCTGCTGCGGCCAATCAGGATCGGTGCCCTGGCGCGTCCCAGCCAATCAACGTCAAGCCGGTCCATTCAAGAGTCGAGCCTCCGGGGATCGGCCCGCTCGTCAGCTGTGCTTCGCCCACCTCCTCCCCATCTCCACCCTCAGCCCGACGTCCATTCTCCACGCGCTTTACGCGCTCCTCCATCCGAGGCTCTGCTCCATCACCAGTATTCGGACCGGGGGGTAAGACTAGTGAGCTTCGCCGGACTCAGCATCTTCCCCCGGCGATCTACGCTCGCTAGTCTTCCGCCGGTTCGAGCGCCAAAGATTTGTTCATTAAAAATCCTCTAACTGCTTATTTTCTCTGTGTGAGTTGATCCAGATTGAAGTTCTTTATGAAATGAACCAAGCAGTAAGGTTCCTGTAACAGAGCATAACTAGAAAACATAACCTTTCCTTTAAGACTTTCATTTGTCTATGGAAAATAGAATAATGTCTAAAACATTATAGATGCTGAAAACTGACAACACAGATGGAAAAATGACACAAAATAACAAATCACATAACGATTGTCTGCCACTTAATAAACGGTCTGAAAAATTTTAAAAATAAGTCCCTTTACAAAGCATCTCATATTTTAATCAAGGCATGTTTGACATGGTTCAATTGAGTTTATTGACTACAAACAAATTCACAACAATTTTGTCTTGATACACTTTACAAAAAAGTTGATTCAGTCAAAACACGCATATTTTATGTAACTCCATAACCTTATCTAGCTGTGAATAAGTGAACAAAAAAATCACTGAATTATCTGAACTGTAAAATTCAAATAATCATCTGATTCATGTATGTTAGAGCCTTCGGTTTCTAACATACAGAACCTGGAGGTGGCTCCATGTGGCGTGATTTGAGCGAGTTTCATATGCATACCCCTTTAATTTATAATTTCTTCAGAGAGATCTGCGCCCAGTGACGCTCAGCTTGGTGGTGCAAAAAACTGTCTTTGCCATACTAATTCTCAAGATATCACAAAGAACAGAACAATATGAAGAGAAAATGTTAAATTAGTAATTTCAAAATTAAAAAAGTAACTTTGATTCATTTAGCAATTTAACATTAACAGGTTTTATTTGTTTTTGAGCATTTATACCTGTTTGTTTTCCTACTAGGCTAAATTCCCCCCTTTGAATTAAAAAGGCTTTACAAAAACTTAGTTGTTGAAATCCCACAAATAATACATAAGTTCCTTTAAATAAATATTGCTCTTATATAAAGAAATCTAAAAAATAAGCCTCCATCTTACAAATGGACAATGTAAAGATTTGAACTCTGATAAACACTTGTAATTTTATATGAACAGTTTAATTTTTAATTTTTTCATTTCTTTTATATTTATAACTTGATTTCGTTTGATTGGATAGACCTGATGAATGAACAACAAGATGTCTGTCACAGTTCAGCTCATGATGAGAGCAGTTGTTTGTGACATGCAGTCTTTTCTGACCTAGATTACAATAAATGTAGGACAATCTGCATGCTGCTCTTTGGACCTTTCTGTCATAGCTTCAGCTTTGGAGTAAACATGGTTTTATTCACCCGGTGTTTATAATTCAATACTACTTGCATAAACCAATTTCTGACTTTAAAGTTTTGCAAAAATGAGAATGTTAGTTTTATAACTGTGTTTGGCAAATTTTACCAACATTAGCAGCATATATACCATTTATACCATTTTCAAAGTGTGTAAAGAAAGTGAAAATGTTCTCATTTCTACATATTAATTTACCATGATAGTCTCATTTCCTATTGTAAACATGACTGTTTATATTTATTTCAATGTGGCATTGACGTTGAAAGCAATCAAAAAATGTCCTGGACCTGTGCAGGCGTACATGCCAATGAAAACTTTGATTTTTAATCACAGACATGAACATTTTATCTCTTAAACTTCTATTTATTTTGAATAAAAACAGTTCTTCCTGAGACAGCACCGAATAAAAACAAAACTGTTTTGTTATTTTTGTCTCTTTCAAATACTTCAAACATTTCAAACCCATCAAGATAACCTTTATGTTGTTGACAGAGAATTATGAACAAATATATCAAAGCTGACATTAAAGTTTAATCTGCTCTATATTATGATTTCAGTTTTGTGTTTTACCAAAGCAGTTAAATACAAGGTGAGGAGTTTCTTAACATATTTGAAGATAATTAAATACTGGTACTCGTGTTAATGATTACCTAATCAGGGACTTCTAGAGTTTTCAATGTTACTTCCTTTACTTGTGTTTACCTCCCATAACTAAACAGCAGACAAGCAAGGAAAGCAGGATCTGTTTTTCCATCTGTGCCTGATGAAACAACATGGAAACAGTATTTAAGTAGATGTTGTCTCTTGCATAATACAACTACAAATAAAAAAAATTAGAAATCAATTTTATCCTCTTCTGCTGAATAATCATACACCAAAGTTTTTGTTTGTTTCCAACAACTGTGCACAAAGATGATGAAAAAGCTTACGTTTTAGAAGGTAGGTTTATAAAACTCTGAAATTAAATGTGCCATCATTCTACACATGTTGGCAGGTTTTTGTTTATGCATGTTCAAGAGTACATTTGATATGATCATGCTATTATTAAATTGCATCTTGTATCTCACAGTGTTGTGTACCTGTGTAATTCTACCTGGGAAAACACAAATTTATTTTATCTTTTGGAGACATTTTGACCTATATTAAATGCAAAACAGCTTCCTTATTGTACCAGTGAACACATTTCTGGTTCTGTATTTATCAAGTTATATTATTTTATTGTCTACCTCTTTATGACTTAACAGCATTTCCATGTTGGAGAAAATGACAGCTGAATCCAAAGTTCACAAACCCTCAGAGTTCTGCTATACCTGTGTTTCATATAATCTCTCCAGTTTTAGATAGGAACATTCAGAATCTTATTGAATTAGTTAAGGAGGCACCAGCAGCCAAGTCCAAAGTTTACAGGAACTAAAAGACTGGAGCTATAATTATGCACAAAATATGTCTCATGACTAAACCTTCCACGGTGACATATATGTAAAACAATCTTCAATGTAAAAAGTGAAAAAAATTTGTGTCAGAGTTGAAATGGCATAAGGTATTTTATTGTTGTCATAAGCCAGATTAGCTGTTTGATTTATCTCATAACAGAAATATATCATGTATTTTATAAAGAGACTTTTTTTGTCATTTTAAACATCACTATCACTCAAAAGAATCGTATGGCATATTAAAAGGTCAAAGTCTCAAATTTGAGACTTTGACAAGCAAAAAATAGTTTCATGCAGCCCTGGTAGAGAACAGGACAGAAATACAAACATTTTGTCATTCATAAAGCTTTACTTTCACGTGCTGATCCTTTACTATCAAGTTATTCAAAATTCTAGAAAATTTTTAATTTAAAATCTATTTAATTTCACCAAGAAGGTTGCTTTTGTAATTAAATAAGGCAGGCATCATTCAAAAGACTTCAAAACAATTTAAAGAAATCTAATACTTTTCATCTGTTTTCACAAATATGTCACTTAAAAAATACATATATAACTTTATTTAAATCCATGACTTGTATTTAATATAATTCTCAGTATTCAATACACAAAGCCTTATTGGTAACAGCCAAGAAAGCCTTCACTTAGTAACCATGTTTTTTATTTGTCATCTTTCCACTTTTTAACTTGGTAATTGATAAGGGCATCAAATATGGAGGCTTCTTTTGAAGTTAAGCTTTCCAGAAAACCATGACTGCCAATTTTTAGTGAAAAAATCTAAATTGTTTAAAAAATTACTTTATATCATTATTTTCCTCTAGATATTAGTATTTTTGTTGTTGCTCAGTTTAAACTTCTAAAACTGTTGCTAAAAGAACTATTTGTTAATGGTTCATAAATTAATGTTTGACAGTTTCACTTCATGTTTTTGCTGTTGTCAGATCCTACAGCAAATAGTAGTATTACATTCAGTGGTGACTGGATGCATATTTCCCCATTTCTGGTTGCTGCTGAGCTCCTGCAGCTTAAGTAGGCGCAGCTGGTTCCATTCTGCTTCTTAATGAGCAGAGGATAAAGCTGAGTGTGGAACTGATCTTAGGCACCATTATCCCTTAATGAAGGTTTTGTTTTCCACATTTTTATAAGGGGTGAAATATGACTGTTGCTGAGAACAGGTTGATGGTTCTTTCTTTGTCATCCAGTTGAGTGAGGCCTTGTATTTGAAAACAGGAGGTCCAGTGTCTGGAATATATTTTGTTTGATACTCTGGATGTTTATTTACAGTCATATTTGTTTCAGGGTCCCCCTTTGAAACATCAAAATTCTTCTGCTTATGTTTTTTAAATAAACCATGAATAATACCCTCCTGGGGTTTTTTTTGTCTCTTAATTCCTTAGATATTTATTGTCACACAGCCACCCCCAGCCTGCCTTGGGAAAGTAAAAGATATTCAGTGATAAAATGAAGCCTCATCTTTATTTTTACACTCAATATAATAACATGAAAACATACATTTTAATCTACATCATTCCTGAAATTAATTAGTTTGTATTAGGTTTAATACACAGCAACTACACAACTACCTGTTGACATATTTCTATTTGAAGTTTTCTGTTTAGACAAGAAATAAAATGGAAAAATAGAATAAATTAGACATTTATAAATATTCATCATACTCTATTGTCCTATGCTAGTTTTAATTAGAGTAATATATAAAATAATACAATAATGACCGTTGCATGAATATTGTTTTACACTTACTATTATATTGAATACATCAATAAGATACAAATGATAGTAAAAACATTCAAACCTGAAATTATAAAATAACGTCTCCACAATAAAAGCAAAGCTGTCCATGTCTGTCCACAAGACACAAAAATTATACCATTTTTGGTGTTAAGGTATAATCTAAATATTTATTAACTGAAAATTATTAATAATTTCTTTAAAATTTATCTTCTTTATGTATGTCATACGGTCCCTTAACTTGCAATCATAATTGCTACACAATACCTTGACAAAATCAAATTATCTTTACACACAAAGCAAGCAGCAGTATGAAGAAAGTAAGGAATTATATTTTTTAACAAGACAATAATTCAGACTTTTTGCTGTTGTAGACTAATCCAGATTAACCAGAGACCATGAATAGAACCATTGAAATAATTGGTACAATCAAACCTATTAGAAGGGACAGCATGGTTAATTTTGAACTTTCAAATATCAGTATGGCCGGAAATACTATTTTAGATGCATTTTAGATCAGATTAAAATATAATTTTCTTGTCAAAGATGGGTGCTACAGACTGATGCTGTTGGGATACTTCTCTTCTAAATAAATAAGGAAACTAGTGGTAGTTAATGGTAAGATGGAAAGCATTAAGTCAAAGACAATATTTGAAGAACCTCCTAAATGCAGCACAGGACAAGACACTTGGTTGAGATGTTCGATATAATAAGGTTATGTTATTATAGGTCCACCAATTGTAGTTCTGATTCTTCTGAACATTAGTGAGTTTGAGCTCCGATCCAGAATCAGGCAGAAATTTTCAATTCAGTGAAAAATGTCAGGAGGACTGGAGTCAGCTGAATGAAACAGATGGATGTCCGATCCTTCTGGATATTTTTGAGAAGGTAATTTTAAGTTGACTTTGTCTGGGCCATCTGTAATTGTGGAGAACAAGGTGTTTCACTTGATATGAATTTTTAAAAATGTGTTTCTTATATTTTTCCAAATTATGTAAAAATAGCAACAAACAACAACCATTAAGCTCCAATAACTATGATATTGTTTGATTTCGAACAAAGTTACCTAATTAATGAAAAACTCACAGCTGACAGAGAGGTGCGAAGGATCACTGTTAGCACTGCTGACAGGATTAGACACATGACAGCTGTATGATCCATGATCATATCTGGTCACATTGATTATAGTCAGCTTGGATCCTCCATCAATGATATCAGTGATCTGAACTCTGTCACTGGTTGTGACCTCAGAGCTGCTGTTCATCCAGAGGAAGGAGAGAGACGATCCAGAGGAGGAGCAGGAGAAGCTGACAGACCCACTGAACTCAATCAAGTGGTTAATATCTTGAGTAACCTTTACATTAGAGACTGGCTCTGTGAGTGTAAAAAGCAAAAGAAATCAGTTCTACATGACAATCAAGTACAAATGAAGAAAAATTCAATTAGAAGAGAAATTTGTTATTACAAAAGGACACTACACATTTCTCTGTAAAATTCAGTTTTAAAAAGGTTTTTAGGACAAGTGGCTGAAACTTTATGGTGAAACAAGCACGGTCTGTGTTTAGAAAAAAAACATGTTTTACTTGCTATTGCAGGAGTTGTTGAAAACTCACATAAACTAAGTTATAAAAAAAAAGATACTTTTTTAAATGTCCTTTCTCTTTCATCTGGCATTTTTTACTTTTACATTATCTTTTACTTTATTAAACTTACCCACTATGGATAGGAGTAAAAGTTGAGATGTTTGATATTTTAAGGTTCTGCTGTTAAAGGCCCGACAGCTGTAGTTTCCACTCTGACTCTTTTGAACATTAAGGAGTTCAAGCACAGATCCAGAAGCAGACAGACTTTTTCCATTAAAGAACCAATCAAAAGAGGCATCAGGTCTGGAGTCAGCTGAACAAGACAAACGGATGTTCGACCCTTCTGGATATGTTTCAGTAGGTGATTCTAAGTTGACTTTCTCTGGGCCATCTGAAATTGTAGATAACAATTAATATTAATTCTACACATTGACATCATAGCCATATTTTTGATGTCATCACTGAAATAAGAACTGATTTATAAATATGATGTTTTACTTGATCTGATTTTAGAAAATCTTATATTTTCCCTATTTTTGTATAAATAGCAACAAAAAACAGCAATTAAGTTCCAAGAAAGGTTCTATTGTTTCTATGAAATGAAATGAAATTTTATTTCGAACATGATAGTAGTATAAAGTCATGCACAAGAACAAGGAATGCAAAAGACATATTTTTATGTCTTAACATGCTCAAAAAGGAGTAGGAAGAAGTAAGAAACTTATGAACTCCTGCTCCCTAAACTCATACATTTTCAGACGGACCCTCATAAATAAATCTAATAAAAAAATAAAATAAACAGGTTAATTAATTTCCATTTTATCTAGGTTTACTTATGTCAAAATATATACATCTGTATCCAAACATATGTGGTAGCCTCAATTTACATAAAAACATTAATGTTAACGCTCACCCATATTTCTATATCTTGTGAAAAGAAAGAAAACCTGGAGGAAATGTTTGTCAAAAGGAGGATATGATAGTGATGAAAAACTCACAGCTGACAGAAAAGTGTACAGGATCACTCTTGGCACTGCTGACAGGATTAGACACATGACAGCTGTAAGATCCATCATCATATCTGGTCACATTGATTATAGTCAGCTTGGATCCTCCATCAATGATATCAGTGATTTGAACTCTGTCACTTGATGTGACCTCAGAGCTGCTGTTCATCCAGAGGAAGGAGAGAGACGATCCAGAGGAGGAGCAGAAGAAGCTGACAGACCCACTGAACTCAATCAAGTGGGTAACATCTTGAATGATCTTTACATTAGAGACTCGCTCTGGGTGGGAAAAACAAATCAAAAAAAGTCCTGCATGACAGTAAAGTACAACTGAAGAGAAACTTAATCAAAAGAGACATGAATGAGTAGTTTCTTTTCTCAGAAGACCTGGAATATGTACAGATTTATTTTTACAAAATGTTTTTCATACCTACCATGTACAGAGACAAGTGAAGGTTCAGAGGTTTGATATCTCATAGTTTTGCTGTTAAAGGCTCGACAGCTGTAGCTTCCACTCTGACTCATCTGGATATTCACCAGTTGGAGCAATGGACCGCTACTGGACAGCTTGTCTCCATTCAGAAACCACTGATATTCAGCAGAAGGTGATGAGTCAGCAGAGCAGGTCAGATTAATATCTGATCCTTTCTCATAATGTTCCTGTGATGGATACACTTCTATCTGTACATTATCCGGACCATCTGAGAGTAAACATTAAAAAAAAATCATGTGAAGTAGATGATGGACTAAACAACAATGAAAGTACTCTATTATTAACAGGAACTCATATGTTCTATACTCAAAGTAATTTCCATGAACTGCTAAATAATGCATGATAGTTTATAAAAAAAAAAGAAGTGGTTAGTTTACAGCAATAAAGCTTGGCAAAATTGTGTCATGATGAAATTGTTTTGTATTCTGTCTCACAATTTTGTTTATTTTTGTTGAATTCATGAAAACACATTAAAGTGAACAGATCTCTAGTGTTTGCATGTGTCTTTCTTAATATGCAAATATGAGCACAAATATAAACTTACAGTTAACAGAGATGTTTACTGGATCACTGATGACAGAACTGACAGGATTAGACACATGACATGTGTATGATCCCTGGTCATTTCGGGTCACATTAACTATAGTTAGAATGGAGTTTTCTTCATTTGTACTGATCCGAACTCTGTCACTGGGTGTGACCTGAGAGCTGTCTTTCATCCAGAGGAAGGAAAGAGAAGATCCAGAAGAGGAGCAGGACAAACTTACAGAACCACTGAACTCAATCAAGTCTGCACTTAGTGGGAAAACTCTTACACTGACTGGCTCTGTTGGTGAAACAAAAAGCTGTGGTCATCAAAAAAGAAATACAAATGAATGAACTATAGCAATCAGGAACTAATTTGGTTGAAATCTTAACCCACAGTGAGGCAACATACAATTTTGACAGTATAAAGTTGTCTTGTTAATGCTGGAAAAAAAAACTTTAATCTTCAAATAACATGATCAAACTTTATGGTTTTCACTTGAAATTACATGTATTATATATACTTTTCTGGATTTTCTTTAGACTAAAACCGATATTTGAAATAACTTAAATTGTTTTAAATCTGCAACCTAATGCATGAACTGTACAACTGTGAGATTTTAAATACGTTGCAATTAAATCCACCTTTCAATCAACTAACACCAAACCATGCAACTTTTACTCAGTGTAGCCCATATCAAGTAACTTACACACTGAGGCAAAGTACAGAAGAAAACCTTCTGTCGTGTTAACAAGGAAAAATCTCCAATCAGCAAACTCTGCAATCAAAGTTGGAGGAATTACAGTATTTACCTTGTTCCTTCCAACTTACTCTTTTTAAGGTTCTTTTTACCTAAGTCAGCAGAAAATAATTTTTTGCAAAGCTGCTTGATGAACATTATAAGTTAAGTTTGAATGCATGGAGCACCCTGAAAGCTATGTTTAAGCAAAAAAACAACTGACAAAGTTTCTGTGCCTTTTTAATAAAACTTCAAAATTTTAAATATTCTGAATGAAATCTGATTTTAAACAATGTAGTAAACCATTTCATAAATGTATTCATTTTTACTGTCACAAAATACATTTAAAATAATCCAAATTTCAGCATAATAGTCTACTGCTCTCACTAATGGCTAAAGGGGAGCATGAGATGGGTGGAGACAAACAGATAAGGATAAAATAGTAAAATAAATTGCGGTCAAACTTTACAGACAGAAACATGTTTATTTGATGTTGGCTTTCAACATTGACTCACCATATATGTGCAGTGTGATGCGTCCTATCTTTTGATGCACTCCATCTTGAATAGTCACTAAATAACCTCCACTGTCAGTGAGTTGCAGACTCCTGAGTTCCAGAGATCCAGTAGATCTGAAGAGAGTGATCCTGCCTTCATATTCTTGTGCAGTTATGTTTTCACTAGTAAGCGAGAAAACTATGGGTTTAGGTGCAGAGCCAGAATCAAGCTGCCAGTTGACCAACGTAAATGGCGTTTCTGATGGATTCATGTTTGTTGTGAACATCACTGTCCCTCCAACAGAGGCAATCAGGGGACCATCTGGTAACACACCAGATCCATTAGATAAACCTGGAAAACAATTACAGTGAAGTATTAAAAATGTCTTAAGTTAAAAACCCATTTTGGATAAAAATGAAAGGTTAGCGTAGTATATAATGTTGGAAAATCTTTGAAGTAAATCTTAATCATGTTTGAGCTCTGTTCAAATCCCTCTAACAGATCATGTTCGGCTGATTGTTAGAAAAAAAAAACTTGACTAAGCCTTTAATTTATTTTTGAAAACATTTTACTAATTTCTTACCTGTTAAAATGACAGCCACGATAAAAATCAGTTGTAACATGGCCTTGATGTAAATCTGTAGATGTGACTGAGAGGACAGCTTAGCACTCAGATTAAAAAGCATTGCAATGAATATCAGTAAACACTTCTTGGTGTAAATTATCACAGTAATAAGAGCTGCCTACTTGAACTATAAAGTTGCCAGAGAGCTCCCTCCTGTGGTGAATAACTTTTGTGTAATCCTGAGACTATACACGAGCCGCAAGGTGAGAAAGGATCAGACATTAGTGCGTGTGAGAACCACTGTCCAGGATGAAAAGACTAAGATCCATACATACATCAGGGACAAAGCCTCAACAGACAATGTGCTCAGTGAATGTCTCAGACAACAGAGAACGGAGGTTGAGGTGCCAGAGATACCATCATGGGAGGACAAGCCCCTACATGGGATGTACCACCAGCAAATAACCCAAGTGGCTGATATCAGTAAATCCTATCCATGGCTGGAAAAAGCTGGACTGAAGGACAGCACAGAGGCCCTCATCCTGGCCGCCCAGGAACAGGCCCTAAACACCAGAGCAATAGAGGCCCAGATCTACCACACCAGACAAGACCCAAGGTGTAGGTTGTGCAAGGAGGCCCCTGAGACAGTCCAGCACATCACAGCAGGGTGCAAGATACTGGCAGGGAAAGCGTACATGGAACAACATAACCAAGTGGCAGGCATAGTGTACAGAAACATCTGTGCAGAATATGGACTGGAAACCCCGAGATCAAAGTGGGAAACACCCCCAAAGGTGGTGGAGAACGCCAGAGCTAAGATCCTGTGGGACTTCCAGATCCAGACAGACAAAAAAAAAATGGTAATGGCGAACCAACCAGACATTGTCGTAGTGGATAAACAACAGAGGAAAGCCGTTGTGGTAGATGTAGCAATACCAAGTGATTGCAACATCAGGAAAAAGGAGCACGAGAAACTGGAGAAATACCAGGGCCTCAGGGAAGAACTGGAGAGGGCCTGGAAGGTGAAGACCACAGTGGTGCCTGTGGTCATCGGGGCCCTCGGGGCAGTAACCCCCAAACTGGAGCAGTGGCTACAACAGATCCCAGGAACAACATCAGACATCTCAGTCCAGAAATGTGCAGTCCTTGGCACAGCCAAGATACTGCGCAGAACCCTCAAGCTCCCAGGCCTCTGGTATAGGACCCGAGCTCAGAGGATAAGAACCACCCGCGGTGGGTGAGAAGGGAATTTTTATATATATATATATATATATATATAAGCTGACTGGATAGCTCAATACATAAGGCATCAGTATATCACCCGAGAGGGCAGGGTTCGAATCCAGTCTGGGTCCTTAGGCAAGACCCTTCAAGCTACTGCCTACCTCATACCATGAGAGATACTAAGTTGCATAACATGCCGGCTCAGACGTCGCCTGGCCAAACAAGGTCTGCGTCAGGTGTTGGGGAACCAGAGCACCTTGATGACAAATGGGCTACTGGAACAAGACGGAAATGGGCGAGAGATGAAAATGTGGATCTGTTGGATTGCTACTACTCAAGTAACCCTAGTGAGAGAGGTTACATGCAAAGACTGGGGAAGGAATGGTTACTTCGACATCCCCAGTCAACACTAAGCGCTAAACAACTAGTAGCTCAGTGTTCCAACATCCGCAAACGGCAACTGCTATCACAACTTGAGATTGACGAGATACAACATAAATGCTACGGCAAAAGGGAGGAACCCGGATGTCAGGACTGTGGGGACTTAACTACAAGTCCCCACCCAGTGAGGGGATACACGGCCCCAATGAGCGAAACAGAGCTGAACGAGACAGCTGCTGACCTGAGAGAGAGAATCATGACAACCAGGCCTCCCCGGCGCCAATTACAACGGCTGAGTGAAGTACCATCTGAAAGTCTCATTGAGAATGTGAATGCAGCATTGAGAACGATCCCTACCAACACCATAACAGAAACCAATGAGCTGATCTACAACTCAGCATCAGTGATCCTTGAGATACTTGGCTATAAGAGCAACCATGAGACCCAATACCCACCATGGAAAAGACGGTTAGAGGCTAAAATCAAGGTAACAAGGAGGGAAGTGAGCCAACTGTCAGAGCTCCACAAGGGTGCAATGAAAAGACCAGTACCCAGAAAGTACAGGCAGATGCCCATACCTGAAGCACTCGAGACTGCCAAACAGAGGCTCCAAGCCTTGTCCAGCCGCCTAAAGAGATACACAAGGGAGAATGAATCCAGAAGGATTAACCGGCTCTTCTCCACTCAACCAGCTAGGTGTACTCTCAATGGCAGGGTAACAATAACAACAGAGCAGACCCACCAAGGCTGGAGACGGAACAATACTGGAAAGGCATATGGGAAAGGGAGGCGTCCCACAACAGCAATGCACAGTGGTTTGATCTCTCTACGAGAGGACCACAGCAACCTCCCTGAGCAAGCCCCGGTAACCATCACTGTGACAGATGTCCAAGAAAGAGTCTCAGGTATGAAAAACTGGACAGCACCAGGGCCTGACATGATCCATGCCTACTGGCTAAAGAAACTCACTGCTCTCCATGAGCGAATGGCAGCCCAAATGAACCAGCTGCTACAAAGTGGGACTCACCCTGAATGGTTAACTGAAGGGCGGACAATCCTAATCCAGAAGGATCCATCAAAGGGTCCAGTCCCACCCAACTACCGACCAATAACCTGCCTCTCCACAACCTGGAAGCTCATGTCAGGCATCATAGCGGCCAAGATAAGCAAACACATGGATAAACACATGAGCACGGCACAGAAGGGTATCGGTGTAAATAGCAGAGGAGCCAAACACCAACTCCTCGTAGACCGCACAGTTGCCCGAGACTGCAAAACCCGACACACCAACCTGTGCATGGCTTGGATTGATTACAAGAAAGCCTATGACTCAATGCCGCATACTTGGATCATTGAATGCTTAGAGATGTATAACATCAACAGGATTCTGAGAGCCTTCATTGCAAACTCGATGAAGCTGTGGAAAACCACCCTTGAAGCCAACTGCAAACCACTTGCACAAGTGTCCATCAAATGTGGCATATACCAAGGAGATGCTCTGTCCCCGCTACTGTTCTGCATAGGCCTGAACCCCCTCAGCCAAATTATCAACAAGACTGGCTACGGATACCGACTCAAAAATGGGGCCAACATCAGTCACCTCCTCTACATGGATGACATCAAGCTGTACGCCAAGAGTGAGCGAGACATCGACTCACTGATCCACACCACAAGGATCTACAGCACTGACATTGGGATGTCATTCGGACTAGAGAAGTGTGGTCGGCTGATCACAAAGAGGGGGAAGGTGATCCGCACAGAAGGAGTCTCACTCCCACAAGGAACAATAGCAGACATAGAGGACAGTTACAAGTACCTAGGTATACCACAAGCAAATGGCAACCTCGATGAGGCCACAAGGAAAGGAGCCACAGCTAAATACCTCCAACGAATAAGGCAAGTCCTGAGAAGCCAGCTCAATGGCAAGAACAAAATCCATGCGATAAACAGCTATGCCCTGCCAGTAATCAGATACCCTGCTGGAATAATTAGCTGGCCAAAGGAGGAGATAAAAGCCACAGATATTAAGACTAGAAAGCTACTAACCATGCATGGAGGGTTCCATCCCAAATCCAGCACCCTGAGACTGTACACAAGCCGCAAGGAAGGAGGCAGAGGACTAGTGAGTGTGAGAACCACTGTCCAGGACGAAACAACTAAGATCCATAAATACATCAGGGACAAAGCCTCAACAGACAATGTGCTCAGTGAATGTCTCAGACAACAGGGAACGGAGGTTGAGGTGCCAGAGATACCATCATGGGAGGACAAGCCCTACATGGATGTACCACCAGCAAATAACCCAAGTGGCTGATATCAGTAAATCCTACCAATGGCTGGAAAAAGCTGGACTCAAGGACAGCACAGAGGCCCTCATCCTGGCCGCCCAGGAACAGGCCCTAAACACCAGAGCAATAGAGGCCAGATCTACACCACACAGACAAGACCCAAGGTGTAGGTAAGTGAGGACAGCCAGCACATCACAGCAGGGTGCAAGATACTGGCAGGGAAAGCGTACATGGAGCGGACATAACCAAGTGGCAGGCATAGTGTACAAACATCTGTGCAGAATATGGACTGGAAACCCGAGATCAAAGTGGAAACACCCCCAAAAGGTGGTGGAGAACGCCAGAGCTAAGATCCTGTGGGACTTCCAGATCCAGACAGACAATGGTAATGGCGAACCAACCAGACATTGTCGTAGTGGATAAACATCAGAGGAAAGCCGTTGTGGTAGATGTAGCAATACCAAGTGATTGCAACATCAGGAAAAAGGAGCACGAGAAACTGGAGAAATACCAGGGCCTCAGGGAGGAACTGGAGAGGGCCTGGAAGGTGAAGACCACAGTGGTGCCTGTGGTCATCGGGGCCCTCGGGGCAGTAACCCCCAAACTGGAGCAGTGGCTACAACAGATCCCAGGAACAACATCAGACATCTCAGTCCAGAAATGTGCAGTCCTTGGCACAGCCAAGATACTGCGCAGAACCCTCAAGCTCCCAGGCCTCTGGTAGAGGACCCGAGCTCAGAGGATAAGAACCACCCGCGGTGGGTGAGAAGGGAATTTTATATATATATATATATTTATTTATTTATCTGTGTGTCAGTGGGGGCATACATCTTAAATAAAAGTCTCATCAGTTAGTTTATCTTAGTTTATTTTGATTCATTTAGCAGCTGATGCTGTTTCCATACGCTAAATGTGTCTGTGCAGTCGAGACAACTAAAAATTAATAAACAGACTTGTAAACAGTTACATTTGGATGAAAAGTTTGTCAAAAGTAGCAAAATGTAGTAACTTCACCGTTTGCTCCTCTGGATGTCACAGATCACAATCCAGAGCTTAGGATCCAGCGGCAGGATCGTCCATATCAAATGGGTAAGCTTTTCTTTTTTATTATTCAGCATAAACTGTAAGAAATATCCCATTTAAACATATATTTTAGTCTGTGCCTATTAGCTTTTTGTGTGAGACAGATGTATTGTTTTTGTGCAACATGACACAGGTCAGGTACTGACCTTCAGCTCTGAGGTGTATATACTCTGTATTTGTGTCTGTCAGATCCGTTATGGTTTTTGCACCATGTTTATGATGCACTTTGGGATGTGGTTGTTTTCATGTTGGTCAGATGTGGTGATGGTTTTTCTGAATGCCATCCAATAATATTCTGCAGGTGTGCCTGACCTCAAACACACTTTATCGGTCTTTCACGCTCACTAACACTTCTTTCCTCTTGACCTATTGATGTCTCCTTCATCAGAGCAGTCTCGTTTTTCAACAAATGTTAATTCTGTTTATTTAGCAGCTAGTGCTTGTGAGTGTGAAACTAGATAAAAATAATTAAACTTTTAAACAGTATTCTCGTTGAAACATCTGTCAAAGCAAGTAGAAATGAAGCAAATGTAATTTTGCCTTCTCCTCTAGATGTCACAGACACAAAACCTGCGCCTAGGTACTGGCAAGCAGAGCGTTCACATCAAATGGGTAGGCTTTGTTTTCCTTTTTATTATTCAGTATAAGTTGTAAGAAATAGGTTATGAAGACATGTAAATGCGTTTGCCAGCATCTCATTGTGTTCATTGGGTCTTGTGTGAGTCAGATGCATTGCTTGTGTGCACTATGTGCATCATGTGCAGGTCAGGACCTGCCTGTCAAGTGCATAATGCTACCAGCACCTAGCTCTACAAAAAACAATTGCTTCCTGGAGGCGGGGAATCTATTGCAGTTTTAATTTGACCCATTTGCTAACATCGCCCTAACCAACGAACCAATTTCAGAAATGTAATTAGTTAGTTTACTTTTCGTTATGTGTCATCGCACAGTCACCTGTGCGATGACACTAGCTAAAAAGTAATAAACAGAATCTTGAACATTTAGATCTAGTCTAAACTTTTGCCAAAACGAGTAGAAATGAAGCAGCTGAGTTGGAGACTGCAGGCGTAAATTAGCACTGAGAGTTTTAACCTGATACAATACATCTCTCCTCTTGTGGTTAATGTATGCTGCCCGTGTCTTAAATAAAATAAATTATAAGAAAATGTTATCACTTTCTCATCCTCTAGCTGTCACAGACAGAAGACCTGAGTTTAGGAGCCCACAGAGGGAGTCTTCACGTCAAACAGGTAAGCTTTGTTTTCCTTTTTTAATTTTTACTGTAAAATAATAACAGACATATATTTACAACCTTAGAAACAGGCTGTAGATGTATGTCTCTGTGTGTGTCTGCATAATATTGTGTTCATTGGGCCTTCTGTGGGTCAGATGCATTGTTATTGTGTCCAGGCACATCGTTCTCGCATATCTTGAACTGACCATCAGGTGCATGTTGGCCTTTATGTGTTTGGGTCAGGTCCATTGTGTTGGTTCTATGTGCCTCTTAGTATTACAGGAAAAAAGTGTTAAGTTTTGAGATGCTCAGGATACATTTCCTCCAAAAAGCTCATCAACAGAAATGAGTATTGAAAATAGTGGATGAAAATATAAATTTAATATCAAAGTAATAAAAAGGTTTTTGTTTTCATGGTTATTTTCCTTTTAAAATAGAAAATATTAGTTTTTTTAATCACCTCTTTCAAAGTTTTCTTCCTACAGTGAAACATTTTAGAATTATTTAAAAACTGAATGATTAAGAAATGGTTGTTATTTTCCTCAGAACATGTGTACGAGACAATGTCACAGATTTATGAAGATATATAAAATCTGCTTTCTTTGTTAAAAGGTCAGTTAATTTTTTTTTATAAGCAATCAATTCTTAATGACAACATGCATATAAAGTTAACTGTTGTATTACTAATCTTTTCTTTTATATTTTCCTTTATTCTCTAGGTTATCAAAAAAAGGAAGAATTATGAAAGTACATAACCAGTGAGAGGAAGGGAAAAGACTTTTTATCGCAAGTTTACTGTTTTTTGTTTTGTTTTTCCTGCTGTTATGTTTCATAGCTCAATAAAGACAAATACATTTTACACAACCTATGGACTGCCAATAATGTTTATTGATAGATAAATAATTGCTTTGACAGCTATAATAATAAAAAGTATTTAATAAATCTTAATTAAGTCTGACAACAATACCCTTTTCAAAAATCTGTCTATTCCTTTTTATATATATTAAAATAGTATTGATACTATTAATATATAAGTCATATATATTAATAGTGAATGTAAGTATGGATTCCTTATATTCAGTAAGCTTTTATTTGAAAACATTAGAGGTTTTGGTTCAGTCTCTAAAAGCATCTAATTGTCTCCCTCTAGTGGTTGAAATCCACATGACGCTCAATAAGACACTTTTCCACACTTGACAGAAGTTTGAAAAGATGCCAGGTGTGTGTGGGCGTGGAGAATAGATGTTAATTTGTTTTTCTCATGAATAAGATAATGTTTTCATGGACTTTAGGGAACGTCTGTTTCTTGTTGAATGTTCAAGCTCTGGATTTCACAGTTTTAGATTTTGAACCGGAAATATTCACAGAGAAAATTATACAGTTTATTACAACACGGTACTCATTAACCATCTCTGGCGGAGTTACAAAGAGATTTTATTGTAACACAGCATTTGAAGTAATACACTTCCTACTCACTTTTAATTTTATATTTTAAAAAAAGTATTAAAGTCAGTCAAACAGAAAATGATTAATTACTTTGATCAAGCACCTTGGTGGTTACTGGTTGTTGTGTTTATTTATTTAGTTATTTATAATTTGCTTTTTCTGATCCTCAAAAAATGTTGATAGTCTGTTATCTGCAGTGAGTTTGAATATTGTTGTTTTATTGATTTTACAGACAAATTCAAGTGAACACTTCTGAAATATTGAACTGAGAATTAAATATAATTTTGAAGAAAAAGAGAGCTGAGTCATCTGTTTCTGAAAAGATGAAACTGTTAATAACAGTTTGGTAAATGTAGTTTATTGATAAGATATTTCAGTTTTTTATATTTTACTGTTTCAAGGTTAATTTCCCAATAGATTTATGAAAGTAAAAGCAAAAAAAACTAAAAATATCAGTTTGAAAAGTCAAGGTTTACAAAGAAACCTCATTTATAATCATCATTGTCAGTACAGCATCGTTTTAATTTGATCTGATTAAATTGTAAATCAGAAAAAAAAAAGTTGGTTTACACATTCCCAGCTGGAGTTTTCCCAAATCTGATGCAATAAAAGGTAAACCCAGCTTGTTGGGTATTTATTTATGAGCAGCTTTGATGTGTGGCTGTGCCATGTGGCTGATTCTGAAATAAACAGATGCCGCAGGAACTGCACAGTTAAACACATGCAAGAGGTTAATGCAGAGAGGCAATGTGAATTGTTGAATAAATAAATCCATATATATGAGCAGAGTTAGAAGATACTGTTTATTTTCCAGTTGGTAAAAAGATCCAGCAACTTCTAAAGTGGCAAAGACGAAAATAATTTTGTTGAATTGAATTCACAGATTGCAAATCAAATCCAAATATTGTCATTTTTATTTGTTTTAAAACTCCTTCTCTTTGCCATTGCATCCACATTTTCTGTTAAATTTTTATTAGGCCACATTATAAAACCTTTTAGGGGAGACTGATTTTTAAGTCAAGCAGGAAAGCAAACAGTGTTTCAACTTTGTCTCCAATTTTACTTACATTAATTTCTGTCTGTCGGTGATTAAAAAAACCCTATTTCTTGGCTAATAAGCTATAAAATAAAACTTCAAAGTAAATAAAAAAACAAACTACACAACTTCTAAAGAATAATTTGAAGTGCCTCCATCAGTCTGCTTTGCTCTTGTTGTTCTCCATCTTTCTTTTGGATAAAAAGCGGTACTGCAGTTACACCCAGAGTTCAGATCACTGATGGACGATCCAGTAACTGTGACCCAATGTGATCAGAGAGTGCCTGTTTTCTGAAGTGCTGGTTTGAATATGCCATGTTTAATCATGTCAGTAATACCACAAGTAATCTGTAAGTAGAGCATTTTATCTAGATGCTGTTAAACATGTTTTTAAATTAATTTTTTTCCAGCATTACACTTGATCCTTGTAGGCTGCCATTTAAATTACACACCACTCAAACAGAGGAGTGTTGGTTGCAATCTAACCTAAATCTATAACAACAGCTGCCAGATCAGATTATTTCCGACACTCTGACTCCTCTGACATAAAGTGCGTTCCAGACGGACCTGACAGCTCAACCAGTAAAGGACCTGCCTCAGTGCACACAGGAGATTTCACAATGCTCTACTGCCTCACAATGTCTGTGCCTTCAGCAAGGTTCACTTGTCTTTTTAATGGAAAACCAACCAACAGTCACGAAGCGGCCCGTGTCATCCAGTCGAGTCGAAGCTCTGACAGCGAGACGCACACCTAGAAACCGAGAAACAGTGAGCCACAAGTTAACTGTCACAGGCAAAAAGAGTTTAAAGAAAATGTCTCTAACATCTGATGTGTTAAAGTGCGTTTAATAATAATAATAGTAATTCATTCCAAGCCTTTTTCATTCATATTCCACAGACTTTGTCATAACATCTGGATGTTGCACCATTTCAGCAAATTAGTTTGCTGAAATGGTAAGTTTAACAATGAAACACATCCACATACATCCACTATAAATCTGTTACATAGGCTTTATAAACAACGTTTTGCACAGATGTGTTTTGTGATAGCTATTTGTTCTTTGTTCTATTAAAAGGAGTATCTTAAATGTATCTTCCATAGTGACACACTATTTGGGAGCAGGGCCATAATCTGCTGTTTTCAAATTCACCACTGTAACCCTGTGAGTACAGATTAAAGTGCCCATAAAATGGCAGGTGAAGAGCTATTTGCTTTCACATTTTATGTGTTTCCTGGAAAAACAGTTGAGGGGGTAAAAAACCTACTCTGCTAGACTGGTACTTCCTTATCACTGTTCCATCTGCAGTATGAGCTGCGCTTTATCTGTGAAGTACCTGTAAAATATATCTTTTCTGTTCTGTTGATAAATTGCCAAAATACATAAAAAGTCCTATAAATGCAGTTTCAACCACTTATTATTTCCTGAAGCTTTGTACTAGACTCTAGGCAACTCGTGATTTCAAATATGTCTTGGTGTGACATGTCCAAATGATGGAAAATCACCTTGAATCAGTGGTTGTCAAAGCAGTTTTGAACAGTCCTCTTTGTGGGTATAATTTAATGGCTGGTTGTTACGACGTGCACCACAGGACCCAGGAGAGCGAGAGAGACTGTTTTTTTAAATTTACTGTTCAGGTTGTCTGATGTTTTTGAAGGAACTTTCTGTTTGGAAAGCTGTCTGTTGGAGCCTAAGTGTCTCCTGGACGTCTTTGATCGTCCTCCTGGAGGAATGCTACGGATCGCTGCATCTTCCCAAACAGAAACCCTCAAAAGCCTGAAACACTCATAAAAACCGATGGTCACCGCATCACCAACGTGAGTCAGAGACTGAACTGATTTTACAACTGAAAGTTTCATGGATATGTATACATGCATGCACACAATCTGGTCAGTGAAAATAAATGATCACCAATGGATATTTTAAGAAGTAATAAATAAATTAAGATGACTGTTTATCCCAAAGTTGTAATTCAACAAATGTAACATTTTAATGCAAATTTCTTGATACAAGCACAACTTGACATTCTCCGAACTCCCTAAACTTCTTGAAACTTTACATGTTTTAGTTTTATTCTAACTCTAACTTTCTATGTTGTATTGAGTTCAAGATATGACTAGAAAACTTGCACAGAAACCAGACATCAAAGATCATAATCTATTTGAAGGAAGCACATTTCCATGAAAACCCCCTGAGGCAATTAGATGTATGTGCACAAGCAGAGTAAACATTATTTGTTCTTTGCTTTAGTGAGTGGGGGGCTGGAGTTGGCTGTGTGTGTTGGACAATAAAAGAGAAGGAGAACCTACGACTCTGCATTTTAAACTTTGTGGTGGACTTTGAGACAATATTTTAAAAATCCATTGAAAGCATGGACACGAGGCTCTGTGCTGCTGTGATGCTGCTATCAGGTAAATTTAGTTGATTTTCTCACAGAGAGAGAAATAAAATGTCTATTTTTAATGATCAATATGGTGGAACTTGCAGGGAAGTTTTGACCATTTTTCTTTCCTCTTGGGTTTAAAAAGCAGTGTGTTCAGGTGAGAATATTTTAAACCCCGGACCGTTGAATGGAGCTGTAGGAGGCAGAGTGAAGTTCACCACCAGCCTCAGCCCCCCACAGAGCCCATTTCTGTCTGTCAGCTGGAGCTTTAAGGGCGTGAACATCATCACTTCCACCAGCATCAACATCACAGAGCCAGGACACACCAACAGGATCTCATTAGATCGAACTACAGGAGCGCTGGAGCTCAGGAACCTGGTGCTGGAGGACAGCGGGGAGTACACACTCACCATCGTGCCCGACGGAGGGCTGCAGAGAAAAGGGATGATCACTCTCAATGTGTATGGTAGGTCTTTAGACACTATGGGGGGAAATAAAGAATAAATCCATCTGAAAATGAATGTTTCCTAAAGGGATAATAGTGGATACAGGTGAATTAAAATAACCAGATGGATGAAACATCTCAGAAAACACAAAACTGGGCTTGAAAGTTTGATATTTCATACGTTTTGAAATAAAATTGAATTAAAAAACAAGACAACTCTGAGAGGCAGCCAAAAAAATTCAAGTTAATCTTTTTGAAAAGACCATTTCTTACTTATTAAACCATCAAATAAAATAATATGTTGTTTTTCTTAGAAGGTACTTCAAATGCTGCAACATGTACTCTTGTTATGCTTAGTGCCTGTTTAAAAAGTCATAATAACTGAACTGATCAGTTACTGGCTTATACCAAATATATGTTTCTTTATTTTCATTAAAATGTTAACTTATTTTTATTTTTATATATATTTATATGAAGTTGACATTTCACCTTTCGACTTCATGTTTATTTTTACATTTTTGTTTTGTATAAAATCAGTTTAAGGAGGAGAACACAACAAATACTAAACATTTTCTAGTCATCTAATCAGATATAATTCACCATAAATCCTTTATTAATATCTACTTTCAAACATTTATGTGCTAAACAGCTTTTAATTGTGGCTTCTTGCTTACGATAAATATTTCCACTTATGTAGACATTACAATAATGTCTTCATACATGGTGGAAGAAGTATTGTCAATCTGAAATAAAATGCATATTCTGATACTAATTAACTTAAACATAATGTAAGAATGTACTTTACAGAACAGTAAAAATCTACAATTCAGTCTTAAATTCAGACATAGTCACATCTGCTATTTCTTGGTCTAATCAATTTTATATCACAAAGGTTTATGAGGATGTTTTGTTGAACTCTCGTAATTATTGTCTGAATTTGTCACCACCAGTGATGATAACTGGAGTCAGCATTCGCAGCCCTGCAGCCGTCCTGATAGAAAATCAAAGCTCCACCAGCATCACCTGCGAGGCCTCCGGCTCCGTCATCACCAGAGAGTGGATGAAAGATGGCCGTCCTCTTGATTTTGGGCAGAGCATCAGCTTATCGACGGACAACAGCACCGTGCTCATACAACCCGTCCACAGCTCCAACCACGGCAACTACCAGTGTAGAGTCAGCAATCCAGTCAGCAGCCAGACCGCGGCTCTCCATCTCACTGTCAACTGTAAGTACTGCAAAACTCAAGATTTATTTCAGCTGTTGACCACAGGTCAGAATTTTATAGCTTTGACCCGACATGTAATATCTTTCTGAGCAGATGGACCGTATAACACATCAGTTATTGGGCCGTCAGCAGCTTGGCCTGGCCACAGAGTGATACTGCAGTGCACAGCAGTTTCTGTTCCTCCAGCAAACTTCAGCTGGACATTTAATGGAAATGAAACGCATGTCAACACCTCCATGTTTGTTATAGAGAAGTTAGAGGCTGAAGACATTGGAAATTACACCTGCACTGCCAGAAACATGGTGACCAGGAAGGAAAACTCTGCCGTTCTGGATCTGAGAGGTAAGATGGTCACTGTTTGTCGTTTCTGCTTCATTTTGACTGAAACCTCTCTATCATACACAGCATCCTGTACTGCCCCCTGTTGGTCATTCTCAGCTTTGGTCATCAGTGTAATTAATCTGATGGGGTTAATGTAAGACAACAGGTGAGTGACTCTATTGTAATTATAGTCATACCATCCATTTATTAACATGGTACATTCTTCCTGTTCAATCCTCAGATGAACGCAGCTAATGAAGAAAACCTTTCAAGAAGCGTAGGACTTTGCCGAAAGCTCAGAAAGACCTGATTTGAAATGGAAGTCTTGCACTTCTAAGATCTTGTTTTGAAATTTAAATAGATATTCATGTATTTTTTTTTGTACTTTTGTATGTCTGTTGGTTTTTTTATTATTTTATTTGATATGTTACACATAAATTCTTTGGAAATATACACTTGCTGAAGAAATTAGCACTTTTAGTTTCTGCTGAATACATATTGATTCACCAATTATTAATAATTAACAGTCTAACTCTGTTTTAAATAATTTAATTATTTCTACTCCACTGTCAGTCTTTTGATTTTCTGTGGGAGTAAATATTCTAATGATCTTTACTGATGGAAAGATCATCTTCTTAGTGAATAATACACACACCCACAGACACATGAACGCCAACTAAATCCAAAGAGAATTTAAATATTTCTTTATATTCGTGAGTATCAACACAGGACCTGACACGTCCCACAAAATAAAAATTGAGTGGTTTTCCAGCAGACATTAATCTTTTTTGTCTTTTTAGGTTTGTCACTAATCATTTCTTGTTTTATGTAAAAATCTACCATACAACGAACAGGACAATTTTTACTGAGGTCTTTCTGTTAATAGAAAACTTTGGATGTAGAGCTTCAACTTTGTTATTAGCTGTAATTCCTGATATTTTTTCACCTTCATCTTTACATGCTGGAATGGAGTTAAATGAAACCAGCATGGATCACTGACCTCATTGCCTACTTGGACACCTGGGAGCTCCTGAATGTGGGACTGGAGGAGATGTTTATATGTCACCTATTTGAGTAACTTTACTAAAAAAGATCAATATGATGAGACTGAGTTAAGGTTTGAATGAAACCACTTTCCTTTCCCATATTCTTCAGGCTGCTGTCATCCTATTTTTAACTTCCTCGCTCAAACTGTCTGGCTGGACTGCCTGACAGTCAGTACATGTTGAGATAAAATCTGCTTCATCTTTTCCTTTGCCCTGTGTCTCATTTTAGAACTGTGGTTTTGTTGGCTACAAAGAAACAATACAGCGCAACATGTTCCTACCACTTGAACTTTTCTCAAACTACAAACATTGGTTCTTGACAAAAATCTAAGAAATGTGTGTTAAATAGCGACACTTGTACTGATTAGATATTCTTGATATTTAATAGTTTATTTATCCATAATGACCAGGATTCACTCGTCTGTGAATTAAAAGTGTTCATCCACTTGTGATTAGTAAAAGTTTTTACATAATTAGCTTCATTATACTGTAATAGTTTAATACTTTATGAGTCCATCTAAGAGGGAGTCTTTTTGTATGCACAAATAATAAATGACCTATGAGAAGAAGTTGTGACAAAAGCTGTGAAAATTCACTAACATCTAACACTGCAAGCTTCACAACCACTGAAACCACTCATAAAGAGTTAACCTCATCCGGACAAAGCACATGCAGCAGTACTGAGAACCTGAAAACTCTGCAAGCTTCACAACCACTGAGTCCACTCTTAAGTGTTAACATTTCCAGACAAAGCATGTGATGACACCTGATGACAAAAAAGAAAGCGAAGAGTGAGCAAAGACAAAATGAAACATTTACAAGTCTCATCCTCCTATCATAATGTATTTTATCCTTCATGTGAAAAGGGAACAAAAACTGATGTGAGGCCATATCTGGGCCAAATATTAATAGGTCTCTGTGCTACATAAATATTACTTACTGGCAAACACCTTTCCTTTAGCAAATTCTGCATTCAAAACACCATAAACTCATAAGTAATATGCACAGCATACATCTAGAAAGTTTATTTACAATCTTGCTCAACTGGGGCACCGAGGCAGTGGATTAGCAGAGCTGTTGTAGGAACTTTTACTTCATGGTCTCGTTTAGCTTTTGTTTCACTTCTTGTCAGTTTTTACTGCGGCGCCTTCAAATGGGTTGGCAGTTCTTGCATTACTCCAGCCTCCGCGCTACTGACAAACAGTAAGTTCCTCTGAAGTTGATTTAACAGTGATAATTAAATAATAAAAAATACTTTTACTAATTGTGTTTTTATGATCTCTAGTCGCTGCAATGAGAACCTGCAACATACTTCTTGTTGTAAATCTAATTTTTATCGCATCATTTCCAGGTGAGACTCTTATTTTAAAGTTCTGCTGCCACACTAGAACATTTGAAGGTGGTTTAACTGGATAAAATCCACCTGCTGCCTTGAAAATGCAATTTAGGACAACGAGAAAATTGTTTTGGTTTTAACTCAGAAACTAAAGTTTATGTAGTTGATTTAACAACTGCAGGCAAATTGTCTAAAAATTGTTTTTAAAGTTAATTAATCTTAACTCTTGAATTGTAAGTTTTAACAATACTTCAATTTAAACCAAATCATCATTGGGTTTTTTTTTCATTATACAAGAAAAAAAAACTGTCCTCACCTAGTTAAAGAGCCACATTTCTCTATTATTTTTACTCACTTTGTTAAGTTAAAATAACTACTTATTTTACATTGTTTCAAATTGCATGAACAACATTTCTGATCTGATAATAAATTTGATCAAACATCACAATGAATTCTGTCCAAAGACATTTAGTGTGAACAGAAAATTATCCTCAAGATTTGCAAACTAGTGCATTAAAATGAACACCATAATTATGAATTTAGAAATGCAAACTCATTCAAATTATTTTCTAGCTGGCTGTTTAGGGTGTTAACTTTTTTTTTCTACAGATCTTCTGGCAGAAACACTCAAAGTGACTGGATATGTTGGCAAAGAGGTCATTTTGAAATGCCAGTCAGAAAACATTACTCAAGTTCAGTGGGATTTTGAGGCCACGAATATTCTTGTTTTCAACCCCCAGCATGGAATGGATATAAAAGATTCTCACCTAAAGAAAAGAGTGAACCTCATAGAACAGTCACTGAAAATTAGAGATGTGAACGTGACAGATTCAGGGACTTACACCTGCACTTTAACTACGTATCCCAGTGGATCACTTAGAAAAACCATCAATCTTGTTGTTACTGGTAAGTAACAAGGAATCATTAGTCAGATGCCAAACTATTGTAAATAAGCTTAGAGAAACTATTCAACTTCTTAACTTTGTGTATTTAATGTTAACATATGATCTGAGTGTCCAACAGATCATTATTAAGACTAAATAATATTGCGTGACATTTTTAGGTGAGCCTGGCCCAGAACCAAACCAGCAGACACAAATGTCTGCAGGGATACTTTGTGCGATCATCATCTCTGCTGTGCTGCTTCTAGGGATCCTGACGGCTGCAGCTTACCTTACCTTAAGGTAGGCCTGTTTTTACTGGTATTCATGTAGTGGTGGAATGACTCTGTTTACTCACATATATTTTGAAAAATATAAATTAAAGATTTGCACTTTAATTTAACAATGAATTGCTTTTTAGCAAGGTTTGCCACAACTTTGAAAGAATAACTTTAGAGCTTTTATTTTGACATTTTTTCCTAAATTTATTATCTTTTCATATTTTGAGAATTGGCTCAATACTATAAAAATCTCAAAACTAACTGAGAAATTATTCCAAATATAAGGATTTTGATGGATTATATGCTATTTTTATCGGGGGCTCAGAGAAACTGGGTTCTGTGGTTTGTCATATTTATATTCAAGGGAAAGCTAAATTAATGGAAACTAATTAAATTCCAGACTGAATTTTAAAAATAAGCATGATTTATATTTACTTTAAAAGTGCTGGCTCCCAGTACAAAATTGTATACTTATTAAACATATTAACACTCCTGCAGATATTTTTTAAAATAAAGTGACAGTGAACAAATGTAGTTTTGCTGCATTTGGTCTATTTGAATCGTACAAATTTGAAGTCAAACAATTTCAGAAATCTAATCGTTGCTTTTTACATTCTGTCTTGTAGACATAAAGCGGCAAACAGACTTGAAGTCCACATTGGTGAGAAAAAAAGTCTGTCTTGACTTCATTTCTGAGTGTGGCACCATTCAATGACTTTGAGTTTTTTCCACTTCCTCTAAAGAAGCTTTTATGGTTTTTAGATGCATCAAGTCACGCAACAAGTGTGAATTGCAGGGACCCAGTGAGCTCAGAGGTAAATTAAAATTTTTAAGCAAAAATTGCTTTTTAGTCTGTTTTTTTAATATACAGACTAAACAATAAAAAGTTGTTGTTGGTCAACACTTTTTATCACTCTTGTCGTAGGAAGTGGTGTATGCTGATGTGAGGTCAAAGCGAACCAGAAATTCAGGATCTTCACTGAATAAACTACCAAGAGCATCTGCAAAAGCTGAGGAAGTGACATATGGGGAAGTCAAGGTTTATCATCAGAGGTCCAACTTAGAGACAGCGTTTAGTGTTTGAATGTTGTACAGAACAGATTTGCTGCAAAAGTTCTGGTTTTATGAAAAAATAAAATCATCTCCTGCTCTGTGGTCGTTCTGTTTTCATTTATGATTTTTTTTTAACTATATAGATGAACTTGTGTTTATGTGAGCTTGTGAAACAGCATTTTTATGATTGTTACATGTTTGTGACAATCAGTTTTGTATCTAACAAAACTGTTCATATCCCTTTTTATATACTGACTAAAGTCTGAAAACTGTGTATGTTAAAATGTTCCTAACAATTGATATTTTTCTTTCTTTTATGTTTTCATTAAAATACACCAGGGGAGTCGGCATGTGTGCTTATAAGCCAAAAATATTACTTAACAAAACCTTTTTCTTAACAAATGGTAGATTTCAAAGCACCATAAAGCTTATGTGTATTTTTAACTCATAAGCAGTTTGTCCAAAAAGCTTACACGAAGTTCACCACAAGAGGTCAGTGTTGAGCAGGAGAGAAATTATGTCTACCGACGATAATCTAACTACTTTATAACTTGAGGCGGTCAGTCAGAAACGTTCGGCAGCGATTTTTATAGTCTGCTTCTTACTGTTAGTATTTTATGAAACTTTTGAAAACTGTAAAAAATTATTCCTGTAGCATTAATGTGTTCTTGTTTATGATCAGAAGTAGTTACTATTTTGATAAGCGCTATCACTGATTTTATTCATCTCGGTCAACTGGGACGCTCTTGGGATTGGCAGAGATGTTGTAGGAACTTTTACTTTATGATCTCGTTCAAGTTTTGTTCCGCTTCCTAAAAGTTTTTACTGCTGTGCCTGCAAATGATTCTACATTTCTAAATTTCCTCCTGTCTCCGCTCCACGGATCGACGGTAAGTTTTTACCGAGTTGATTAAAAGGCGACATTAAAGTTAAAATAACATATTTAACGCCAGTAACTGTGTTTTAGGATGTGTAGTGCGCTGCAATGAGAACCTGCAACAGACTCCTTGTTGTAACTCTAGTTTTCATCACATCATTTCCAGGTAAGATTCTCATTTTAACATCCTGGCGCATTTTTTATTCATTACATTCCTGAAGAGTTATGGTTCACACTAAAAAGGTTCCTTTACAGAAATGAAACATCCTAAGTGTTTATTTATTTATTTATTTATTTTTTGAAGGGCTCATCTTTTGACAGAAAGAAGAACATTGTTTTAATTGTTTTATTTTCTGAGAAAGAAAATCAAATTCATCAAGTAATAAAAAAAATAACACCATAATGTTGAACTTTGAACTGTAAACTCATTCAAATTACTCTCTATGGGCTCTTTTCTTCTACAGATCTTCTGGCAGAAACACTAAAAGTGACCGAATATGTTGGCAAAGAGGTCAATTTGAAATGCCAGTCAGAAAACATCACTCAGGTTCAGTGGGATTTTGAGTCCATGAATATTCTTGTTTTCAACCCCCAGCATGGAATGACTATAAAAGATTCTCCCCTAAAGAAAAGAGTGAACCTTACAGAACACTCACTGAAAATTAGAGATGTGAACGTGACAGATTCAGGGACTTACACCTGCATTTTAACTACGTATCCCAGTGGATCACTTAGAAAAACCATCAATCTTGTTGTTGTTACTGGTAAGTAAGGAATCATTAGTCAGATGCCAAACTATTATAAATAAGCTTAGAGAAACTATTCAACTTCTTGACTTTGTATATTTAATGTTAACATATGATCTGAGTGTCCAACAGATCATTATTAAGACTAAATAATATTGCGTGACATTTTTAGGTGAGCCTGGCCCAGAACCAAACCATCAGACACAAATGTCTGCAGGGATACTTTGTGCGATCATCATCTCTGCTGTGCTGCTTCTAGGGATCCTGACGGCTGCAGCTTACCTTACCTTTGTCAGAAGGTAGGCCTGTTTTTTTTTGTTTTTTTTGGTACTTATGTTGTGGTGGAATGACTCTGTTTAGTCACATATATTTGTAAAAGATAAAAAGTATTAAACTTACAAAAGTGGGGAGATTATCCTACTGCAATTAAAATTGTGTTTTTTGTGGCTTTTTACCGATCTATACAAGGGATGCTAAGAAATTTCAGGGTGCAGTTATTAAGCCTGTCTTAAAAAAAAAAAAATTGTCTACCAGATAAACTTGAATTAAACCAGTGTGCTCTGTTTGAATCGTACAAACTTGAAGTCAAACAATTTCAGAAATCTAATTGTAGCTCTTTATGTTCCCTCTTGTAGACATAAATCGGCTCACAGACTTCAAATCCACGTAGGTGAGTGCAAACAAATTTCCATCATTATTTCTGAACATTCAATGTATTTTAAAATTTTTCACTTCCTCTAATGAGGCTCATATGGTTTTTAGACACATCAAGTCGTGTAGCGAGTGTCAACAGGCCGTCTTATATCTACAAGGACCCAGTGAGCACAGAGGTAAATAAAATTTGCATTCAGAAATCTGTGCTCATCTGTTTTTTTATATAATAGCTGTAACTTCAGAGAGACTTGGTTGTGAGTCAACACTTTTTATCACTCTTGCTGTAGGAAGTGGTGTATGCTGACGTGAGGCTAAAGCGAACCAGAAATTCAGGATCTTCACTGACGAAAATACCAAGAGCATCTGCAAAAGCTGAGGAAGTCACATATGGGGAGGTCAAGGTTTATCATCAGAGGCCCAACTTAGAAACAGTGTTTAGTGTATGAATGTTGTATAGAACAGATTTCCTGCACTAAAAGTTCTGGTTTTACAAAACAAAACAAAAAAAAGCTATTTACTCCTCATTTTAATCATTTGCATCTCTGTGGTTGTTCTGCACACAATTTTTGCAAACTCACTAAAACTAAATGATAACATCAGCACTTCAGCATGCATGTAACTTATGGTTGCTCTTGGCAAAAATACTGTCCATTTTTTGTTGTTGTTTCAATTTATGTATTTATTTCTTTAACTTGAAAATTTTGTACCGAAAAACGAAGAAGAAACTGCAGAAAAATGAGTTTGTGAGCTTCTGATTTGGCTTTTTTTCAAGATTGTGGGCTAATCTGTCACTTGCTGACTAACTATACATGTCCCTTGAGATGTTCATGTTTTGTCACGAGACAAATCAAACTTCAAATAGTGAATAGGGATTTAATGTGACAGAGAAACACATAGTAACATAATTTTAAAAGTGGAGGGAAAATCATGTCACTTTTACCAATTAAAAAACTGGCTTATTCAGCCCCTTTAGTTCTGGTAGCTATGAATGAAATCCAATGAGAGCCAAGGTTAAACATTAAGACAGGGACAAACATATGATCACTAGAATAAGTTGTTGGCAACAGCAAGTCGGATGATGCTGTCACAACTAAACACAACCCAAATTTTACCACATTGTGCTTTTACAAGACCAAACTTTTTACAAGACTGACAAAAATAGTTTTACTTGTGAGTGGGATTTAATAAATTAATAAATCAAACTCCAGTCCTCGAGGGCCAGTATTCTGAAACTTTTCGACGTGCCTCTGCTGCACCACACCTGAAGAGAATAATTAGGTTATTAGCAAGGCTCTGGAGATCTTATCTACACAAGGAGGAGGAAATTAAGCCATTTCATTCCAACATTTTCTACCTGTGGCACATCTAAAAACTGCAGGACAGCGGCCCTTGAAGACTGGAGTTTGAGACCCCTGCACTAAATAGTGGATAGTTGAAGCTAAATATAATCATGTAATATGTTAGGGATTGAATCTACAAAGTATTGATTCAACATGGTTAGATATTATACTGCACTAACATGGTATATTTCATTATTAACTTGTATTTTAAACCATTGTAACCCTCACTGTTAATAGTGATCAAAACTTCACTGATCTGCGGCTTTTTCTCTAGGATTACCAGCTGAGACAGTGAGCTTCAGTCTTCAGTCTTGTTGCTCATCAATTTAACTAAACAAATATAAAACTGTAAGAAAGCTACCTGCTTGAATAACAAAACTGTCTGCATGGTTGCATCACCCGCCAGGTTCTAAAGAGATGTTGACAGCAAATTTGCAATGCAAACCAGTGTTTTCCCCAGCATGACATTGTGGCAGCTTACAGGAAGTTACTGTTCCTCATTTACTGTCTGAAAACCTGCAAAAAAGAATAAAATTACCCTATCAATGGAGAAGTGAACCTGCACATTAAAAGCCACAGCGACTGTTGACCAAAACTGAAACTGTTACATAAAACTTGAGGTGAGAATAACCGAACACAATTTGCACCGACATTGTTTTAAACCAATGTGTCTGTTATATTTCACTGGCGCGCCTGTTTCGTCTTAACATCAACGCTGCCTACAGGTGTTGCAGCCTGAGAAGGCCTCGTGTGAAAGAAATGTGACAAAGTTCGGTTTTCAGGCCTGCAGTAGTTCTGAGGTTCTGTTCGGTGACGGTACGCTTTAACAGTCACCCTCACCTGCTCTTTACAGTCAGCGCTTCCTGACAATGTGAGGCTGTGGGTGTGAAACAGTGAGCGCCAACGTACGCGTGTCTGAGGTCCTTTACCCAGCCCTCGCTCTGAGGTGTTGGAACAAAAATCTGTTTTGTTTTTTTGTTTTTCTTTTTGAAATGTTAGATCACGTACTTCTGTTTATTCTCTTCATTGTTTAGAAAGGGAAATTTGCTTTACCTGTAACATTATTTCAGCTCTGTCTGAACGGGAACTACACTGTAGTTCCGTAAACTCTGTAAAAATATGTTAAGATTGATTTTTATTTCAGAATAAATGTGCTCACTTTTATAGATCTAATCTTTTGGTTTCTGTTACCTTTAAGAGTTATGTTGTGACAGGAAGTATGGGGAAGATAAGAAAGGTGCGCTTTGAATGGAGTTTATGAGAAAAGTCTTTCCTTTCTCAGACACTAAGACATTAAAAAAGTTCATACTCAAAGTAAAAGTCACTGTATTTCTAAATATAAAAAACATCTGAAAAACAACTCCTAAAACTTCTTAAAATGTAATTGATTGGTACATGATGCCACACCGTAAGCGTTTTTGATTATGAACATATATGCACACTCACCAGCCTTCATTTCCAGGTACAATTGTCAATTTCTCGTTGATACAAACTGTAAATTAACCAATCACAAGGCAGCAGCTTGATGTGTTTAGGCAGAAAATATCCAGTTAGTGGCAATTTCTAGAATAAAAATGTTTTCACAATGTCAGACTGCACAATAACAGATTGTAGTGATGTGGCCTAGTCAGATTAGTATTGATCTTTGCAACAACATTCACATAAGCTCACTGAGAAGCATATGAGCATTTTAATGCTACAGCCTGAACATGTGCATCCCTTTAAGACGACTCCCAGCAGGTCACTGCAAAGTTCAAATAATCTAAAACCTGCTTCTTGAACACAAAAATATTTTGTATTTTGTCATCAATAGCCCCATAATCTCAACATCTCAATTTAATAGGACGCCTTTGATTTGGAGTGGAATGAAAGATTTCCATCATGAATATTCAGGCAACGATTTGCAGCAAATGTGTGATGCTATTATGGTGATGTGGCCAAAGTCTCTGATGAATGTTTCCAACATGTTGTGGAATCTATGCTGTGATGAATGAAGGCAGTTCATAAGGCAAAAGTGGGTCAAGTTTCTACTGGCAAGATTTCTTAACATGACCAATGAGTATAAAAACTCCTCGTGAATTATTTGTGAAGCATTGTAGCATCAGAGAATGAGCTAAACAAATCGATTGAAAAATCTGACTAGAAACCTATTATTAATGTAATCTTATCAATTTTCATACTCTTGGCTATAGCACTAATAATGTCTACTTTGAATGAGCTACAGAAATGTTTGTTTTTTTTAACCAAAGATGAAATAAAAACACTAAATAACTACAGAAAATCATTATTGTCATATTTTAATCACTTCAGAGGTTTGTTTTACTGAACAGATGACTTTTTTCCCTTTGTAGTTATACTGATCTTGTTGCAAAAAGCACCGACATGTGGGATATTTGCTGTTTCGGCCTTTTAGAAAACTAAAGGAAATGAGCTCCTGTAATTGAGAAATCGAGAGACGAGGAAGCAACACCCTGATGGAGGCAAGATAACACAACATTAGTGGGTGTAGAACTCACATACCAAGTGATCTAATGAAGCTTCACCGCATCTGGATATCTCTTTGCCTTTATGAGAATTGCAAACATTTATTTAAAAAGAAAACATTTCAAATGTTCTAAACATTTTTACAACAAAGCCTGAGCAGATATAGCCTACTCTAAATCTTCATTTTTTAAAGCACACGGTTTTGCTACTGTGCAGTTTCATGGGTTACATCCTACACTAAGTTTTCCAGGTTGCAAATCTTTTCAAGTCAAATGGAAATGTATAATCAGGCAACAATCTGCTACACTTTGCTTTGCAAACCTCAGTGTGGGTAACGTTTTCCACAAACAGGTGTAATTATGAGGTTGGAGTTTAGCAATTAATCATCAGTGATGCATTTCTAGTCACAGTAATAATTAATCTTCATGCAAGAATGAATTTTGAAATGCAGCCTTTTATCAGTTAAGACAATACTGAATGATTAAGCAGCAAATATTAATCTGTTTGTTTAAAAATCATACAACTGTTACCTGGAATCTTTATGGGACAGTGGCAATGAAAAAACTCAGAAAAACGTCTTAGTAAAGGCTTTACGGTCAACTGGAAGAAACTTCGGAAACACTTTATCTGATGGGTTGTGAATGACTGTCATGACACCGTCATAGGCATTCTGTAAAGATTTGCTGAATGACACTTTATGACAACAGTCATAAATATTCATGAAGACTCGCTCATGTTCATGACAGGTGTTATATCTATGACGGTGTCATGGCCGTTTTATTCACAACCCGTCAAATAAAGTGTCACTGAAACTTCTTTGGGCTGATTAGATCAAAATGGAGATTTTTGGTCGTCTGACAAGATGTTGTGTTTGGTGGACATCAAACACAATACAAACACATTATCCCCACTGGGAGGCACTGTGATGGCAGCATCATGTCATGAGGATGCATCTCGACAGCAGGCCCTGGATGACTTATAAAGGTAGAAGGTCCAGATGAGCTTAATTTTTGTTGATCATTATTGATTCGTAAAAGCAATAAAAAAAGTCAAAAATCTAATGGAGTGATTACTTTTTAGAAGTACAACGTATGACACTACAAAAGCCACATTGGAACAATTCATCTTAGAAATGACATATCAAAATAAAATGGCTGTCTACATTTTTTTCCAGACATGGCACTATATCTGTTGAATTAAGCTCTGCAATTATGCAAAATAAAGCAAAAGATTCAACACTTAAATTAATTATGTGATCATCTTAGAAAGATTCCTGTTCTGTTTGGTTTTCGCATTTGTACTTAAACTAATGATGTAAATGTCTGTAGTTGAACAAAGCATCAGCATTACCATCATTTGGCCACCTGAGGTCACTGTTGCACTGAGGTTACTGGACTACCAGCTAATGACTATTCTTACTGAGTAATATACTCAATGTTTGTGCACTTTTTGAGATTGAGGGAATGTCTCTAGTTTCACTATGACAACTGAGGTTTGTCAAGTCAAAGCTAGAGAGAAATGTGAAACTTTTCAGTCCGTACATGATTTTTATCTTCTGTAGCAGTTCAGTTTCCTGAAGGTTTTTCTGTTTCATTAGTTAGTTTCATGCAGATTAAATCTGATTTTATGCAAATCGCAAGTTTTCTTTCCATCCAGTGTTATGTTTATTTTTCACAGATATCTTGCATTGATGAGGTGAGAGTCTGATCATTGGTGCAAAGGATTCTCCAGACCATTCCAAAGATTCTCGATGGGTTTCATGTCTGAACTCTCTGGTGGTCGATTCATGTGTAAAAGTCATGTCTCATTCTTGGCATTGTAATCCTAGAACATCTCTGTGTCATCAGGGAAGAAACGACCTATTGTTAGAATTATCTGGTCACCCAGTACCAGAATCAGACCTCAAAATGATGGTGAATCTAAACCTGACCAGCTCCAGAAACTCCAGATCGTAGCTTTGCCCTTTAGTTTGCTACATTACACACCAGACATGATGAGTGCATCACTTCATCTGCCTCTCTTCTTGCCCTAATGGGCCCATCACTCTGGAAGAAGGTAAATTTGAATGCATCAGATCAGTCAAATCTAAATGCTCCTTTACAAATTTAAACTCCTTTATCTGGTTAAACCTCACTGATTTCTGGTTACACATTTGTTCAGGTCCAGTTTTACTAAAGATTGTGGATCTTACTCTCTTACTACTTGCATAATAGCAAATCTATGAATAAAGTTGCTTTCATTTCATTGCTTTCATACCCAATTAAATTTTTTTTCTCCCTTCAGTGGTCATCTGGAATTTCTCCAGCTGAATTTCTAATTTGGCAATCAGTAAAAAAAAAAAGGAGATATTAACAACGATGTTGACCTTCTGCGCTGTTTTAGAATTGCACTGTAGGGTTATACACATATGGTGTGTGTGTTAGTAATTTTTTCCAAGTCAAAGTTAAGTTTTGAGAGACAAATTCAAGTCTCTGACTAAAATAAACATTTTCTCATCAAATCCATTACAGGAATCAATAGGATTCAAGTCTTGTGCCATGTCTCGTATTTGATAATTGTTTGTCAATATTCCAACACTTATTAAATGTTACCTTTAATTCCAAATACTGCATTAAGTCTGCTTAAAATAGATCAAATGTAAAAATGTTATTGTGGAAATATAAATTTATGTTTATGTTTCAAGAAAGATAATAGAAAAGATTAAAGCCTGTTAATTTTTATTGAATCAAAAGTAATTTTAGATGTTTCATCTCAGTTTATGTCACACCGCTTGTCAAAGGCTAGAAAACACAGCTTGTACTATTTGGTTTAAAAAAATAACCAAATAAATATATGTTTGTGTAAATGTGAGACAAGTGCAAAAAGTGATGTAGTTTGTTCAGCAGATTTTACTAATAATGGATGAAAATAGGTGGCAACTGCTTAGTATATTTTGGATAAAGCAGTCAAGTTCTAAAAGCAGAGGAAGGTTTTGTCTCTAAATTAGTTAAATTAAAGACTCATGTCCTGCTAATTGGAAAAGATGGGGGGTTCTGCAGTGACCACTTTGAGTCACAAAATGATAAGTACATGACTTTTCCCTCATTACACTTAATTAGACTCCAGTGTTTTGTGTGCTGTACATGTGTAAAGACTGACACATTTATATGCAATCATATCAACATATTTAATACTTTTGGTGTTTCTCACTAGGCCCAGATTTTTTCTAAACTTTTATGTGCTTACACAGCAAGCTTGTAGACTTGTATAATAAATTGGTAGTGAAATTGAAATAAGAAAATAATTAATGTTTCGTCAGAAGCAGTTTGTGTGTCTGATTTAGTTTCATGAACTCCCTGCTTGCTATTTGAGGTGAAACTGCAAGTTGTGACACAATCTTTAAGACTCAAATACACTGGACAGCAGCCAACAAACTAGCCAATAGCTAATCAGAGCTGAGACTTTATTTTCTGTCTCGAGCTTCCAAGAAAAAGAAAAATTAGACTTTTACTGTAATTGCAGTCTATTTTTCACCTTTATGACTGTATGAGATTTGCAAAGATTTGCTGTCTGACTATTCTATTCTTATTTATTACAAAGTAACTCAGCTTTGGCGAAGAAAACCTCCAATAGGTTCTCTTCCAGGATTTCTTCAGCTACATTAAAGATGAATGCAAGTTAATACAGTTCTGCTCAATTGGTGATAAGAATAATGTCCTCCTAAACAGTGTGTCATACTCTTTTCTGTTTGTTTTGATTACATCTGACTGGTGGTAATTTAAACAATCTTTTCTGATGACTTTTGTGAGCAGTTTACAGAAATTAATTTTCCAGCTGAAAAGCAAAGACATGACAGCTGGACTGTTTTAATATTTTTTTAATCCAAAAGCACTCTGTATTTCTCTTATGGATTTGAACATCATGACAATCAAACATCTTCCCTCTTCAACCCATCCTCCACAATCACACAGCAGAGCCTCATGTTTTTCAATAGGAATAATAACAATTTAATCAGAATATTTATCACTTTTAATAATCCATTTAGCACTAGTATAGAAATATGAAAAAATCTACTAAAGAAAAAGAACATAAAAGTAAACAAATGTGATTTTTTGTTTGTTCGTTCAGTGGAGTAATCGCCTCTTTTTGTTCATTTTTTAATCCCTCCCTTTCCTTTGGGATTCAAACCAGCAACATTCCCCCCATACACTGCAGCTCTAAAATACTTCCAGCTGATGGTTTGAAGCTGTCAGTAACCAGCTGAATGGTTCTATTGTTCGTTGAAAACACTGAAGTTAAAGACATTAAAGCAAATCTAGGAATAAAGTTGCAAACATGAGGGGCAACCAGTGTGGTTTTACAATTCAGACAAAGAGAAGTGAGACACAGATAGCATGGATGAAAGAGCTTTTGTTTGTGCATGTTCACTGTGGCGACTTGAAGAAGCGTTTTCGCTCAGGCTGCCTGTCAGCATTCAGGACACAAAAGCAGAAGTAAACACAGATAAAGAGAGAAACATCGAAACCAGCCCGCTTCTGCTGACACCGATCATTCAGAGAAACGGCGTAACGTGAGCAAACAATGTTATCACTCATTATCTGCAGCACAAAGGTGTCAACGAATCATCTGCACAGCACAATGAATAACTTGCAGTGCCGCATTTTTCAGGACGATTCCTAAAGGGTGGACTGGTGGTTCTGGCAGATCATCTCAAGCTCTGTTTCCCTCTTTTAGAGATTCAGCGTAAACACAGACGTACAACTATCACCTTCAACAGCCTCTGGAGTTGTAAAAAGCCTGAAGGCTTTAGCTGTTTGAACAGCTAACTGCCTCAGATCTCTTTTGTTTCAGGAGTGTTGAAACAAAGGCTTGATCTCTCTCTGGGCTCCTCACCTGTCCATATCCTGCATATTGATGTTTCAGAGCAAAGCGGCAAAACAACTGCTTCCCAGAACTGAAGTTGAGGTGTTCTCTATTTTTCAGCCCCTTAAAATAATAAAAAAATCCACAAACAGAACAGCAGGAGGACCGGAAAATATTTTAGTTTCCATTAAAATGTTGAATCATTGTCGGTTGAACAACACAAACAGAGACTTTTAGAAGTAGTCTGACTTTACAGGACTTCACACAAGCATTTAAACGGTGAGTCACAGGAAGGAAGGAATAGGTAGCAGGTTTCATAACCGTTAGATCATCCGCTTTAGAGAGCACTAATAGAGGGACGTAAAATGGAAGTGACAAGAGGTTACATGTTTGTCAGGGTGTTACTTATTTGTGATGAAGTACGTGTGGTTAATATTGTTTGTGTTTCTCAAATGTACGCTTAATTAGAAAAAATAATATCTGGAGCAGGAGACGTGGTTTTACATAGATGGAGTACGATTTAATTCATGTCAGCTCGAAAACGGATTTGTCCCCCAGATTTTTTTCTGTTTTATTTTTTACCTGCACAAGATTATCAAACAAATCTTAAGATCAAACATTTAAAAAGACCCCATCAATTGTGAACTAGTGAGTTAACTTAAGAAGAGGAAAAAAAGCCTATTCCAACTAAGCCGGCCTTGTGTGAAAAAATAATTGCCCACCTTGTTAAATCGTGAATGACCCACATTTTTGGACAGATGATTACTGCATCATAAGGCACATCTAGGCTTTAGATAGAACTTGTCAAAAATGAAGCAGGCTAAAAGTTTTTAAAAAGCAAAACTTTATGCATGGGTTTAAAGAAATGAAAACTGACATCAGTCTGGTCAAAAAAACAGTTTTTTAAGAATTTGAGACTTTTAAAATATGACACTAGAGTCATACTCTTTTAAAACTCTTTTTATACTTTTAAAACTCTTTTAAAACACCCTTCAATGTTTTCTCCACTCGTAGGAAGGTTAACCTTCCTAAGAGTGATAGGTCAACCAAAATTACTCTAAGAACACACCAATGAGTCATCAGAAACTACCCAGAATAACATCAAACACTCTGCAGGCCTCACTTGCCTTAGGTCAGTGGATGAATCAACAACAAGAAAGAAACCGTCTCCTACAAAAGCCAGCAGTAATTTGCAAACATTTTCCAGGACACAATCCTTTTTGCACCTGCAAAGTATGCTGCTTCACCGCTAAGCACACCACAACACAGGAATCCACGTCGCCACATGTAAAGTTTAATAGCAGAAAAAAACTAATCTTTCAATATTTTCTTTTGATAAAAATTGCCTGGTGATTGACTAATTTATACTGTTGCTGCAGGAACAAGACTGAAGATGTCATAGTTAGTCATATGCTTACATTACGATTTACGGTTATAACTAATAGATGATCATGAAACTTACATTTGTGTGTTGTTTTACTTAGTGTTGTATTTAAACTTTGACCGCCTGCCTCTTTAGAAAGTCTCAGTGTACCTATGTCTTGCAGCATAACTCTCATAAATGTGGCTAAATTAACTCAAGAAATTATAATTATTATTATACAAATAATTTGTATTATTTGTTATCATACAAAATGATATGGGTTCTAATTTTGTATTATAATTCATGCTCAAAGAAATTACTTCTTTAATTAAAAATTACTTTGACGTTTGTATGTGCGTCTATGGCATCAGTATTATAGAAAATATAGTAAGAAGGATTTTCTACCTGTTTTGTGTCTGGCTTTCTGGTGACATTTTTGATAAATGTCTGTTAAATTCTGAGAAAATTAAATGCAAATAAAATCTGGAGAAGCCGAAAGAAGAAGGAAAAACGCTGACATTGCTGTTTTTATGGTTAACAAGAGCAAACTTTAGTCTTTTAATCATCCAGATATTAATTTCCATCAGATCCTCCATCATTTCTCGACAATCGATGTAAATCTATGTAAATATTTATGCCGCATACAGATTTGACCTAAAACTGATCTTAGCTATTCGCAATTTTAATGCAAAAAAGTTTAGATGACTAATCAGCTCAAACTTTTCGTCATGTTTCACTCAAGAACTACAAGAGGAACCTAAAACAGCTGTGAGCTGCAGCTTTTAGCAGATGTTACTAAAGTGAAGGTAATAATATATTAATGAGGACAAATTTCAGGAGCAGAACAAATCTGCTGGTAAAAAAAAAGCATTTAAGTGACTCTGACTGCAGTCATGCATTAAAAATAGATCCTTTTGAGTTAAGTTTTAGACATAAAGGTTTAACTCTCAAGACTCTAGTCTTTAGAGTTTCTTAAACAGAGACAAACAAACTGGCATCTCTTTAAATATGTATAGTTTTACAGATATCTGGTGTAAATAAGGATGAAATGAGTTCTTGACAACTCATTAGCAGTGACCTTCAATGTGTAGTGATTTAAGTGAAAGGGGAAAAAGATAAAAATCCACCAGTCCATTCCCTTTAAGGACCCTGCCTATATATAGATCAACCACAACATTAAACTCAAATGGATGAAGTAAATAACATTGATCACCTCATTATAGTGCAAAGTTCTGCTGGGAAATGTTCCCTCTCTGCAGTGTTCAAATAGGAATGGGACATTGACTCAAACGCTCCTACAGACAAGGCATTGTCCCAGCTGGATGACGCCCCTGACACTCCGATAGCTCAAAGAGCAGAAGAAAGCATTTCCACAGCAGGCTGCAGACTTTCAGGATGAAAAAGACAGATTCATGAAAGCTCAATTTTAACACAGAAAAACCCAAAACACCTGAAGCCAGCTGGGTCCTGTGGACAATCAGCTGGATCAGGATATTCTGGCATCTGGAGGCAACAACAGGAAGATTATTAAGATATTTTTGCTCATTTTAACTTAGTCATAATCGCACACTAACAAATTAAACAAAATCCAACCTTTAAAATTTTCTCTAACCCTCTTAACCATTAACACCTGGGAGAGTTGATTGGCTTATAGATCAATCTTAGCACCATCATAAAACCTAGAGACTGCTAAAAAACAGGGTATTAATTTATTATTATTTTAATAAAGGCTCGAGTTACATTTACTGTACAATCCCACCTGTCTGTGGTTCAGTATTCACCTGTTTGTGAGGTTTTTCTGTGGAATCTGAATCCAAACTATTGGTGGAAAAATTTTCCTATTCATACAATTTTGGAGAATTAAAAATATATTGAATATTAAAAATATCTGAAAGAAGATACAGATTGGGGAGCTGCGATATCTTTGTGTAATGCTACTTGACACGCTATTGGCTGGCTAATTAGCCAATCCAGGAATGCCGTTTATTTTCCTTGGCGCCTCCAAGAGCGGAGATGAGGAAGACTTTGAATGTTAGCTTCTCTGGTAGAGTTAAGAGGATTTCCACTGTATTATAATTAGGGTTTATTTGGCGTTTGAACTATTAAAATAGGCAGTTTCAAGCATTTTGGACATGGGTTAAAGGTATATGCAGATTTCAGCCCAGTGGCAGTCCTTAATCCCAATGAAAACCAGTCCATCATATTATTTCTTTCTTGGCCCAAATTTTTTTCCCTCCAACTCAGTACTCAAATTAAAGGTTGGATTTTGTTTTTGTTTTTTTAAATCAGTGGGATTTTCCATTTCAATAAAATCTTAATTTTAATTTGATTGCTTTTGACTCATCCTTAGCAGGGTTATGATTGAATTTAGCTGAGATTTTAAACTGCCTTTATTGACGTTTGAGGCTGCTAACATAAATTAATATTTAGAGACACGTTCAAAATCATTAGCAAGTTTCCTGAATGAGTCCCTCGCCACAGAGGGGACTAATTAGGCGATCAAAAGCTTGAAACTATTGACGCGGCTGAGTTGAGTCCATCGCTCTGGCAGGAGTTGATAATGTGGACGGCCAAGTTAGTGTGTTGAACAGTAAGCAATGCTGCAGCCTGTTGGCATGTTAACAAGGCCCTTAAAAGATGCCCAGAATTAATAGATCAGGACAGTCGTAATGATGGAAGAAGTTGAGGGACACATTTCTCATTTTAATTTAAGACTGTCAGTTTTTCTCCACGTCTCTTTCCATTTTTTTATTTCTCTGCGTCGCTTGGTTCGTCTCATCTACGCCGTTTAAACAAAGGCAAGAAAAAGTAAAGGTTTGGCGAATGTTACTCAGGATAACGAGGGAGATTAATTTCACACTTCAAAGGTTCTTTAGTTGCTCTCTCTTCACTTTTTGGAGCCGTCTGATTATCTAACATCTGTAGAAGGGTTTTGATGTTGAGCACATGGTTCATTTAGAGCAGTTAGGGACAGACTTACGAGACGCACACGAATTACACACACACACTGTAAAGAAAGGGAGACGCACACTTTTCGGTGCCAGTGGTTGCAGCACAGTGGTTTTTAAAAAGCGTGCACACTCCTAGTTAAATTCTAAGATTTTGAAAATGTTGATAATGATGAATAATTTCCAAATACCCCCCAACCCAACTTTAATGTGACATCCTGTCCAAAACGCCTGAAAACCAAACCGATCTGCCAGGTTGATTAAAAAAAAAAGGTGCAATAATCATGTTGCATTAGTGTTTGCATTAAGGTAATCTAATGTTTTCAGATACCTTTTGACTGAATTTCAGCACCCAGTTTTCTTTGGTGGGAATCTATTAGCATCTCACATCTTTACCTGAAGATGCTGAAAGATTCTCCAAATCTGCCCTTTGCAGTAACCTCACAAAACGACTCAAAATTTGTTTCTTTATTCTCATCTGGCCACCACAGAACTTTACACATCATCTTTAGCTTATAGGTTTTGAGTCAGGGCATAAAAATATTTAATATTGACTATAATTTAATTGACGTGAACAAAAAAAGGAGCTCCATTTGAGGAAATTTTGCCACAGAAGACAAATGGGGGAGCAAAACTATGAGTTTACCACAAGCTTGAGTTTTCATCTTAAATATTAGTATTAAATTATAAGTGTGCAGTTGAAGCAGCCAGTTTACTGTCACCTATTTAATCTTTTAAAGCTTTCTCTGTAAGATTTGTTTATATTTCAGTAAAACTTCGTAGGATAAATGTCACATTATGGATGGAGAAAGTTTGGAAACGACTCATCGTGGTTTAAATTTTAATATTCTGAAAAACCGAGAGTTTTAACAGGAGTGTGTAAACTATGTAGCTTTTAGCCACTGCATGCCGCCTTAAATGGTTTCATCAGACTTTCACAGAATCATCCAAAGAGCAGCTTCAGGGCTCAGGGAGGGACACAAAAATGTTGGAAAAATTAGCCGTTGTCAATTCACTTAGAATGTTACAGTCCACCAAAATGTTACACATAGTCTGTATTTATTCCCACTTAGAACAATGGCAACAAAACAAAGACAACTAAAGAAAAAAAAAAACAGTAAATAATTCTCTGGAAGTCTTTTTTGTTGCTGTTTTTAAGCCTCCAGTTCGGCTTCAGTTTTACCAAAAGGGCGAGTTAGCCTCCGGCAGAGTCTCTGGAAAACAAACCCAGAACTTCATAGTCTGAAGGAGAAGTGAGAGGGGAGAAATCATCCTTAAGGAAAATGCAGCTCCTCTCAGACGTGTCCAAAATTTCCTTCTGAGTCAAAAACAGCAGCCTAATATTTGACCATCACATAGTCGGTTCTGTATCTGTACGCCTCAGGGTGAACTGGAGAAACTTAGAGTCTGTGTTCCTCCACCTCCTCACCCATTCCTCTGAGTCTCTCACCCACCCAGAGCTCCTACACTCCCTCTTGCTCTCCCAGCAGGTCTGTGTTGTTGCTGCTCTGTGGGGGAGCGGGGATGCGACGAGGTGACGGAGGCGGAGGGCTGTGGCGCTGCTGCCGCCTCGGACTGGTCCCCCCTCCACCCTCACTGTCTGTGTTGGATGAGGACGGCGGTGGGGGTGGAGGTAACCTCGGCAGCGGGGCAGAGGAGGGCGGTATTCTTGTGGACGCTGACCCCAAACAGCTACCGGACCTCAGGCTCTGGATCCTTCTGCACTCCTGGCAGATCCTCACGTGGCTGCAGCTGCGGGCGGGCAGCATCACAGGCGTGGGGGCCGGTGGAGGCGGAGTGGTGTTTGCTCCGAGCGGATCATCTAGGATCCTTTGGGGCCCGGGGCCCAGATCGGGCAGTCCTGTCCCTCCCGCCCCACCGGTCAGGGGGCCGGCGCCGCTGTACAGCTTCCCATTGCTGAGCCGCATCTCCCGGACCAGGCGCAGCGGCCGGGGGGCTCCGAGCGCGATGCGGGTCGGGTGTCGCAGGGCCGCTGAGCTGCTCAGGGGTCGTCTGCGGCGCATGCGGGAGCTCTTCTTACAAGAGACGGCGTTTCTGAACTCGGTGATCATCTCTTGACAAACAGACACCTGGTGGAGGAAAGGAAGGGAGGAGGAAAGGAGGAAAGGAAAAGGGACGGGAGCAAAGGAAGGGGAGGTGCCACAGACACAAAGTAGGCAGGCAGCACAACAGGACAGTGGTAAGGCAATACAGAAATAAAGCAGAAGAAAAACAATAATATTTAAAGGAAAAAAAAAGAGCTCAAAAAGAAGGAGGCAGCACCAAACCAGAAAAACACAGTGGGTGTAGCAAACAGAGGAGATGCAGGTGAAGCCAAATCACACATCAACAAACGGAGAGATGTTTTAAAACAGGAACAAAGAGGCGATGGGGAGGACATGGAGATGGACAGAGATGGGAGGATAGCAAAGAGAGTTATTACAATCTAAACACGCAGAACACCAAACTGTTCTGTAGAATATGAACACTTCGTTATGAAACGATGAACAAACAGGCAGCCTGCAAACTAAGGTGGACATAAACAAATCTCACAAGGACAGACACTGTTCCCATCCACAAATCTCTTTCACCCTTCAAACATCACGACTGCTGTTATTTGAACACATGACAAACAAAATGCATTTACATACAGCTGCATCTCTGTAACTTAGCAGATCATTATAAGTCTAATTATTTCAGTAATCCACTTCAAAAAGCGAAACATAGATTAGTTAAACTGAACTTTCTTCTAACGGGGTACGGATATAATCAGGATTAAAAACCGGTGATGTTTATGACGATTTTATCTTTCTTAATTCTGATCTTAATTAACTAATGTAAACCTCAACGATAAAGGAAGGATGTTTTAAATTTAATGTTATAAATGGTCATATCACATACAAAATCATAAAAAAGCCAGCCAAATTAATAAATGTTGGGCTGAAGTCCCACAGCACCATTACCATTACCACAGACCACAGTATCCGAGCCTCTTAAAGGAAAGCTAAGTGGAAAGAATAAGCTTTACAGAAAACAAGTATACAAGGATAACTCCAGCCTTGAGAAGATTGTGAAGCTAAGCCCATTTTAGAGTATGTTGAAATTCACAAGGTGCAGATGTCAGCTGGAGCCAGAGCTTTAAAACCATCACACATATCCAAACCTGGGGCTTTGACTGTGTTATGCCGCTTGTCAACCACAAAGTCAGAAGCTTCTTACTTTGGCTAATGAGAAAAAATCAAAGTGTTGCTCACTGGTCCAAAATTTTCACATAAGCATGCACAACTTAGCAGAAATGAGATAATTGTGAAATCAGTGCAAAGAAAAAATAAATACTGGATGTAGAAAGCTTTGCTGTTAAAAGTATTTCCATAAGTTTGTTGTACGTGTCTCCAGGTCTATATTTAGAGTCGTAGAAGTACTGGAAACATGAGATCAGCAAGTTGGAAGAAGTTTGATGTTTCATTGCCAGTGAGAGGAGACTCTGGAAGTGGACATGCTCAACAGAGGAAACACGTTTCTCATGAACGACTGGGATGGTTTCTATCCAACTTCATGAGCCAACGCTCACTGCCACAGAGGGATGAGCCATCAGAGCTCGCTGTGCCTGAAATGCCTGATACTTTACTTTGCAGAGTTACTAAGAATATATTTTGCACTGTTGATTCTGGTCATGACAAATTGAGCTTTTAGAAGAGCCACAACTCAAAACATGTGAATCTGCAGCTTCACCCAGCCGATACTCAATAAGCTAAATGTAGCCACAGCAAGTGGAACAATAATAAGTACCGTTTATGTAATTCGAAAATACTGAAAGTGCCTGAATTAAGGATTAGCTGAGAGGATGTTTTATATTAGGGGTGTCCAAACTCTGGCCTGGGGGTCCAGTAGTGTCCCCAATTGCAATTCAAAATTGCATGTGTAGTTGGAGATTATTTATTTTTAATCAGGGTAAAATTATAACAATTTTCTTACAATGGAAAACGTAAACTATGAAGTATTTGTCTTTTCATAAATAGAACCACGTCTGTGTAGAAACTTTTTACTGAAAAGTGTCAAAATTTAATTTACAAAACTTGGAGAAACAACAGCGTGTTGACAACCTTTTTGAAAGAAAGCAACTCAAATCTTGTTCTTTTAACAGAATAAATTTTTTCAATGAAGCCCAAAAGAAAAACTAGATTCAATTTATTTTAATGTTAAGTTTTGGATCCATAATAAACTACTATACTTTTCTACAAAAAACAACTTTTTTGCTTGATTTCATTTTAACGTTTCCAATTTGCAAATTATTTGGACACTTCAGTTTTGGACCATTTGACAAAAAGTTTGGACTCCCATGTTTTATTGAGTACTTTACTAATAAAGAACATATTTTGTTCCCCTTAACCAACTCCACATGCTCTGATCAGGGGTTGGGGAGCGTCTCCACTGTGCAGCAGAGGTTGGCGGAAAGCTCTGTACATGCAGATGTTACACAACAGGTGCTTTGTGTCGGACTACCTAATAATTACACCCAATTATGAAAGTAAATAAATAAAAATACGCCTCTAGAAAAAAGCAGCTGGTGCACATAAACATTTTCTCAAAGTCCCACAGAGTTTTCGGTAATTGATTTTTTTTGTTTTAGGTTTTTGTTTATTCAGTTGGAAAATAATGAACACTTAATGTCTCAATAAATGTTAGTCTGTTTTTAATTTACTCGGTAACTTTTGGGATTTGATTTGTTTTCTTCACACTGCAGAGGGAAACTGACTGGTGGATCTGACGTCACAATCTACACCTTATCAAATACCCTGGCCAGAAAACTAGAATTGGCCAGAAAACCAGAATAATCAAAACCCCATAGTGAATCTTTAAAGTGATAATAAGAACAGTCATTAGACACAACAATGCAACTGAGCATATTTTAGTATCATAGGGTTTTTTTGTTGCTTTATGTGATTGAAACGGCTGAATTCACTCATCAGGCCTCTGCATTCAGTGCTGCAGACACCTGGTAATCACTTTTCATTCATGTTGTTGGAGAAGAGATGCATCTAAAAGTTGCAGGATAGTAGCTCTTGCTGATTAGATGTTTGGGTTACATAATGTTAGAGAAACTTTCATATTTTCATAAAATGACAAGCAATTATCAGAGTTAACGTCATACATTTTTGATGGTTCTTTGTGTACAGAGAATTTATGAGCTATAAGAGTTTCAACTTTTTGAGTTCAAAATGTAAAATAAGCTTTGTTTTGACTGTTATAAATTATTGTGATGCAGCTGTTTACTCCACAGACAATTACTGTTTTCCAAAAAATATGAAAAGGTCATGTGCTCACATAAGCAGAAACAGTACTCGTTCTTGGAGAACAGACACTGATGACCGAATGAGAGGGGGTGCGCATGTTTCAGAGAGATAGAAGAAGACGCACAGTGAGATGGGTGAAAAGTAATCCAATAATGGAAACGAAGAATACCAGCGTACATGTGAGGCATGTAAAAGAAGATACATCGTGACATTTAATGCCAGGGAAAAAAAGGTCACTATACTTGTTTAAGCAAGCAAATATTGGCATTTCTCAATATTGCTTATCCGATTTATTACATTTAGCTCACAAACACTTGCTGCCACACTGTTAAGGGCACATCAACACAAACACAGGCAAGACCATGCTGCATATTTTTTCTGCTTGTATCATTTTCAGTCCAGATTTGCACACTTGTACATTCCTTTCATAATATTGGCTCATAACACTGAAATGTTAGAGAGCACACACAAAGACGAACAAATAAAAAACAGAAGCGGAAATATAAAATCTGGCCACATCTTGCACACAATACGACACAACACACACACACAAACAGAAAACATAATCAAAAGGGCTGGCAGGATGCCATGGGAACCTACTGGGGTGTGTCTGTGGGGTCGGCGAGGGCAGGTATGGGGGCATACCTCATCAGTCTCTGCCGAGCGGCGCGTCGACCACACAAACTCCATAATAGCCACAAACACGGCGATGATGAGGCCGCATATCAGCACCACGAAGATGCCCCCAATGTTTTCCATGCCCAGACCTGAAGCGGGCCACAGGAAACACATTGTGTTCAGATTTCAGGCTCTCCATTTAATTCCTTTTCCTTTAGAGCAATTGTGTCCATTACTGAGGTTATATTCCATTTGAGTCTGCAGAGGTGAGCTTCATTTATTCCAGAAAGCTACTTTTCTCCAACTCACTGATATCAGTCTGCATAAATAAACACTTATTTAGTTTTCAGATCAATGCTGTAATCTGAAGACTGGACTAAAAAAAAAAACATCCTAACAGTTGTTTATTTAATCATTTCGTTCCTTAAATTCAACATTTTAACGCAATCATTATTAATGCAATCATTATTAATGCAATCATTATTAATACAAATAATTGATAGTCAGGGTCAACATCAAGCTTTTTGTTTTCAGTTCAAAAGACAACAGCAGCACTTACTCTGTTGTGTTCAAGGTTGTATCTGGAATAATCTTTGCTTTCAACACAGCAAAATTAGGGTCATAATTCACATTTTATTTAAAATTGAAAAACAGTGACATATTTTTTTATGAATTATGCTGAGGACTAGTCATAAAATGCTCAAATCTAATGTACAATTTAACTTAATCTACTGTATATTTTGTAGAACATTTATTTGCTCCTCACCCAATACACTCTCACAAAATATGACAGTCTGGTGTGACCCTTTAATTAACAAAAACTCCTCAAATCTACTTTATTTTATTAACTATAGGAGTCACGCAAGTAAAAGATTCATCGTTAGACTTTCTCCAGTTTTTGTAAAACTACAGGTGATTGTAGCTGATTCTGATTTCTCTGGTTGTAAGCAGATTTACATTATCAGATCATAAATGAGCACATTTAATTTAGCCTTCCAGCTCTGAATCCTCCAAAACAATTTATTTTGTTGCAAAGGTAACATTTCAGTTAAAATGGAAACAGGGTTTTGTTTTTTTTAAAACAAGCAGTCTATTTGACACAGCATGTTAGCAACATTTCTAGTCACTCCAAGCCAACCAAATCCAACATGAACCTCTAACTTCAACAAATCTCTATAAAAATTTAAGATACAAAATTTATTTTAATCAAAAGATACTTTGCAAGTACTTACAAATGGACCAGGCAGACAATCAGGAGTTAAAGAGAAAAACTAAGATAGATGTGTCCAAAAGTGGTGGCATCCACTTTTAAGGGTCTGATTGGTCCATTTCCAAGCTTTTCACTCATACACATACCTGAAGAATATGATTTATGAAATAAAGGGTTTTGTTTTTAACAAATTACACAATTACTGTCATAAAATGAGAACAGTTTCATAATCTGCTGTTTTTGCTTTTATAAGCTCTACACATAATAACAGACAATCTGCAGGAGGGGGAATGAGTCTGACAGAAAACGCTGTCATCTTGCGTTACACAACATGTGCAATCATATTTTTGGAGCTTGACCCACACTTGGCACCAAAACTCTAGATTTCTGAGCCCCTGCAGCTTCACTCATCAGCATTGTTCCTACAAGATATGTCGGCAAGTCTCACTTGTCTCAACTTTGTACAAAAGCTTTTATGTGAGCACATACTCATATCCGATTTTTATATGTTTAAGAGAAAAACTCTTTTTACACTGGCTGGGACTTTAAACACAAACTCTTACACACTACCTGATACAAACAATTTAGATTGGTCTGACATCAGGACAGACATCAGCCATTAGCTGCAGTCTAGCAGAGAGTGAGGAAGCTATTAGTGGGGACATTAGAGAGGATGAGGCAGCAGAGAAGAAAGGCAGCTCACCCTTGGCACGGTGGTCCTCCTCTTTGGGACACTGGCCTCCATCCCACCACCCCCTCTTCAGGATCTCCAGCCTGTTATTCTCATGCAGCTGGAGGATGGCCTGTGTGATCTCTTCTCTGAATGGAGATCCTGGCAGAAGACAAGGAAGCAAGATAAGAGCCAGCACTGGAAAGGTGCAGCGCAAGGATCAGGGGCTATTTTGGTAAAGGAGAAAAAAAAACATGAAATGAGAGCAGACTTAGGAGTAAAAGAGAGAATTGCTGCATCCAGCTTTGAAGTGGATACAAGTGATCTTGTGGTAAGTAGACAGAGAAGATCAGAGAGATAAACAAGGAGATTAAATCCAGAGGCAGAGACAGTGGTACAGCTGCAGCTCAATTAGAAATCAAAGAGTGTTATGAGACACATCCACAAGAGCAGAGTGGGGGGATTTAAAGGGTAAATGTACTAAAATTTGCAAGTATTAAGCCATGAATACATAAAAGTTGACTGTAAGGACTAGATAAATCTCTTTATGAAAGAGCTGCCAGCTGTTTCAGCAGATTAACAGTGAGTACCGTTAATCTGAGCAAAGTCAAAACTGTTTAGAAATGAAAACAAACAGAATTCAATGTTTGAATTTGACCTTCTTTAAAGTAAAAAACTAAACACAAAGTTGCAATGTTACTTTGATTACTTCAGATTATTTGCTCAAGCACCGTCTTCTCAGAGTGAATGCTCCATATAAACAATAAGACAAAGCAGGATCTCTGCTTTATTTATTATTCCCTTTAATACTTTCAGACAACAATAAAAATCCCATCAAGTCTTTACAGTCTTACGCTAAAACTTCCTGCCTTCTGTACCAATTTTAAAAATGGGGATCATTCACAGTCCCTTAAAAATGTATTCATGCACCCTGAACCTGTTCACTTTATTGAAACCACAAAATTATATGTTTTTTCTTACAGTTTTACAGTATTTGACAAGCCAAAAAAGCATAATTATCAATTTGAACAAAAATATGAGTTTTCAATTGCTTAACAATCTGAAAAGTTGGGCATACATAATTCCTCATCCACTATGAATCAATACTTTGAATAACCATCTTGTCTTGTTAAACTTTTAGGGATCATTGCACATTTCTGGTGTAAGAAAAGAAAACATAAAAACCTATAAGGAATATCTGATGTTTGCAAGACTCTGCATTTGCATGAGCAGTTGAGACTTTTTCTTCAGAAAAATGCTTCTCCTTCTTTTCTTTCATTCTGTTTCATGTTCCTCTCTTTTCTCCCCTGATCCATAGCAGAAAGTCCAGCCAAGACTGGGCCCTTCATTAAAACAGACCAATGAATCGGTGACAAAACTACCATGGGCTAAACAGTGAAAAAGGCTTTTTATAGACCCGGGCAGGAGTTGAAACGCAATTAACTTTCTTTTCATTACTTCCACTTCAAATACTTTATAATCCCATAGATAAAAACTAAATCAACACAAGCCTTTTTTTCCTAAGATCTAATCACACAAATCAGCCAAAAGTACATGTGTCTGTTTAGCATATCTGATCCCAAGCGAATGTTTCAGCTTTTCTTACAGGCAATGGCTTTTAATCCTGCTCCTCTTTCGCTTTGTTGGTAAAGTTTACACTGTGAGATGAGATTAATCCCTGTCAGGCACGTTTTGTAACTCTGTGCCCTTTGTTGGAAATGTTCAGTCACTGTGCCACTTCCTCTGCAGCTGTTCACCGGTTCTGCAGATCGTTCCTCATTCCGTTTCTCAGAGAGTTCACTGGGGCTATAGGTGACCTACTTTACTCTCAACTGTAAATAGCTCCTGGAATAATGACTGAGTCTTTGGCTGATTCAAGATAGCAACTGTTCATAACTTCTCTAAAGAAACGCAACATTGAGGCATGTCACAGAGAACGAAACCGTGGAATTGTACAAAACAAAAGTCGTCCCTGCGGAGGATCCATCCTGCTGCATTTATCATCTTATTGACTATTGCAGTAGGTCTAAAAAGTTGACTCATCCCAGTTAAAATGTCAGTTTTCTGTGATGTAAAAAATGAAGACCAATTATCTCAGGCACTTTTCAACCTGTAATCAGAACCATAAACTACTTTTTTGTTGTTTTGGTGGAATAATATTAGGAATGTGGTTGCACAGAATGTTGTTTATATTTGGATGTGCCTGTTCAGAATGAACAACCACATCCAAATCCAGGTAAAAAACGTTTCAGCACATCCCCTAACTTTTAAAATGCCTGTGATTAACCCAATTCATTATATGTTCATTTTCTTTATTCACATTCACAGTTTTCTATTCCTCCCTGTTTGAAGTGTCATTGTTCTGTTCTCAAGCAATTTTACCACCTTATAAAAGCTCTCAGCGGCTGTGATAGACAGCCTGTGATTACGTTTCCTGGGGTCTAGACTCTGATTGGCACTATAAGCTCCAACCTTTCATATCTAAATCCAAATAAGAATGAACGCATGAAAGAGTTTAATGAAGAAATACAGAAAAAACTAAAAAAAATTACATTTAAAACAAAGACTGGAAGTAGGCAATCAATTAGTTCACTTCTTTAATTTGTATGCTCATGTACTTAATAACAGTCCAGATGTTTTTCCTTGTTTGTATATTGAATTACATAATTATATAATTATAACGATAATTATATGATCATAAAATGATCAAACCTTACATGCAGTTTATTTTGTTTAGAGACTGTTTTGTGAAGATTTTATTTTAATTATATAACTTAACTTTTTCCACTATCAGTCCAGGTGTTAGCTAGTCAATTCTTGAAAACACAGATTTTAAACCTTGACCAAACTAAAATATATAGGAGAGACAGGCACAAAGATACATTTCATTGTATGAAAACCAGTAGCAAACTGCTACTTTTCTTACCCAACAAATTCTGAACAAAAATTACTTAGTCAAATTATTTAAAGGACAATAATTTACGTGCATAAGATAAAGAGAATTTACATTACAATTTAAATTTAATATTTCCTTTTGTCTATATTTCCTCTGAACTTTAAAAGCCTTCAGTAAATTCCTAAAATAATATTATGATTTTTACTACTTAAAAGTTTTTATTTAAATAATGCAGCACAGTGTCAATTGTCTGCAAGCTCCATACAGAGATAGCAAAACTCTGCAGGATTACAAAGCACAGAGTTTCAAGGTTGTGTGGTATTAAACTGACCAATAATTTCAATAATTTATTGACGTGTCACTGGTCTAATCAGAGACATAACGGCTCTATCCGCTGTGACCTTTAAGCCCCAGACGTGTCAGTGGAGGAAAAAATACAAAAGCTGATTGTAGCCTTTGAAGCCTGAAAAACCACCTAATCCTTATTGATGATGTTTATGCTTCTTTTTCAAAAATCTTTAAGAGGCTCACACACTCATTAATTCATAATCACGTCTTGATCTGTTCGTTTCCTTTCAGACAGTTTTTAAGTCATTGATATTTTATATTCCACCGTTTTATTGCAGAAAGCATATTGTCATTAGGATATGAAATCTGATCTACTGAATGTAATAAGAAGCTCTGTCTGCCTATTACGGGAGACAAAGATTATGATTCTTACTGGAGCCATTTAAAGAAATACTTCAGCATATTAAGAAAACCTGTCATTCTGTACAGTTTTTATAGACCTTATATTATAGGTTAGTGTTTTTTTGGTACCATGCTTACCCAGCGGCATGCCGATGCCGTAGCCCTTGGTGTCCAGCAGTCCTCCTATCTGTGTGAGGTTACAGTTGAGGCCGCGGTGATACTCGTTCATGGTGCTCTCCATCAGAAAGGCATACTTGGAGTTGAGAACACGGGCGATTCCCTCCTCTGTGCTTTTCACAAAAACGCTGGGCAGTTTGGAGTTCATGTAGTTCCACATCCGCTGGTACGTCTGGTACCGCGAGTTCTGCACAGACATGGAAAAATAGCAGTGGGAAGACTTATCTAAAATATTAATTAAATGTCTATGGATGCAAAGAGGAAGAATATAAAATAAAATATATGTGTTAGGGTTAGGAGAGAAATCCTGGAGGAAAATGGAAAAGTAAGCAGACAGGTAAGAATATCCAATGATGTTAACCTGGATAAAATATATAAGGCAAGCAAGAACAAAAGCGGAAATAAAAGAAACATTTTGGTTCTAACTCAGTTGGATGACACCACAAATCGAAACAGAAACAGATGTTTTCAGCTGGTTTGCTGTTGCCTGACATTTTGCTTTGATAGTAACATGTCAGCAAATAAACGCAAACACGCTCTGGTGTGTTTTTCCCTTTGGTGGAGTCTGAAAACAACATTACTGTATGTAGAAAATAAAAGGGTTCACACAACATCTGAATTCAGCCATCAAGAGAAATGCAAATAAAACAAACCCAAGACAAGTCAATCAGAGGAAACAAGAGTAAATACTGGATTGGATTTCTCCGGAGCGTTCTGAGAAAACACACTGCTGAATAATAACCAATCACATCACTTGTTCTGTAACTGTGCTGCTTTTACACTGCTTGGCTCTGTTGCCAAAATTGCCATCTGATGGGTTCACCATCAAACAAAGATTATTCTGACAATATTTTTCAGCTGTTTTAAAGCAATTTAAATGTTAGGTCAATAAAGCTGACATCTTGGCTGCAGCTGCTTACTGGAGGTTAAAGCTGTAGGCGACTCCAGTGATAAAACAACCTAGTAAAAGTTTCACACTGCTATGCTGTCATGAATGCCGTTGCTTTTACTGTGATGGTTCATCGCAGTGCAATTATGAATCCCAGATATTCATTGTAGTGCTTTATCATGACAAACGATATAAACACAGCACTACCCTTGTAGTGTATTCATTCCTGTTATGATGTTAATAAGACTTGGAAACAGAAGCAACAACTATTATCGTCGGTCTTGCCTCACTGATGAGGCAGCCCAATGTTGACTGGGATGAGAATGCAAATTAGAAATATTCTTGGATTTGATGTGTTTCATGTTCATCTGATAAAAAATCTTGCAGTTTTGCAACTTTTGAAAAGCTTTTATGACAAACTTCAACTTAACACTATGATAGATAAAGAAAATTGGAAAAGTATTAATTCCCTATAGGTTTTTGAACATGCAAGCTTAATTGTATTTCATTAAGCCTGAATCTGTCATACATAAAGAAGTGCAGCTATAAAGTGATGCATTATTTTTGAAAGTAGTTTAGAAATAAAGCACATTTGCAGTCGTGCACCAATTCACTTTGATCTGTCATCTAGAAGTTGCAATTATCATGTGAGTCAAGAATATTCTTTAACATTTTTTAGCATTTTGTGTTTTTCATGGCAGTTTATATTTACAGCATGTATTTCAAACTGTACATGTGAGAAAATAGAGAGAGAGTGGAGAAGGTAGCATCTGTGTGTAATGACGCATGTAGGTTTTGTATGTTCCTGTGGATCAGGCAGTAATGGAGCATAACAATAAAACCGGCTTATGAAGACAAACACAAAACGTTCTATTCTATCTATAGTAGGACAGAAAGGGAAAGAAAACAAACACCACTTGTCGTGTAGCCACTTCCTTTAAATGCATTTAAATATATTTTTTGAACTCTCACCTACACACGTTCCCAAAGGCTAACACACCAACATCAGAGAGAGAAAAAACACACACACACCACGACAAACACAGATGTCAACTCAGATGCCTGGAGCGCTCTCATAAAGCAAACACAGGCAGTCACCCACCTAATACAAGCCGCCATAAAGAAGAGCACACACAAACTCTGAGGAAATGTCACAACAAACATTCAGCCTACTAGCAGGATACAAGCTACATACAAACACTTTAGAAAATGCAATAAAAGTAACACCAAAAGTAAAACATGATCATGGATATAAACTACCGGTGTGCAACTTTATTTCAAGTTTTGTAAAACCTCAAAAACAGTTTGTAAAAGTAAGCTCTGAAGCGTAAAGTAATCATAAAATCATAATTCCTCTTGGATTCAAAATGACAGCTTCCATCCAGCTGTACCTTTTCTTTTGTCATTGTCACATTAATAAAATTTGCACAAATTCCTCTGCATTTTAATCCTCAGGAAGTAAAAAAAAATCTGTAAATCAGACTTTGAAGCAATCAAACCAATTCTGTGCTTCTCCAACACAAACATGCTACAAACTAGGAGCAGAGGATGGTTTTTACCATGAAGAAAGTCATGGTGCTTCCTCCATGAATGGTGCCGTACTCGATGTTGGTCTGGTCAGCCAAATCATCCGGAGACTCGATGGGAACCTCCATCCTCTGAACGGTCAGGAAGGCTGCCAAGTTGGCCGTGTAGGAGGAGATGATGATCAGCGTGAACGCCCACCTTAAAAGGAAAGAAAATGAGGACAGATCAGGTTACTGCAGGTCTTCTGTCATCTGAATTACATACAAGATTACTGGATGCCTGGAGGAAATCAGATTGTTGAGCTGGGAAATTACCTTTTTTTTGGCAAGGTCCTTTTTCTGATATAGCAAGGATTTGAAGAGTTTTTAAAACCACTTACATTTTCTGTGCTGCCATTTCTATTGTCTAAAACACAAAGTTTCAGCACAGGCAGCATTTTACCCCCTCATTCATGCTTTTGTGCACCCTTCCAGCCACACAGACAGCTTTCCTTTGCATACAAGAAAGACAATGACAGCTGTTAGGAAAGTCATTGCACTGAATATAAAACAGCAACACCCATCACTCTCATTAAGGTAACCCTATTTTGAAAGTATAGTTCCAAAGCCAAGAGTCCCATTTCCATAAACCAGCTGACTGCAGACATCAGCACCTGAGCATATGACTCAGCTAATAAATCTGCTAATATTAGCTTCCTAGCCTCTAACTATAGAAAAACTAAATGTTAAAAAAGAAGCATTCTTCATTTACTTTAAAAACTGAAATTAGATAAAGTTACACTAACTTTTTGTTTTAGTTTTGTTTGCAAAACAATACATTTATTGGTCAGCATGCACAGAAACGTTAGACCCACTGCTGTCCAGAAGAACACGAACTACACTAAAAACATGTAGTTGATGTCCTAGCGTTCAAATTAGTGATTTATGGTGTGATAAATACAGAATGTATGTGTAAGTGTTGTAATCTGCAAGAAAAATTACACCAAAAACCTGAGGTTTGCTCGATCAGCAAGACATCAGGTGCTTTCACTGTGGAATAACTTTTATGAGTAAATCTTCAGTAACATTACACAGAACTTTATGAAGTCACATATTGATATTTTCCTTCACTTGCACTATGTGTGTTATACTTTATAATTATGACCGTTAAGCGTTTTGTAAGCATCAGTTTTTCAGCAGCTGAGCTCTGCCTGCCTGTCGGTTCCAGTAACTCTGACTTCTTCAGCACACCCAGTAACCTTAGACAGTCTCATCCTCACAAATCTACTGGAAACAGTTTGGGGATTTATTGTTCCTGTTCCAACATGGCAGAGAATCACTGCAAAAAGACATTCAGGCATTCTTACTCATAAATACATTCTTGAATTGTGGGGAAAATTTCCCTGAAATTAGATGTTGCTGCAAAGGGTGAGCCAATAATCTCATTAAAACCTATGTATTAAGAATGGGAAGTGACTTAACTTCATATGTGTATGAAGGGAGACTTTTGGCATTAAGATACATACATGGCGACATAGGACATCTCCTGGACTAATGTTTTTTTTTTTTTCCACACTATAAAAATGCTGACAAATTAAAACTTTGACATTTTATATTTCTTCACAATATCGTCAGTAAAAAAAACTAACTTTGCTTTAATTCACTCGCAAATCTTAAAAACACTGTAAAAATAGTAGTTAAATATTTCAGATTTTTTAACAGTTATAACCTTGTAGAAACAGGACGTCCTTGCTTACCTAACAACTTATTTCAAAAAGAACATCACGTTCCAGACACGTTTTTAATTTTCCCTCCCATTCAATTCTGAGAGATCTGCTGTTCCTGTCCTTTCCCTCTGTCTCCTTTGCTCGCAGCGCTTACGTCTTTCTCAGCACATGTCTTTCAGAGCTCCCTCTGGAGCATCATCAAACTTGAATTTTTGTTGGCTTTGCATTTGTACATTACTTGACACTCAGGAAAGGAAACTTTTGTGTCAGCTATCCCAAATCCCAAGACTGCATTTAATATCTAAATATTCTGATGGAAATGTAATAAAATAACTGCTTACAAGATACAAGTCATTGTTAAGTGTCTCTTTCCACATCTTTGAACACACAAAAAAAAAGCCTTTTCAATTTGTGGTAAGAAGACTAAAATAAATAAACACACCTGGCCTTTAGAGAAGCTCTTAGAATCACAAAGTGCTTCTTATTCTCTCTTGTACATTAGCTTCCATGTTCAGTCACGTCACAAACTCTGCATGTCTTTAAACTCGTTCTCAAGATGTGCGCAGGTAAAACTAACAGCAGCCTTTTCGCACAAATGTCTTTTTACAGCATCAAGGTCAAACATCAAATCAAGGAGAAAATATAAAACCCATTTCTAAGATGAAGGGAGGCGTTAAGCTGCAAAGGCACAGAAACAGCCTAACTCATCTCTAACTCACCACACACCGCTGACACATCTGGTGGACAAGGCTCTGGGCATTATCTCTGATCCCTGCTGCATGAAGCCGCCGATGGGGAACCACAGGCTGTTTCCCAGTGTGTACTGGTTCTCCAGCATGTCCCTGCGCTCCCGCAGACACGGGTGAGGGTTGTACCACTCGTAGGGGCTCAACCTGGCGAGAGAGTGGGAGCCCGTTGAAGCAACCTTGAGGACAAGCTGTAGCATGATGATGTACCTCTGTAGTTCAAACAAGCCAATCAGTCATACAACCCCTGTCAAGCCGTGTGAGGGGACATGTCCAGGGGAAAAATGATATATGACAGGTGGCCTGTGTTTAACAATATAAATGGCAAGAGAACTCAGATGTGAGCTGCGGACAATCAGCGCAGTGTATGATGTAACGGACTGACCTTGCTGCCAGGAAGAGCACGCAGCTGACAGCCAGGTAGGCGAGTAACATGAAGAGCCAGACAGCTGGAGAGAAAGGATCCAGGAAGGAGAAGTAGCCTGGCTTCCGACCCTGAAACAAAGTGGAGAAAGAAGAAGTGAAGATGCAGATAGATGAGAAATCTGGGACAGACAGCAGATGTTATGAAAGGTGTCCCCTTCGCACCACAGGAGGGCAGTGTACGCCCCCTCACTTTAATACAGCGTCGGCAGTGCTTTGATACTCTAATGCTTCGATCCATAAATGCTGTTTAACAATGCTGTCTGCCAGAGCGAGCCTGGCGTGGGCCCAAAACCTCATTAGCAATGTAAAGCTGCCACTGTAACACAGCTCTGACTTACTGAGCAAAAATAAATTCTCACTATAAACTTCATTGAGGACTTACACTAATACAATCAAAGGGATCAACTCTCGAGCAATAAGCGGTTTTGCTCATTTCAGCGAGTTCAGCCTGGCGTCTTCTTCATCAATGGGAGGACTCAAGAACATATCAAATCCAGTACAGGATCTGAAGTAAGTATCAGCCAGCAGGTGCCCGACAGCCCGAGATAACACCCTCACCAATTGAACTCGGTACAAGATGCTGATCCCCAGGGTCATGAAAGGCTTAGAGAAGTCGATAACTTTCTCTCTCTCTGATGTGATGGTGAAGCCTGCCACGGCCAGGTCGGCTTTCTGGAGGATTGACACAGATAGATGGGTGGATAGATAGCAGCAGGGGTGAGCAGGAGATAGACGCAGCAAAAGGACAAGAGAAAAAGTACAGAAAGCGGTCAGCAAAAAAAAACCCCAAAAAAACAAGAAATAGACACTGAAACATGTTGATGCCAGTTTAAGTTTTCTTGCATTTTATAGTATTACACATACTGCACTGTAACTAATTGAGATTTTAAAAAGACAATTATGATGTGGAAGAAAAATTATTTGTTTTCTTATTTAATATTAAATTATAACATTTTAAGATAATACCCCATTGACAGTGATGCATCTAAATAAAATGTTACCCAGCGAATCACCTTCAGAAAAGTCTACATGTGCATAATTTGATCTATTTTTAAATCCTGCTGTTCTTAGAAAACTTCAGCAGCTTGTTTGAGAACAGTTCAACACATAGAAGAGGGTACTCTGATCCAAATTTAACTTTCCAGCCTTCGTGTAAAACAAATATGTGGAAAAAATGCAAGGCAGAAAATGAACACTATTTGTGTGCTTCTATTGGTCCCGCTGTGACATATGGTGTTGGCAGCATCATGTTGTGGGGAAATTGTGGGTAAACATACCTGAACATTCAGCAAGAGCTAAAATGGAAAGGTTCAGAACAAAAAAAAAAACAAAACGCAATTTTGTGGTTTTGAAGTTTAGAGATGCGCTCAATGAAACAGGATCTATTTTGGAAAGAAGATGGAGGAAAATTATGGCTGCAAACAAAGGCAGCGCAAGTTTTTGGCTGCTATTTGTTAAATTTATTGTCTTTTATCATTTTCTGTTCTTGCACTTGGCTGCAGATTTGGGGATGTAAAGGTATAATGGGTACAGAATGTCCCCCAGTGGGAAGATTCAGGTGCAAAAGTTTGAATACTTCTGCAAGGCACCACACTGAGCGTGTTAAAAGTTCACTGTGCCACCTTTTATGACATATGCAGACATGCTATTTTCTCTTGCACACGCTCGTACTATTTCTCCATGATCCAAATTAAGCTAATTGAAAGTAAACACAAGGTCCCTGGTCTTTCCACCTGCATAAAACCTGCAGGTCTCTGGTCGTTCTGCCTCCCCTTCATCTCTTCCATTAAAAACTAATTGATGAACATGGGCTACTAATTACAGCCGAGTGATCAGGCTACGAGGAGGGCGGGGAGGGTGAGGAAGCATGGAGAGCCGGGGGAGCACCGCCGTGGCAGACCCCACACAGGGACCAAGGCTCGGTAATTGAAGTGTACCGTATGGTAATTAAACAGAGAGGGGCTCTCATTAGCCTGCTTCAACCAGAGTGTCAGTCACAGGCTCAATAGGCCTGGACAGGTTGAGTGGGAAAAAAAAAATAATATTTGTATATATACAAAATAAAGTGTTTAGTAGTGGTTTTCAGCTTGGAAACACAGCGCAGGCAATATTTAGCAAATTGTTCAGTCTCTTCTGGGGAATTATCAATTCAGCCTTTGTCCTAGATAAGAGTGTTACTCCCCTCTGAGGGCAATTTGCGACATGGGGAGTTACAGCAGAACTGTGGTTTGGGGCTACAGCACAAGTGTGTGTACAAGTATGTGGCTGTGTGGATGAATTGCTGTGTGTTTGTGGCACATTTTCTAGTTGTTATTGCTGCACGCGTTGTGCAGAGTACTCACCCTGTTGATCAGCTCTCCTACCATGCCGGTCCAAGAGCCATTGGGCTCCGGGGCCCCATACAACCCATCATCCACCAGCTTGATCTTGAAGGAGAATTTTAAGATGCCTGCCAGCTCCCTCAGCATGTCAACACAGAAACCCTCGTACTGCTCGTTTCCCTCGAAATCCTGGTAATTGTCCTTGCGCATCACATATGGGTTCTCCTGTGCAGAGGGAAAACATGACGAATCTCAGTCTAAAACAGGCAGAGTGTTTAGTTGTAGAAGATATTACCTATCACTATTGATTTCTTGTAGGGGGTTTCAAACAGCTAATTAAGGTTTAAATAACAAGGCAGTTCAACCTTTTTCTCATTAAATTGTTTAGCACATAGAAGAGCACAGTTTTTGTGACCTGCTTTTTTGCTTCAAATTAACTGGACAAATCCAAGTAATGTCAAAGGTTTGAGCTAATTCTTTGCAACACCATTAATAAGCTAATAAAAAGGTATTTAGTCCCCGTTTCTTATCGTTTTGCCTTTTTTGTCAAACTTAAATTTCAGAAAATTACACAGTTTTTAATATCAAAAACAACTTAACACAAAAATCTAATTCCAAATTATCTTTAATAATAGTAAAATCAAGCAAAGCCAACCCACAAAATACTAACATGTCATGATGTGTTGTTTTAAAGTGCAGCCAAAAGATGAGAGGCACAGGCAGCTTGTCAATGAAAAATCTTTAATGAAAAAAATGAACAAAACTTGCAAAAACACACAGGGAGCCAAAGCCAAGAAAAACAAAATCCAGACCGAAAAACCATCATTATGTAACAATGCACAGAAATAAACTAAAAACAACTCAAGATACTAACTTAATAACCAGTTGTGCCACCTATTGGTGGCAATCACTGCCATCAACCTTTTATAACTGAGAATGAGTCTTTACATCACATTTTGGTTGTTTTAAAATTAGCTACACATAAGGTTTCAATTTGGAGAGTTTAAGGAAGTACCATGACAGCCTTACTTTGTGTTGGCTCATTAAAACCTTTTTATTTATTTTTTGTTGTTGTTGTTGTTGTTGTTATTTTTACATTAGGAGAGCAGAATTGAGAAGCTTGTCCAGTTCCAGACAAACACACTGTCACTTTCATGGCCGATGGTTTTTGTCTGAATTGCTATGTTTATGTCAAATGCAACGTGATGCACATCTTTCCAAAAGTTCCACTTTGGTTTTAGTCCATATAATATTAATCAATATGTTTTGCGGTGAATAAGAAACTGATCTTTTTTTCAAACTCTTTACATAGATGCTATTTTTGCCGAGTCTCTTTTTAATGCTGAATCGTAACCATTGACTGAGTAATTTTGTTCCATGTTTTGTTTTTTTGTTCTATTTGTGGATAATGGCCTCTACTGTAAATCTTTTAACAGTTATCCGTCACTTTAAAACGTCTGACAGAAGAAGAAAATCTATCTCTAAATGTGTCAAAGGATTTTTATAAAACGTTTTTTCCAAAGTTTAACCTCTGATGGGTAAAGGTCAGCCCGCCTCAGCAGAGTCAGTACACTTTAGAACATTTTTATCTGCTCTGAGTCTCTGACAGCTACAGAACACTAATAGAAAATGTCTTCAATAGACATAATTCGCTAGTGGGAGATGGCTGCAGATGCAGGTTAGTATGGGACCTTGACAGATTAAAAAACTACAGTCTGCCCAGTGAATAAAACTGATGCAGATAAACCTGGGTAGCAGCAAGGCTATCATAGAAAGAGATTGATTTATCTCAAAAGTGGTGCAGCAGAGAAGTAAATGCATCAAGTTTCACAAGGAAAATGACGTTTCAGAAACTCTGGCAATTGAAACTGAATCAGAAATATGTTATTGATCTAAAAAAAAAAAAAAAAAAAACTACCAATGATCTAGCCAGCCTTTAGCTTGAATTTACTGCAACACACAAGTGTAAAATGTCAAATTGTAGCATTGTACAATAGGAGAACAATTAATAATTCTCAAATTTTAACAATAAACATTTTGGATTTTTTTTCCTATCCATTTAATGCTGATAGCCTTACAATAGATAGAAAAATGAAACAAATGGGATGATCTGACATCTAAACAATAAGTGGGATGGGCTGCAGTGGCTGCAGTGCAGAAGGGTGTAATTTGTCTAAATGGGTTGTTCGGTGTAAATTAAAGGACTTAACTATCGGTAAAAATACTGAATAAATAAAAAATGCTTTTTTTTCTTAATGCCGGTGGCTGCTGGATAGAAACAGTTCTTGAATCGGCTTGTAGGTGTGCAGGTGCTTCTGCTAATGGCTGGATGATCTTCAGTGAATTCTTGCTCCAGTGCAGTTTGAAGCGCTCCTGCTTGGCTCATACTGCTGTTTTGGTAACTATATAATCATCTGCAAACCTCTGCACAGCTTTTCAGAACATTACAGCTGCTGTAACAGGCTGTGAAACAGCATGTCAAAATATTCTCAGTGGTGCATTGAGAGAAGTTGGTTAGTGAGTCCAACCTAAACTACTCGGTTGTGGCAGAAACAAGCCTCTGCCTTGCTGATTTCTGATTCGCTCATCATTGATCCTCACATTGAACTAAAACTCCTCAGGCAAGCTCTCCTCCAACAGACCCCGGTAGCTGTTGTCCTGAAACTAAGATGACCAGCTTCTTATTTTTTCAATGTTAGATGACTCTTCAGTGTCTGATGTGTAAAAAATGATGATGGTGCCATTTGCAAATATAATATTGGAGTTAAGATTAAATTTGGCAGGACAATCATGGGTGAAAAAGATGGGACACTTCTCTGGGGATATCACTGTTTTGGTACAATGTGGATGGATTAGCAGAACCCAATATAGGGGAATGTTAATGATTTTAAGTATTTAAAGGAAAAACATGAGGTGTTGCTTTGTCACTATTTATTTAGTAATAAGAAATAAATTACTGAGATAATTAAGGCCTAAAGCACTTAAAATAAGGGAATTGTTCTAACATAAAAACCTCTTATGAGAAAAAAATATCTTGCCGTAAAAGAAACAATCATAAATTCAATTAATCTAAGACATTTAATATTACTTAGATTTTAGTTTTTGCAGTGTTCAAACATATTTTCCTGATTTATTGGCAAGGGAGGGAAGAGAACAGTGCAGAAACCATCACTTCATCTTTGGAAACGGTTTGGCCTACATGGAAAACACAGCAGGTCAACTGTAGCAGCGAGAGAGGATGTGCGCGGGTCTTGATTATGTGTTCCAAGCACTTCATGGGAATGTAGGTAAGTGCAATACAGCAGCTACTCCAGGTGTTTTGAGGACAGGAATGACACTGGCCTTGTCACAGGGCACTTTCAGTCCATATTCCTGACAGTTGAGTTGCTTTACCTTAGCAAGGTCCATTTTCTCTCTCTATTGCTTTTTTTATTTATTTATTTTTTAACAAAGACCAAAAAGAACAATGTCACACAACACATTTATTTTGGTTTTAGTTTAATCCTTTAGTGGATACAATCTATTTATTATAATAAGGAAGATGATGGCTCAGCAAACATATTACTGTTTTTAAGTTGTCATTAAACATCTAAATAGCCAAAGGACAGCAGGACATTAATAAAAGACCAGCACTCTGGCAGCCTCATTTTAGTAACACGTCCTTCTCAGTGCTCTGTCAGTTTCTATGACAGCTACAGCTACAGCTAAATTGCCAGAAAGAGACCAAAACACAGCGTGAGCTCCAGCGCAGCAGGCAAGCACAAAAACAACTCTACTTGCCAGTGTGGACACTTGTGAGGTAGCTGTGACCTTACCAAGATGGTGGTGACAATCAGGGTCTTGTTCGCCAGCGTCTCTGAGACATTAATATCCAAACTGGTGGAGTTCATTGCCAAAGTGTTGTTGGAGTACCAAATCCCAATCTAACACAGAGTACAAAACAAGAGAAAATCAATAACCACTGTGGAATAAATAATGCACTCTTAAGCTCTAATTGAATCTGTTGTTATATATATATATTTAAACTTCAGCACACTAAAAGCTCAAGTACATCAGTCAGCTCAGCCATCCCAGTGGTCTACTTTAAAATGCAAACAACATTCGGCACTGTATATTCTGTACTTTCTCTTTACAGCCGGTTATGTACGTGTATCTATGTTGATATAATAGTTCCCAAGGGAGCCAAAAGAAATGCAGTAATATGAAACATTATAAACCAATTGCTATTTACAAGCAAAGCAATGAGCTGGTGACAGACTGGCATTGATGGGAATAAAAAGCGTCCGTGATTAGCTGTTTTATAGCCACGTCTCTTTTCTTTATTCACACCTTTTTGAATTGCATAACAGTGCATTTATTTCTATTTTATGGAGACAGTAAAGTCACTTGGGTGCATAAGTGTGTGATTATCACCTAACCAACGTGCCGAGTGGATCAGTGGCTCACAGAGGCATTTCCTAGGAATATACCGCACACGTTTCAGTGGGTCAGATTACTGGTAATGGCTCCACTGAAAAACTGCACCATTTCTATTACAGTTTTTATCCCGCTCTGACATTTAAAAGCTTTTTTTTTCCATTCGTGATCCGCTGCCGGGTGTCTAAAGTGGATGTCACCATACAAACAGGTGGGTAAAGTTAAAATGTTAATTACTACAGCCAAGCTCTCGGCTGAGTTGGAGTTTAGCTTTAAGTGAGAAGATGACTTTTTGTGTAAGTATTGGAGACACCTGGCTGACAGCAAAGATCTGGGAGACATACAGAGGAGAAGGAAGGAGGAAGTGTTCCTTCTAGACAGGCAGCTTTCCCTGCAATCACTTAAACTTAGCTTTTTAATGCTTAATCTCTCTTCACTTATTCCTAATACTTTTCTAAGGAGGCCATCAGAAAATTATAATGTGTTTTGATGAGACTCCCAGGATGTTATTTGGTTATGGGATTAGCCAGACAGCACAATTTATACAAATAAATAAAATGGGAATTAAACTGTTTGACTTGGATTGCTTTTCTTGGTAGTTTTCTTGCAGATAATGAAATACATTTTTAAGACTTTACCAGTTTTTTGGGTTGCATTTTACATTGTTGTGCACTGACTAATATAGTGCCTTGAAGTTTTCCATCTTTTGTAGCTTTACAACCACATATTTCAAAGTATTTCACACACATTTTGAAGTATTTTATTAGAATTGTATGTTATAGAACAACAGTTATAAATGCATTAAAGATGGTGCATAATTATATTGTAGAAGAAAAACTTTAAAGTGTGATTTGAATTTGTCTTCAACCCCTTTTTCTTCAATACTCTAAATAAAATTTTGTTTCACTAATGGCCTTCATACTATATATTCTAATTAGCAACTACAAAAACAAACAAATATTTAATTGTCCAAGCATGTGCAGATCTGTCTTAGGTTTATAGCCAGTAATAACACACAAAACATGCACAAAAACTGTATTTATTATTTTAGAAATAAGAAAAATGGCTATAGAAAAACAGTTAAAAATATATGTATCATTCATTAAAACATTATAGGTTAAATTATTTATTATAGCAACAAGAACGTCATAAGGTTATCAAACTCGTACTCATGTAGAGCATAAAAACAGTGAAAACAATATATTAAAAATACAGTAAGCAGCAGGGTGAGAACTGTTGGTCAGCAGCAACAGAACAGCCGTGCCCCAGTGTGTGTAAATAGAGTTGACCTGTATGTAATTTAATCTCAGTATATATACAGCTCCTCAGAGATTTACTAGAAAACATTAGTAAACAACCACCATCATGTAGACCAAAGAACACAGCCCATAGGTCAGGGATAAAGTTGTGGAAAAGTTTAAAGCAACATTAGGTTACAAAACACTTTCCCAAGTTTTGAATATTTTATAGAGCACTGTTCAATCTTTAACCTCAATGGTAAGTATGCTATGGACTGCAAACCTAAAAAACATGGTTATCCACCTAAGCAGACCCAAAAGTAGAGCATTTCTACCAGACTTACCCATGGTCTTTTTTAGAAGAGCAGCAGAATGAGAGATATCTGAAATGAAGTCCTAATAGTTATGATTGCTGTGTGGCTCAAGTAGAAGAAGGTGATTTAGTCATATAAGACGAGAACATCACCAGACTCACATGCAAAACATTGTATTTTGAGGAAAATTACTCTGAACCAAAAGACTGCAATTGGGTCAATAAGTGGTTCCATAAGTATTGACCCAGGAGAGCTGAATGAAGATGCATGCCAAAGTTGTACATCATTTCCTGCTTTGATTACATCTGCAACATAAAACAGCAGGAAACTCATTAAAGTTTTTGGCTGCAACACAACAAATGTGAAAACACTAATAATTAAATCTTTATTCAGCCTCCATTTGCTTAGTGAAATTTGTAATGTGGTCTATTTAGGGCTACACCAGAATAAGACAAATAACTTAATTAAAAATAAAATCCCTGTCAAAAACAGAGTAGTTTTAATCCTATTGATGCAGCCCATCAATAGTTGTTTATGCACGATTATTTTTTTTAATAAAAGTATTTTTGACTCATTAAGTCTTGTCTGTTTAACACCGAATCCTCTCTGTGTATTTTACATACTTAGGTACAGCTCATAAGATATAAGAATTACATTCAGGAGCATTTTAATGACTTTTTTTTTTTTTGTTGCTCCAGAAAACAAACCGAGCTCATAGTTCATGTGAAGACAAAGGAGTCCAAAATCAATACAGATCAAGCCTGCTGCAAGCCTCCAGCAAATTCAGTTATGTCAGACAAAGGTTTCACAAAGATGGCTATTAATTAGATAAAGTGTGAGCAAAGATTCCAAATTATAAAAAGAAATGTTCTGTTTTTCAAAATAATAAGAAACTACACGTATGATTTTTTTTTATGTATACATAGTTCAAAACAAGTAAAAATGCAGCATGAATCAAAGGTAAAACAGAAACCTGATAGAAGAAATAAATAAATCCAAAGACACACAATCTGGGCTAAATTTGCGATAAAAAATATTTTTGAAAGATAATCAACTACGTGGAAAGCATCTAAAGGCTAATCTTTCTATTGTACTCCAGTAACTAAATATGTCTCTACTACAGAGTGAAAGGCCTTCTGGTTAAACACACATCTGTTCATAAAGCAGATTCCCCCTGTAGCACCAGGGGGAATCTGCGATGGTGCTAACCTTCCTGTAAAATGCTTCTGCCGGCTCCCTGAAACCATCCAGGTGACCTGCAACAAACCCAAACCCCAAGGCTGCTTTGACCTGACTGCTCCAATACAACAGGTGGCTCCTGACCTCTTTGTGGCCTCCTCTGTGTTTCTCCAGGATCCGCAGGGTGTAGTTGGTTCTCTGACCTTTGCTGTTGAACTCCACTCGCCCCGTCAGGCCATCGTACTCCACCTGGTAGGCAGATGGAGAAGGATATGAGGAAGTATGACAGTGGCAGAGGAGCAAAAAAAGAAAATTAGGGGAAAAATTGCACAAAAACAGGCAGAGACACAAACAAAATCAGCGCTCTGCATGAAAACAAACGTGCCTCTCACAATCGATCATCATTAGACAGATAAAAACAACACTCTGGAGGAATAGAGAGCCAAAAAGCAGAGAACAAGACACACGTGGAGAGAAAGAGAGAGAAAGTGGCTAAATCTGGCCTCGACAGGGCTGATCAGTTGTGGATCAACTAGGAGAAAGTGACTGATCGAGAGACTCAGAGAGGGCAGAAGAGAGAGTCAACAGCCTCTTTAATAAGATCCAGACCTGCACGTCACACCTCGCCTCGGCCACTCCACAGCCCAGGTGCTGGCACAGTTTGAAGGAACTATGATGAATAGCAGCGTGCTGGAGATGGAGCGTACCATGATGTTGACTAACAAAGACAGATGTCGGGCAGATGGGCCTCAGGCAATGAGAGATAGGACACAGGCTGCCTTGACAACAGGTCGTTGATGAGGGAAGCAGACGACCAGAGAAGGGAGATGCCAAAAAACATCAACAGACAGAGGTTACAGGCAACATGAGATGCAGATGATACACAGGGTAAACATACATGCTTTCATTTATCAATATTCTTAAAGAAAATAATTCACCAAAAAATTTGGACTGAGATTTAAAGCGTCCGTGACTTTAAAGCATCAGGATTTTTTTCTTTCGCCTTCATTACTCCAAATAGTGTGAAGATAATCTATGGTTCATGATAAAGAATTTAAACTACAGTAACTCTTATTGATAAGTGGTAGATATGTGGATTGTTTTTCTTACTTTTTGTTCTCAAACATGAAACATTTGAATCTCAATCCAATTTTCAGAAATTGAAATGAAATAACTGCATTTTAGTGTCTTAGAAAAGTATTCATACACAAATGTCTTCATTCAATTGACCATCACAATCTTTAATGTAGTTCATTGGAGAGCACTGAACAAAGCAACATGTTAGTTTATTCCTTTTTCCTATTTGTATAAAAGGAAAATAAGCGGTTGTGTATTTTATTGCATTTTGCCCACTTTAATTTGATACTCCTAAATGAAATTACATGCAATATTATCCTTAAGAATTAATTAATGTTAGTCTACAAAACAACAAAAATACTGAAATATACTGCACTGTAAGTTACTACAAAGACTTAAATAGACTTATGTTGTCTTTATTAGTAGAAACAGTTAATCCTAGGATTTTAAAAAGCATAAAGTTTTACTTTTTTCTAAGAAAATAATTTCCCTGCCTGACTTACCAAGTTTCATTTACACAGTAGAGTAATTTCTGGAGCACTAAACTGAAGATGCCACCTCAGGCTGTGGGAAAATTGTAATTGGTTGTTTCTAATACTTTATTGATCATTTGAAAATGAGTGCCACCTTAATCAATGATGAAAATAATTGGTAACGGACAAATTACCGTGTGACAGGAGCCACAGTCAACAGAGCGGCTACATAATATTTTAATAGAAGTATCAATCTCTTCAAAAATTAATATTAGCAGTAAGTGATTTTATCTCTAAATAAAACTGAAGTCTGAAAACAGATGAGTTGAGGATTTTTACAGGTTTTGTTGTAAATGCAATATTCTAATCAAGTCTTATAAATCCAGAGAGACAAAAATCAGATTTAACATTTTGTGACCCTTCAAATCTTATCCCAACCTCCAGCCTCAAAAACATCATTTTTCATCCTGACATGCTGAAAAATAAAGAGTTGATGCCGAGAAAAGTAGCAAAAAAGCAGAAAAAGAATGTAAGAAAGTACCATTCAAAGATAACCGCTTTCTCCGTTTGCAGTGAAATTACTAAATAGGAGCTACAAAAGAAAGTATTACCTGGAAAAGCAGAAAAAGTTTCCGACAGAGCTGCTTGAAGGATTGCCAGGTGGGCAAATCAAAACCCCGTCCATGTAAAAGACTTTCTTTCACCAGGATTTAGCTGACATTGAAGTGGTGGTGTGCTGTTCTATTGTGAAGCCACAACTTCACAGTAAAGGCAATTGGCACAGAAAAAAAACTGAAGTCAATGTTTCTTGCAATTTCACAACAAATTCAGCTCCATGAGTTTTACAGGTGCTTGGAACATTTTGCTAACCTTCCGCGGCAAGGCACACCAGTGGCTCTATCATCAACTGTATTAGAGTTTCAGCCACCAGTATTAGTAACAAATTTCCTCAAAGGACTGAAGGAAAATGAAATACTGCAAACTCTGAATTCAAGTGCCACCTCCATGGTTTCTAAGTAATTTAATGCTGCGTTAGATATGTTTTAAGTACAAAAAAGAAAGTTCATTACAAATTTATGGTGCAGAGATGGATGGATGAACACATGAATGGATGGACAGATACCTATTTTAAAAATATAAATTTTAAAACCTAAATACTGCAATTTCCAGACTATTTAATGAACCTAAATGTAAGTCGAATCACTAACCTTGAAAAGACCAAATTGTGTCAATATGTAGTTGTTTAGTCACAAGTATCTACACTACTACATGACATATTTACATACATAAATACGTACCATAAGTAATTTTACGAAGAGTGCCTGTAACACAGATCCTTTAAAAAATACAGCATTTGACCACAAAAAGATCATCATTGTTTGCACATTAAAACTGCTGGAGTCGTCTTCTTTAGTTTCTGTATTCTCTCTCTTTCGCTGTCACTTTTGTCTCAAGGCAAATTATCTCTAGAGTTTGTGCTGCCCTCTTTGTCAGGCGGCAATCCAGTCTTTTGAAACCCATTAGTTAAGAGCCAAATATTAGCCACATCGTAGTGTTCAAAACGTGTGAAAAAAAACTTGCGGTTTATAGTCTGGAAGTTACGGTAGGCAGCACATGCAAAAATATCTTAACATATTTCACAGAATCATGAACAAAGAATGCAGAAAAATCAGCAAATGTTTCTTCAAGCAGTGATAGATTTCAAATGGAGTGTTAAAAAAATGCTAACCAGGCGGCTAATATTTCTCTGGTGACCTCATAACATTACATGAGCCCATCTTGAAATTGGATGAAGACAAAAACAATAAAAATTATTCAGGCAAAAGGTGTCAAACTGATGCCCAATTAGACATTTCACCATCACAACAGACATGTTTGCCAAGTTGCGTATGTCTATTTGTGTGCAGAAGATCATATAAATGATTTGAGATGCATTGTAGGCAATATTCACTTGGAAGACATGTGGGGCATTTACCATGCGAAGATAATTCATGAGGCTGGTCCCGTGTTGCCAGATCTGAGGCGAGGTGCAGCTCAGGGGCTTTACTCCAATTTCCTGACTGCGGTTCAATTCCCTGACCGCCCCCACAACCACATGAACGGCATCAAACATCAGCGCTGAAGAGAGCTGTTGAAAGAGAACGGGAGACAAAGGGAGGGAGGCAGAAAGGGCAGGATGGATGGAAACATGGGGAGGATGGGAAATGAGACAAGGCAGAAGATGTAATGAGGAGGGAGGCGCTTGCATTAATGATTGAAAGGATAACAGGAATAAAGGAGGAGAAGAGAAAAACAGACGTCAGGAATGAGTAAATAAGAGGAAAAGAGAGATGGATACAGTACATCAATAGCTATTAAATTGGAGCAAAGGAGCAGCTAAATCTCTTTAAATGGTCCATGAATCATCAGCAGGAACTGAGCAGCTTAATATTACGTGGCAAACAGACAAAGCTTTATAAATAGTACAAAGCATTTGTTTGCACAAGTCCGTGTTTGTTTGAGATACTAACCGCAGGGCCGGGATACGTCAAATCGCAGCCCTCCCTCCATGAAAGGTTCAGGCTCCTGATGAACTCCAAATAGAACGGATGTGTGGTGTTGAACATGGAGAAACCCACGATGTTGGACTGCTCATCCACAATGTCATCCAGTCTCAGGAGGGGAAAGTCCTGAAGAAGCAAAGGAGGAATAAAAAGGCAGAGAGAAAATATTCAGATGAGAGGGAAGGTTGGCAACACAGTGCTGTTCAAAAAATATTGAAAAGGTTATTTCTCACCTTTTCTCACATCACTGCTACAAGCTTTAATGAATATTATTTGTATTTCATAAGACAGATCCACAAAAAATACTTCATAGCATATCTATTTTGTTCAAAGATATGAACAAATAGTTCATATCTTTGACATTATTATTGACAAATAATGTTAATAATATGACAATGTCAAATTATTTGTTAGAATTTGACAAATAATGAAGAATTGTCCATTTTTTTACTACAAATAAAAATCTGAAATGTGACTTGATCTAGTATTTAACCCTCCTGATTAAACACTTTATAGAATTACAACTCCTGGTCATATCGCGTAAACATCAATATTCAGGTCTTGTCACATTTTCGCAAACGATTTCTGGGCTTTGACTGGACCACTCTAGCATATAAGTATGCTTTAATCTAAACCATGCCACTTTACGTTCTGGATTTGTCTTGCAGAATAGGAAACATCTGCAAGTAAAAAGCTAGGTATAAAAAAATTTTAAGTTTCATACATTACCAAACTTTGCTTCAAAGTACTTTAAAAATTGGCAGTACTATATTTTATTTAAGGGTATTGGAGAAAAGAGGGCTGAATACATTTATATATGCATTTTTATTTGTAAATGACTTTTTATTGTTTTCATTCTACTTTCATTTCTGGATTACTTTATGTTGGTCTATCACATAAAATGTCAGGAAAATGTATGGAAATCTGCGGTTGTAAAGTGGCGAAATGTGAAAAAATGTCAAGGAATAGAAATATTGTAGGCACAGTATATTAAACCTTTGCATGTAAGAAAATAGCAGTGCAGACAGAAGTGCAATAAAGAGAAATGCAAGCTTCCTGGAGTGACAACTGATATTTGGCAAAGAGTAGGAAAAGATATACTTAGAAGAACAGGGGAAAGGTGATGGAGAAGGATAAGAAGGGTTGATGGAAAATGCTTGAGTGGCTTTTCAAAGTGATATGCATGCAAGTGCATCCAAGGCACAAGAACACATCAAGTACAAAGTGCAGAAAGGGGGAAAAAATAAAAATCAGATGTAAAATGACACAATAATTCAAATGCTAAAAGGGATGGAAGTATATCAAGGAGGCAGATGAAAAGCCTAGAAGCATGAAGAAGGTGGCGGGTGGTGAAAAAAACAAAACAAACACATCTCATCTGTCATCACCTTCACCTCAGACCCCTTTCTTCACCCTCTTTCTCTGCACCTCCGCATCTTTGAACATGTTTGCTTCTCAGATCTCTTCCTCTCTTTTTCTATCTTTCATCCATCTTCCTCTTTTCTTTCCCTCCACTGTCACCTCACTGTACCTCCCCTTATTGAACGCTTTCTCCGCCTTAGCACCTTTGCTCGCTCACGCTCAGACAGAAGAGGAGGAGGAGCGGGATGGATGAAGGGAGGAACACGTGAAAATGATGGAGCACAAGACGGAGGAGAGGAGGTGGAAGAATCGGCATGTTCTTACCATGGTGGTGAGGATGTACTTATAAAATGCTGATGTCATTCCCAGCTCTGACGCCTGTAGGACAAAGAGAGAGAACAAGATGAAAAAATAAAGAGGCAGCAGGTGAGATATGAATGTGGAGGGAGAGAATAAGAAATGACAGAGGAAGACGGATGGCGAGCGAAAGGAGGAAAGAGAGGACACTTAATGGGGAAGGCAGAGAACAAGGACAAAGTAGAAGAGAATGTGACAAAGTGAGACGAGGAAGCATACGTTAATCACAGTTTTACATCATCAGCCTAACACTAGTACATTTTGCTGAGGGCGGACAGGCACTCCAGGAGAAAACATCCCATTCAAACCGTGACTCACTGCGCTGGCTATCGGCATCAGAATGAATCAGAGCAAAGCCGGGTTAACATCTGCACCGCATCCCAGCAAAAAGAGTCTTTGTATAAGAAAAAAAAAAAAGAACATATATGTTTTTTTGTTCAAAACTGTCAGAGGAGTGTAGCTAATTGACATGCAATGCCACAGGGCAGAAAAAAATCTAAACTAGTTGTTAATCCTATTCAAACACATATGTGACTGAAGACCTTTTGAAGTGTTTGTTTCACAAATTGTGAGCGCTGCACTGTTTATCAGCGTAAATTGAAAATTTGAACTACATAACAGAAATAAACACCAAATGAGTCGAGCTGCTCGCCGCAAAGGCAGCTTAAACCCAAATGTGTGGGCAGTTCAGAGGAATGTACTGATGTTTGGTAGACCTGACCTTCTTGAGGATGAGATAAGAGACAGAAGCATTGGCGTCAATGATGATGGTGGCTACTTTGTCGTCACGGATCTCCTTTAGGAGGGGCGTGGGGTCCAGGTTGTCGTCCAGCATCCTGACGGACAGTGTCTCCCGCGAGATGAGAAAACGACGAACTAGTTCCTCCAACCTCAGCAGGCCTGAGAGAAACATGGAGCAAAGACGAGTCACCTGTCAGAGCATTTTGACGTTTTAGTTTGTAATGTGGAAAAGTTTAAGGGGCATTGTGTCCTTCTACAATACTTAAAAAGTACTTTTAGCTAAATATAGGAAAGCAAATCATTCCTTTATATGGTCTGTAGAGGACATATTTATTACAAACAATCCTCAGAGGGACTTATTTCCTGGTTGACATTATGCTTAGTAAGCTGTTGCTCTTTTTTAGAGCCACTAATAGAAGGAGGTCTTACAACCTACTTTACATAAAGCCCATTGCAGAAATAAGGCCATCTGCCACAAAACAAGTGATTAGATTTTGTCTTAATGTCCCCATTTTGCGCTGGTAATGCCTCATATAAAAAAAATTAAAAAGTTAATTTTTCCAACTTAATATGTGTCACCAGAGGACTCTCACAGTTTAAGCAACTTATATTTACACCTAAACATATTCACTGCTTTTTCTGCCTTCTAGCACACTTCCTGACGACATATGGGCAAAAATTACATTTGCAGACAAACTGTGAGGTTATAATGAGTCTCCTGCTTTAAGTACTTGTACATCAGATAATATGATTTTAAAAATTACATCCTAGAAACAAAATGAAAGAAATCAGAACTAATTCATTATTCTCAGGATATTAAAGCTTCTTTTTTATTTTTACATTATCTGGTTAAAAGTTCACTTCATGCTCTTTTTACATTTATTGTATGTCCAGGTAACACATAAAGACTACTTTGACTGCGGCTACAAAAGAAGCATCAGAAAAGTATTTTTAAAAGAGCCTGAGGTGTGAATGAAAAACAGGAGGCAATGCTTTCAGTTGCAGTGTATGTATTAAGTAATTATGCAAAATAAAAACAAGACAATAACAGGAACAAAAACAAAAATAGTTTAGTCAAAGCAGACTCATTTCAAGCTCACCATCCGTACATCCAGGTACAGATTGTGGTCCAAAATCAATAAAGTGTACATAAAGTATATATAAAGATACTCCACAATATTAAATTTAAACATATGTGTAACTTCATTGCCAGTTTAGCTTTAATACAAAAAGTGTCAAAAATAAAACCGATGCACCAAACAACAATTGAGTGCATATATTTTCATTTGTCCATAATTTGCCTTCCGTTATATTTAAAATATATATATTTTTTACCTTTTCAACAGAGTGAGGAGTACTTAGCCTCAATGCATGGACATTAATGGCAGAATCCCAATGGAGTTCTGAATTAGCAGCGCCAGCAATTCTAGTAAAAACAAGCCGGTAGTTTCAGACATGAAACAATGCTGAAACGAAATGATAGACTCACCTTTTAAGAAGTGGGAGAGTTTGGGGTAAAACACAGGAATTGTGCCCCAAAAATAAAAGTCATTTGACTAAACGTGTGTTACATCTGCATTTCATATTTGGTCCATTTTTGCCAATGTTACTTGTTCAAAGATTTTCTAGTTGCTGATATAAACTTAAAAGCATTTTAGTATATAATGGTACTACTTTGGCAAACTATTGCGCTATAAGTCAAACTTTAAATGATATTGATGTCTCCAAAAATGTTGCATAGTTGTAACTTTCTCAGAGACATTTATCTAATTATTTGAGTGTCTTTTGGCCTGCATGTATCCAATCCTGGTTAGATTACAGAAATACAGAGGACAACATCAGACAATTACCCTGCCAATCATGACTGCAAATAACCATATGACTACAACAGTAAACATAGCTGCAACCTTTTAAGTGAATACAACAATTATGCAAAATAAAGTTGGACAGAATGACAAACGTCTTAAGACAATTTTCCCACTTCAAGCAAATTCCTCTTCAAACTAAGTAGAACCAATAACAGTCAAGTCTCACTTGACATCATGTAAGCCATTACTAGAAAGTCTGCTTTGGTGCTTCCTGATTGTAATTTCATAGTAAAGCACCCCCAGCTATGTAAATAAGTGGTGAGCGAGGTATCTGGGGGACACAAAAGGGGGAGGAGAGAGTTAGAGACGAATGAAAGGAGGAGGAAAGGTAGTACTCCGAGCCCCGTAGGTGGAGAAAGCCTCTGTAAGCAGTGGGGTAATCACTGAACCAGGCCAAAACTTTAATTAGTTCTAGGAAGGAGGGGGGAGGGGAAAGAAAAAAATCAATGCACTTTACAGCTTCCTCTCGCTCCTCTCTTGCTCTTCCTATTTCACCAATTTCCAACTCACACACATAAGCCCTAACCTCTCCATCTCTCTCGTCTGAGCCCTTTGCTCCAGTTACCTCTCTCGGCCTTGATTCATCTGGCTCTTATGCTGCCATCGTCTCCTTCATGTGCTCGGTCGCCATCCTTAACCCTCATCCATCTCATGAAAACTGCATAATGGAATTAGGCTCAGATAGCAGCTTCTGACTCATGCATAGTGAGAGAAGGATACATCGGAAATGACCCAAAATCTGTGATTCTCGCACATTAGGCAGAATATCTCGCTCAGGGAGGAGACATTAGATGAATACCATTAAGATGGAGTGAAAAAAAAATAAAGAAAAGAAAATGGGGTTGCGCTTTCTTAATTTACCTTTTTTTGTGTGCATGTGTGATGTTCAGTGCAAAAGAAGTGCGTCTTTGCATTTTGCTCACTTCGACTGAATCACTGTGAGGATGTCTGTTTCACTTTGAAAAGCCTTCTCTACACCGGAGTAAACAAGATGAATTAAACAAGGGGGGCTGACAGTAAACACTGTCTGATGTCGAACCTGTGCAGCACCACAGTAAAGCTGCACACACATATTAAATTCAAGTGCATCAATGTTTAATCCTTCATGTGCAAACATACAGAACAAGCAAACCTGAACTCAACAAGCACATGTTCAGATAAGGTAAAGCAGAAACTGGGATTTTTTTTATTTTTTATAAAAACACACATATAGCATGCCACACACACACACACACACACCCACGCGGTTGTTCAGAGTGTGGAACAAGCCTGTTGAGTGGCAGTTAGCACCTATTCGGCAGCCATGGCAACCGGCTCCACCGCGATAGATAGCGCAGCCAAGTGGGTCAGAGTCTGTGAGTGCGATAACCTTGTAAAGATCACCTTCGAGGCAAAACGCACGACACAAACGCACTCCACGCTTTCTCAGCAGGTAATTCTTGTCTTCTTCTTTCAGAGAGCTGGATCTTTGTTCACCCAGATGGGAAAGTGTCCCAGCTATCGTTTGCCTGCAATTTTTCAGGAAAGGAAGAGACCGGTGAAAAACAGAGCTCTTATCTGGCCACTCAGCTGATGATCAAAACTGAGAAGGACGTCTGATGCTGTTTTCAAAGCTCCTTCAATTCAATGAAGTCCAGTTGGTATTCAGCTTACTTTCAGGTCGCTGCGCTGGGGAGCGGGGGGCCGCTAACTGCTGAGGAGATAATGAAAGCTTCTCAACGACTGAATCAATTTTTCTTAATGCCACAGCGTTTTGTTTGCCAAAATCTTTTCAGTTTACTTTCAGTCTTATTGTTTGTCGTTTTACTTTGAATTCTTCTCCACTGGTGTGAGGAGTTGACAGCTACACAACAACTAAAGCCCACTTCATTTTTCACTCAGAAGGAAGGGGGAAAAAAAGCCAATTAGTCAGCGGACGAATCGGATTTTTGCCTCGTCCAAGAACGGGTGGCTTTATTGTGTCACGTCGTCACAAAGCTGTTTGTATACTGAAGCCTCCATCCAACTAAGCCCTTTTATTCCTGTGACTCTCAGCGGGGGTCTGCAACATAAATCAATAATGCACTCTTTCAAAATGAAAATAAAAACAGGCAGTGACCAAGCTCTGAGTCCCCCGTGATGCTAAAGCTCTCTGAGTGCCTGGCCAGTCAAATCAAATGTCCGCTAAGTTCCTCCACTACTGGGAAGCTTTTCAAGCATGAATATTTATCAAACTGGTTTGCCCTTAAAACCCTCCGAGGTTCAGCATGAGTAATAAATAGAAAGGCTGCATCATGAGCTCCCTTCTGAACTCTGGCAACAGGCACAGCTTCATGACCTGGGCTGCCAAAATGAGCAGAGGTGTAAAGTGATAAATTTGATTTATTGCCGTCACTGTAATTGAGAACCACAGCTTTCTAAATATGCATTTTTAATACAGTATTTGAAATATTGCATTTATTTACATTTAGATCCAACCACCATTGTCGAGTAAAAACAAATCTTGCACAGAAGGTCAGGTGAGATTATCAACATTACTTCTGTTTGCTAAATGAGAGAATATTTTAAGAAACTCGTTTATTGCTTTATTCAAATTATGATCTTTATATATGTTTACGCTCCAATTTAGGAGAATTCATCATATGATGATATCACGGCTTTACAAGCAACATGTGAGTTAGCTGGAGGCACAACTGTGAATGAATTTTAGGGCAAAACAACAAACACACTGCTTCCACCATAGAGGTATCAGTCCATGATGCAGGTTCAATGCAAGTGGGAGTAAAATGGCCGACAAACTAGACCCAAGTTACACCAGTTCTAGAAAAAATGTTGAGAAACTTATAGAATGAAAGCTATGTAGTTGAAAAGATACTTTTATCAAATACTAAAGAAAGAGACGTAAACTACAAGTAATACGCAGCACATTTTTCTCAAATGATTTTTGCATTTAGGAAACAGAAATCTTTTAAACATCTACCAAAAACAGAAAAGGTTTAGTGTGAATTATTGGCAAACATGGAAAACTAAAATCTCATCTGGTCTCAAAGATGATACACCACTATTTTATTACAAACTCATTAAACTACCACAGCTATATGTTTTTTAGCAGAACTCAGCTGGAGGCAGCTGCACTTTCTTACATTATCTTCCTATTTTAGTGCAACTGCCCCTGAATTGTTACCACAAGAAGTAACTTAAAGAAAGATCAAGTTACAAAGGTTGCATCACTTCATATCCTTTATGCACAACATATTTTAGATAATATTTACTCTTCTTTTACTTGAATATATTATTATAGTATTCAGTCCAGCTCTGGAAATGAGTGTCCAGCTGCAAACAATCATATCCAGCCAAACGGGGAATCTGCCAACACTACTGGAGTCACTGTGCTCACACAAAGGCAAACAAAGTAAACACGCTTGCAAGGACTCAACCAATGCACTTACACTCACCTAAATATGAACACAGCTGTGCAGTCAAAGTCACATAATACAATTTAGTAGAACAAGAGGCGGTGTGTAACTCACATTCAGCCTTGGCGCAGACCAAGCTGGCAGACGGGTAGCTGAACGAGCGTAAGATGGAGCCTATGGCCAGACTCAGATCCTCGTTGCTGGGGTACAGAGTAACTGAGGCAAAGCGCAGGTAAGGCAGGCGGGGAGTTTCCTCTGGACCAATTTTTACATGAGGGATCTGGAGGAAGGATAATATTGACAGGGAATGATGATGCATGAAAAAGTGATTTATGATTTATCCTGCAGGAACATGCAAGGTAAGGAAAACTATATAGAAAGAAGAAAATGGTATGAAGAAAAAAAACTGTTTGAGGAAACAAAAGATAACTGGTGGAAGAACAATTTATTTAAAAAAAGAAAAACCGAACATGAAGATGCAGACATGCCTATACCTGCAACGAGGACTAAAAAAAAAATGTTGGAACATGTTTGTGCAGGTGACACACCTCTTTCTCCCCACATATGTGACTGACAGTAGAGCCGGAGGCGGGGCTGGAGGCTGGACCGATCACAGAGACGACGCCTTTGGGTAGAATCTGGCACACTGAACAGGGAAAAAAAGGAATAAATTTGGATTTACAAGAACACATCTTGGCTCAGTGTTTTTTAGGACGGCTGCACTGAGCTACCATCGAGCAGCAGCTGTAGTCTGTTGAAAAGTGTGAGCATGTCAGTTTCCGATTAATCATTTATTCAACTAAAGCAGCAAAAGATGTTTCAGTCCAATCTGACTGAAAAATCACTTTATTCTAAATATTCCAAGGGCAAGAAGAGGATAACCATTCAGTTGTAGGACATTAATGAGAAGACAGTCATTTTTATTGCTTTAATCATTTTTTAATCTTACTCTTGTTACTGATTTACATTGTAAAGTGGGGATTACTGTAAGATTACAGATACTGAAACTGTTGCAGATAAAAATCCATAGTAGACTTACATATCAAAAGTTTAATGACTCCCTCCATGAATGAAATGCTTTAAAAAAAATTAAAAAGGAGAAAAAATAAAAGCTTCTTCAAAAATAAATTAATTTCTATAAATCATATTTATCAAGAGAAATTGTCTGAGTGATGCTTTGTTACAAACTGAGTCAGATTTACAAAACAAGTTTTATCCTGGTAAAATAGACATAAGTTCAGAAAAAAGGTGCTTAATAAACTAACCAAGCAATGTGCTGTCCTGAACTTTCATCACCAAAAACCCGCAAGTTCCCCTGGGCTGTTTTCCTTTTCACTTAGTAGTAAAGTTATTGTTTATTGTTTTCTTGCCATTCCTGAGCTGCTGCTTCAGTCTGAAAATGTAAAAAACTTCATATACCAACCAATATAAGTCCTTTAAAACTTATAAATGTGTTAATTCCTAGCTGTACAGTTAGATATGACTGTTAGTGACTGCAAACATAATTAAACTTTTTAACTTTTTATTTCCTTTGGTTTCCATGAGCCGAGCAGCTCAACCACACGGACCAGCCCCTGCAACGGGAGCAGAAGCTCCAGAACACAGAGAAATTAAACCAATAAAGCATTAAAGGTATTATGTATTTTCCAGGCACATAGTGTCACTTTATAGCACAATCAAGTAACTGTTACCTTTACTTATTATGAAAATAATGTATTTTCCCTTTGTGTACATTTACGACATCACAACAATGTTTCTCCAGTAAGTCGTTTACAATCGTTCCTAGAAGCATTGCATCGAGAAGTACTTTGTGTAAAAGGTTCAGCAGGTAAACAGATCCGCCAGGTGTTTACTAATTGCTAAGGCTGCTAGTCTGGAGGAGCTGAGAGTGGCTGATTATGGAGCAGCATGTTTTATTATGATGTATCACATAAACAAGCTTATTTAAATGTGATTTTCATTGCATTTCTAATTTAATGGAACAACACAACAATTGCAAAATGGTGTTGTTGTTTTTTTTTTTACCTTAGCACAAAACTAACAAAGTTTTGCACACATTTGTAACAGAGATGCAGCTAGTGATTCATAGATGAGGGATGTCTGTTTTTATTTTCCCTTGTGCATTTCAACGCTGAAAATCAACCTAACGTAAGTGGTTTGAAACCTCACAGTGTTGGTTTCAAGCATTTGTTATTGCAAATGTTGTGCAATAACAACATTTTGTTATTGCACAACAAAATGTTGTGCAATAACCCTTTCTTCCAGCTTTTTCACTCTCCTCAGATTCCAAAATACAGCAGCTTGTAATTTAAAAAATATATATTAGTGTTAAAAGCAGAGCACAGGAACTACAAAGGATTTGATCCAGAGATGATTCAAATAACCTGAAAATATTTTTTCCAATCTGCTTGTTTCCTCCACAGATGTCCAACCAGAACATTTAGGCAAGTATAAAAACTAAAACTCCAGCATTAGGTAGATAAGTATCTCCTACATACTTATGCCTATTTTATGTTTTATGTGTAACTGTACCACTAAGACCTTGCTAGACGAATTGATTAGCTCTATATTTATCTAAAGACATTATTTTTAACATGTAAATGAGGATTTATGGAAACACAGAAGCTAAATGCATGGGTTTATGACAGAATGGAACATTACAAGGAGGTCTGGAGGTTGTTCGGATGATGATGGTCTGTATTTCACAGAAATGAGTTTGATGACGGTCTAAATCTAAGAGAAGATGAGATATTGGGGGGCCAGGACCTGCTGAAAGACAGTGAGACCTAAAGTGCTGGTGGCAGTCATTCACTTACAGCTCTTTGACTCAGAAGGGTGGAAAACATGAGCTGCAAAGACTGGGATTTACTGATGATGAGCTTAATGCTCCTTTGATTGATCTTCTTGTTTTTCAGTTTGCATGTCTCACCTGCAGATTAAATTATTAAACATCACTTAAAGCAAACTAATACAGAGATACGAGACTAGTATCTCTGGGATACACACATTCAGAGCTGGGATTTGTTTCAGAGAGGTTTGAAACACTTTTGTTTTTACTTCTACAACGGAGAAGGAGTTTTGACTTAATAAAAATCACAGCTTGGTAAAATAACTTGAAAAGTTACATAACTTTTCAATAACTTTACGGATAAGATGCAAAAATAATCACACTCCTTGAAGTTCTGTCATTACTACAAACACATTTCATTTAGATTTTATAGCACAAACCAACATAAAGAAGGGCATATTAGTGAAGAGAAAGCAAAATGGCACCTGGTCTTCATAATTACCTGTGACAAAATGTAAATTGTTGTATGTATTTGCAGTCAACATCCTGAGTAAATGTTGTGCAATAACCTTTTCTGCAATTATAGCATCCAACTTACATTATAAGTAAAAATGGGGGTTATTATCCTTTCTGCTTGCAGTATAGCTCAAGCTTCAGCAGATTGGACAAACAGAAAATTTCAGCATTCATTTTCGAGTCTCATTTCAAGACATGCATTTGGACCAAGGCCTGGACTTTGACTTGCACATAAATCTGCTTTGATAATTATTGCTTTTAAGTGATTCATAATATCTAATCCTCTGAACTGACGATATTTTGGAAGCAACCAGGAATTTAAAAATAATTAAAGCACAAAACAATGCATGTCTAATCAGGCCACCTTTTAGTGTGTCCATTTGTGTCCACTGATGAGATCTTCACTGTTCACACCAGATAATTACCCACAGAGGAGTCTGGTCACTTAACTGTCTGATTCGGCTATTCAAGAAGCTGCTTTTTTTCTCCAGTTGTTATTGCAGCTCATCCCAATTAGTCCTCAGAATCAGCAACTGTGAGTGTCAATGTGTACATCGGAGTATCAACTAAGTGCTTGTGAGTGCACAGGCTCCCTGTGTGGACATGCATGTGCGTGTCTGCAGAAAGACAAGTGTGCGTCCGTGTGCGTGTGTGTGTGTAAATGCATGCGTGTGTGTAAATGCATGCGTAAAGGCGTGCGTATGCGTGTGTGTGGATGTGTGTTGCAATCATCTGTAGCTGTATGGTGATGAGCTCCCTGATCCACAGACTAGAAAATGCTGCGAGCAAATCAGCTTTTCAGAGTTTCTTCCTGCTCGTTGGTCAAGGACACACAGAGACGCACATGGCCGTATCTTAAGCAGGGCACATTATGAGCTCAACCCTGCTAAACATTGCTCTAGCAGCTTGAAGCGGGGTCGATGACCTATTAGAAAAGGAGCAGAGAGGCGGCGGTTCAGTTCTGCAGTATTTCCACAGCCTTTGCTGATTCTAAAGATTCTGTTGAGTGAATTTTCCTGAAGTGTTACGCTCCTTTTTTATGTTACTGCTGATCTGTTTTACTGTTTGATGATGTGTTTATTATTATGGCATGCATGGTACACACTTCCAGCTGTTACTGGAGGGCACAGGTCTCCTGTTTTTAATGAGGCAGTCTTAGTGGCCCATTACTGGTCTCCAGTGACATGTAAACTAATAAGCAAAAGCCCCTTCTGGCTTCAAATCCCACAAAAGTGGTTGTGTGATTGTGTTTTCTGCACATAAAAGGGTTGCTTTTCACACACAAAAAATTCTAATTATTCTTTTAAAGAGTTTAATCTTTTGGAAAGAAATGGTGCTATTTAACATACTTTTCTTTTGTCTGCAAGTCGCTGGTATTATTAAATATAAATATGACTTATATAACACACTGGTATCGGTACCGGTCATTTTCTTTGTGCTAATGAGGCACTATCCTCTAAAAACTCAAAGGTTTTCCTCTGGATTTTATCATTCTGTTATAAGTCTGAGGATGAAAGTTGATCTAGAAGTCATTTCTGAAGGGAAACATTTCCACTCACTGGTGTCGGTGGTGTCATACTGGGAGTCTTTTTGCAGCTCATATATGTCCACCTCCACTCGGGCTTGCACTGAACCCTCTATCACGCTGTTGATGTTCTCCCTGGCCAGGGCCAACGCCAGCCGCTCCCCGCGCCCACACACAGACTGGTCATCCAGAATGGCAGCTAGAGAATTAGAGAGAGAAACGGGGAGTCAGGAAACCAGAGGAAGAAACATGGAGTATAACGATGAAGGGAATGTCAGAACAGAAACACACAAATGAATCATAACAAGGAATAGAATATTTTCACAGCATAACAAGGTTTCTCCTTAATAGGTCCCCACTTCCAACCGCTAAAGGACTAGAGGGATTTTTGTACGCTGCTTTTAGGACGTGAAAAGAAATCCAAAGAAAAAGAAACAACCTCATTTACTGCCTTCCAAATAGTCTTTTCTGAGGGCACTTGAGCCACCTTTTCTCAGTGTCTTGAAAAGCATTTAATCTTTCAAGATTTTGTGTCGTTGCAGCAACAAATTATACCACAGTCTCAGGGTACATAGACTGAAACAAAGCAGAGACAAATGTTGAGTGTGATCAAATAAAACTCTAAAACAAAAAAAAAACATTCCATATATCTGCATTCAGCCTTCTTTACTCTGATGCCCTGAAATCTAGTGCAGCCAACTGTTTTCACAATCACATCATTTGTAATCAGAAGTAAACTGAGCATGATTTCAGAAAAACATGAGAACTTCTGTTTGTATTTTGCTGCAAGCCATGTAGTGGAGATGCAGCAAACATGAGGATAAATGTCCTCTGATTAGATCAAAGATAAGATAAAAGTATTTGTCATTGTCACAGGAACAACAAAATTAAATGATCAGATGATTGTCCTGCATTCAAAATGCTATTTGTTTCAGAAAATTACTAATGGACCTTTTCTTTGAGAATGAGAGGACAGCATCATGCTGCGGTAAAAGTTTTATTTTGTAGCTCAGAGATGACAGAGAGATGGAGAAGGGAGCAACAATAAGGTGATAAAGCATTTTGATTAAAAAGAAAAAGTATTTTGAATAGAAGAATGGATCAAGCAAACTATTGGCCTATCCTGGAAGAACACCTGTCAGCTGTTCAAAAACTTTCATTTTCCAGCAGGATGACCACCCTGAACATACAGCATTGGTTTATGTCTAAGCATATTCATGTCTAGAAACAACCTAGTGAAAGTCCAGACCCAAACCAAAATTAGTATATTTGTCAAGACTTGAAAGTGTCTTGAAAATATGTTTTCCATCTAGTCTCACTGAGCTTCATGGGTAAGAATGTGTGCAAAACATTCTGAAAATCATTTCAAGCTGTAGTTGGTAGGTCTATAAACTACATATACACTTCATACTTTTGAAATTTCTATTCATGAAAGGGTCAAGTTTGCCACATGTTCTTACGAACTGATTATTAGTGTTCAGATCCCTTCCTTTGTTCTTTTGGTAACATTTTATGATGTGTTGTATATTTAGTTGTTTTCTGTTTTTGAAGTGGAGTTAAACTAGATTGTGTGTTGCAATAGAGCGGACGATTTTAACTTCCTTGTTACTGGTCTATGCAGCCGCTTTCCTATGTGAGGTGTGTAATGCTCACGGCTTCATTGATCTCCATTAAGTCCTTTGAACACCGGTCACTTTCTTTTTATGCTTGGGCATCATTCAGTCAGGCCGCAGGGATGTGGAAAAAAAAAATCAAAAACTTGTGAGCAATATTTACCATTCACACAGGATTAGACACCATGCAGCTTCACACCAGCAGCCTGGTGTGTGGGTTGTCTGTGCGTAATGTCATGATTTTCATTTTGGCTCCTCTGTTCAGAAATTACAGCACACACCGCAGCAGCATGTCGGCGTACAACACTCCTTAGGTTTGTTTAGTCATCGCCAGATTTTTGTCATTGTCTTTTATTCCTTCTGTGTTTTGCTTACCCAGTGGTTTGACCATTGTTCAAGAGAAATCCCTTGATTTTTCTCAGTCTTGCTCATTAGTTTCACACACTTCAGGCATGTAACACAACAGACTAATTGCAATGTTTTTTATTTTACCTGAACAATGAAACGAGTTGTTTTGCAGTGCGAGTTTGCTTTAGCTAAAGGCTCTGTCCTTCCTTTCAACGCAGCTGCAGATGAGAGTCCCCAACGCATTTCAAAACTCTGAAAGCCTTTTTTGAGAATCACTTTCATAATAAAAGCACTTCACATTTCCAAAGAAAATTGCATCAGCCTGATAAATGTGCTGCAATTTTCAGACAAAATGAACAAGAGTAGTGTAAATTCTGCTGAATAATCAGACAAAAAGCATTTCCGACATTGTGAAACAGTTTCTTTTGTTTGATTTGCTCAGACACAGTGGAAAACATTTAGGTGCTAATTGTTATAGGAAAATTATGAAGCCAGAACATTAACACAGAACTGCTATTTATCTATTTAATGATTCAATCTTTCAGATTGCTCCAAGCAGCTGCTCATGAGCCAAATTAGCCTACTTCCACTGTGCATGACTGTCCATTAATGTGTAAGCTGCAGTTCAAATTAGTGCAGTGTTCAGACCAAAGTTATGAGTCTGACCTTGTTGGATTTCCCCTGCAAAATCTTACACCAGAATTTTCATTTGAACATGAAATGAGTACATTCAGCTGCTGTCAGATGAATGGAAAAACATTGTTTTCTTCTTAAATAGCTTCTTTTGGGCTTCTGTTTAAAACCCCAGTAATAGGTAAAATAGTTAACAAATTCTTATTCCCTCAGTATAACCTTCCACATTTAAGGAAATTGTTTTTTCAGCTAAAATCCTCAGAACTTGGGTAACATTTTTACAGTTTTCAATCACCAATCACTGAGCAGTGACTCCTGAGTAAAATCTGACTACTTTGGTCATGCATTTGTGTTGAGAAGAATCTTTTTGCATTAATGACTTGTCTGCAGCTGAACTCAGATCAAAGAGATGATTTTCAGAGGATTTGACCAGCTAAAATATGCACCTGTGGTCAACTATAACATAACCAACTTTCACACTTATATCACCTTGCAGAACCTTTAGGTAAATTGATTTGGTCAATCTGGGTAATGTACAAGTTGTGCATATGAATGTATGGTATTGGTTTGAAATGCAACTGTTTTAAAAGTAATCAAATTTTCAGGAACCCCTTTTCCATGTTTATGTTACCAAAGTTAAAGTTTCGTTCTGTGCACTGCCATGCAGCTGTCTGAAAGAATGTTGACACATATTTACCAGCTTGCAAGAACAACAAATTCAAATATTTAGTTAGTGGTAATTCTTTATATTTTAAAGACTAAATATTAAATTTAAAATCATAATACATAAATATTAAAGAAAACATTTTCGCTGTAATATCCAATGTTTTGTTGTTCAGCAGCAGCAGTAAAAAAAACTTTTGTTTTTCTTCTTTATATGAAGGTTATTTGATCCTGATGACCGTAGTTTTGTTTTTACCATGAAATTGTGGTATTTCCACTAAAGAACATCAACTTGTTTCTTTAAGAACTCCAAGGTGAAACAACTGATTTGTGAATGAATGAAACAAATAAATGTAAAGTTCATTCAGGAACCTTTCGACCTGTGTAGCATCTACTCACCCATGCGGACAGAGGAGAGCAGAGGGGCCTGACTGAGGGAGAGTGGTGGCATCGTGACTAGCAGGAAGGAGAGGAAGCGTATTGACAGCAGCAGTGCTGGCAGAGCCGGCATCTTCTACTGCTCCTCATGGAGAACGGTCTGCTGGCTGCCTGTACCAACACCTGTGGGATTGGAGAGCGTGTTAGTTGACACAGAGTCCCACTCTTCCTTTAAATTGTCATCATGCAGCTTATCTCCACTTTGCACTGTCATATTCCAGGGTAGTGGGAGCACCTGCGCTTTCACAACCCATACAATGCACTTTCAAAGTCAGTTATGAAGATGTTTCTTGTCATATCGCACCAGCAGCTTGGTTCCCATGCATACAGCTTGTCTAATAATAAAATACAGAACACAACTGTATTCACGTCTCCTGTGGAAAGTCTGCTGTTTAGACGTGACAGGATTCAGCCTACCAGAGGATCTCTGGAGGCTTTTCAAACAAAACATCACAACACACACACACACACGCCTTTTGTGTATTCACACACATTTGTAACACAAACAAACATGAAAACAGATCGACTTACACGATAAGTGAGTACTAGAAACAGAATAATAAATGCAAATACAAGAGCTCTGAGGATAGATGGCTGTACACTACACAACACTCACCTGTATCCACCAACATGGCTGCTATACCCTAACCTCGAGCCTCCGACTTCAAAACGACACACAAACACGTAAAGAAGAGCACAAAGAGAGTTCAGAGGATCTCCAGTGGTGCTAAGCAACAGTCTCCAGGAATGACAAATCCTTGCTCTGACTGACAACATGACATGGTTGTGTTGAGGAGCTGGAGAGAGGAAGAGACAGACGAAGACAGAGGAAATTGAGGGAGGGGTGTTTCTGAGCTTTACAGGGTGCTGACAGTCTCTCGAAAAGCTGCGTTCAGGACCTCTACTTGACCCGTGTTGTTGTAAACAGCAGTCAGCTGCTGACCCAGACCCTGACGAGAGGATATACCTTCACTCTCAGATAAATCAAACACATGCTGACCTTGTAGATCTAACATCCCTCCATCCTTACATGGCCACTTTCAATAGAAAATCTTTCATCTGTCATCCATATAACCTTTTGGCTACCGAAAAGGGGACACAGCATATATTAAGATGGTGCACTGGTAGAATGAGATGAGAATGTAACTTTATAGCCAAGATGAAAGATGTTTTGTGATGTCATTACGGGCCATGATGGTGAAAGTCCTCATAGAAATCCAGACCTAAATCCATTTGAGAATCAATGGCAAGACTTGAAATGTGCTGTTCAAAGACACTCTTTCTCTATACCGTGTTGGCTTGAAAGGCAGCTGTTATGTATTTTTCAGGCACATAGTGCCTTTTTATGGCAGTCAAGTAGCTATTTTACCTTCAGATGTTATGCAAATGCTGTACATATCAAAAACTTGAAAGGAAACTTGATATTGCAGTATAGCCGTATCAGACATCTTGAAACTGGCCTCAGTTTCTCCAAGAAGCTCCTACACTTTCTAGCACAGCCTTCAGCACAACAATGCTTCTCCATGTTGTCCATTGATGCTGTTTACAGTCATTCTAAGTATTCAGAGTATGATAAGCTCAGCAGACTTGCAGTTCCACCAGGTGTTTGCTAATTGCTGCTGCTGCTAGTCTGGAGGAGCTGAGTGGGGGAAGTGCAGGAAAGAGATGCTATGTGGAAATTTGGCCGGGGACTGAATTCTCATTGTGGAAATAGGGGACGCTTTGTGAGAGCAAGCATTAAGGTACCTCCTAATGACTGCCATGGAAAGTTTCAGGATATCATAAATATCCAGGAATGAGTAAATGCAACTCTGGATATATTCCAAACTTTTGTAAGTCACAAGTGTTTTAGAGAATGGTAGAAATATATCAGTGTCCTCTGTTCAGATAAGACCACAAATAAAACTTCTGCTCTAAAAGAAAATCAACAAAAAACTAATAACTAATGGAAAGCAGAATATGTGGCCTAGTCAAAGTTCAGATCTAAATTCCACTGAGACTCTAGTGTAACCCTTGAACAATTATGCTCACTTATAGCATTTGTGGAACCTGACACAGTGTGAGCTGTTTTGCAAAGAAATTAGAAAAAAATAGTTTCTGGTGTTTTGGTGTTCAGTGCTTGTTTTTATGTGAATAGTGCCAAAATACATCGTTGTGAAATGTTAATTTGATTTGACTGATAAAATATTTGAAAACACAACTGTTATCTTAAAGTTTTATTTATGTTGAGTCTCGAGGGCCATATAAATGGTAAAGGTGGGCCAGATTTGGCCCGTGGGCCTTCAGTTTGACATATGTCATAGCTTAAAAGATTTGTAGCTATTTTTACTGCAAAATATCTAATCTTTAGTAGCACATGTAAGCACATTGACATTATCTCCAACACTTGCTGAACAGTGGTGTTTAGAAATCTATTGTTTGACTCCATCTTCTGCACCTTTGACAGGTCTCTCAAATCGTGACCAAACTGTGCGCTTTAGCTACGTTTGTAACACTAATGAATACACCATCCAGTGCAGATGGCCATTCTCTCATTACGGTTTCCACGGCTCAGAGCGAACCGAGGCAGGGCTTATGTGAAGCCATCTGTATCTGTGACACAACATAGGATAGCAGGCGCACAGTGGGAGTCATTTGCGCTTTTATTGTAATCCATACATCTTTCTCGCTTAATTCAACATGTTACTGTAAAGTTGCCAATAAAGGCAAATGAAAACCTTGTTGCCACATACGCAAAGCTGTCATCTCATTTGTATGTTTGTTTATTATGGTTATGCAGCGGCTGCTTATTCAGACTGCGCCAAAAGATAACTGCTGTCACTTTGATGACTCTTGCTGAAGTATTCTGTTTGCTTCCCATACCAGTGGTTTCTTTCTCAATTTGCTCTCCAACAAAGTGTGTATATGTGTGTCTTTGTTGTGCTCGTACCTGTGTGTTTATTGCTGGGCATGCATGCGCTTGCCCACTGTGTGTGTGAGTGCACGTGTGTGTGATGGGTTATTGATCGAGCCCCAGCTGTAGTGGTGGGCCCTCAGGTGCAGTCAATCAAAACAATGGGGAGCCTATCATAGGAGCACTGCATTTCACAGAAGCCATCTGATTGGCTATTACCAGGAGGCAGATTGCCATGATGACGAATAAGATCCAAACTAAGGCTATGGCTTCATCAGCAACGGGATGGAATCGGTGCTATTTCATTGTTATTGAGAGCTATTGACAGCATTAGACAGAGAGGATTAGAGTATCTTTACTCCCAGGAGAGAAAGACAACGGGTGGAAGGTGGAAGGAGATGGAAAGCTGTGAAAGAAGTCGGTAGGGGGAAAAAAACGAAGCAGAGGGAATGGGGTTGCGCCGATGAGGGAATAAAAGAATAAAATTGAATATAGAGAGAAGAGATTGGAAAGAGTCTGCAGAAAGAGACGCAGAGCCACAAAGAGACAGCAGTGGTGAAAAAGTACATTTACCCAGGGACTGAGAGAGGGGAAAATTTAAAGCACTTTCACTTCAGTTCAGTGCATTTAATTACATGTCAATAAACAGCATTTTCACCACAATTTAAAAAGAATTATACATTTAATTCAGCTGCAAAATCCCACATCTTATTTATTTATTTTTTATATATTCCTGTTTTAGTTTCAACTAATTAAAACAGCAGTTAGTTTCTGTCTATGTCGTTCCGAACATTATTTGCATTTCAAGCAACTAAAAGTCAGATTCTACCTCATCACTGCTCTTTGAAGCACACATCGATTTACCTTCTTTTGCAAATAAAATAGAAAAAACATGATTGAAATCTATGAAGCTCAAGAACCGGAGGTTTAAGAGCAAAAACAAAAGCCATTGCATCTAGGAACAACAGAAGGAGGTGATCTGATCTTATGAGTCATGTTTTGTTTTACATCATGGAAGGCTCCACTCGTGTTCATCTGGGGAAAGAAATGGGAGCGCAGTGCATCGTAGGAAGAAGGCAAGCCAGTGGAAGTTGTAACGTCTGAACATTTTTCTGCAGAGAGGTCTTATGCCTCGACATTCATGGGAATTTTACTCTGACATTAACTTGAGAAAGTACACATACGCCTAGAACCACAAATAAATATCTACATTTTTATTCAGCCTCCCTGGGCCAATACTTCCCAAACCAACTTTTGCTAAAAAAAAATAAAAACAAAATAGCAATAAGTCTTTTGGGGCTTGTCTCTACCAGCTTTGAATATCAGGATAATATTTTTCCCTATTTTCTTTGTAAGAAGCTCAAGCCCAGTCATTAGTCAGAGAGTAGCAACAAACCGAAGCCCAGCACAGACTTTGACTGGGTTGTTCCAACACATGAATATGATTTGATCAACACTGCTGCAATGTAACCCTGTCTGTGTGTTTTGTGTATTTTCACAGAGTTTGATGTTTTTTGGAGTTTCTAAGATGTTTTCGTCAAGGATTGTCTAGTATTTTGCCATAACAAACTTTCTTGTCTCTTCTAGAGAAAATGATCCTGAACTGTGTTTCAAGGTGGATGTTTTTGTGATGTGCAGTTCTCTAAAATGTGTGCCACAAGATTTAATTACATTGTGTGATCTTGTGTGAATCTTCTGTCCACATGTGTGCACTTGTAGTTATCCTGTTTTCCTTCCGAGCCGTTCCTTCCATTAGTACGGCAAATTTTGTGCTGTGATCTGATGATTTTGTTGCTGCTTTAGACAGTGCTGCTTTTAAAAGCTTGAGATATTGTTTCATAGCTAAACTCTGCTTTCAACATCTCCATAAATTTAGCGTTTCAGAGTTCTCTTTAATAATGTAAATTCATGCAACGCCAAGGACTTAAATGTTCTGCAACTGGAGCTCTTTCAAAAGCTGAAAAGTACGCCGCTGTCGAAGTGAAGCGAGGGAGGCTACCACAGCATTAGACAGGTGGCGTTAATGTTGTGGCTAGCATTTTGGTGGTTGCAACTCCACCAGCATATTACTGTTGTTATCACAGTTATTATCACAATTTTCTGAGGTCACCGGGTGTTCCTGCTTTTATTAGCAATTTGGTGTGGATTAACCAGGATGAAGCTTTTTCCCTCATCAATCTGAGGCCGAGTGGTCACGGCAGGGGCAGAACAACCAGGTTCACTGTTTTTA